GTAAACCTGGAATCGCTGGGACTGAGATCGAGATTGGAGATCCTGGAAGTTAGAGAACAGCCTATACAAATGTCAGTATTGCTCTCTCTACCACGCATTTCCAATATGGATGCATGAATCGAAGCTTGAAAGAACATACGCATGCGCGGTGTTAACAACCAGGTCCTTGGTAAAGCGGTCTAACCGCTGGAGTGTATCCAGACCAGCAATTGCACCACCATCCTCTATCCGATCACAAAAGAATGTCGTCAAGACCTGTATCTGCTGTCGCGACAGGTATTTGGGCGGGAGGGACTTGATAACGGAGGTGAGGAAGGAGACGGCCTTCCCGCGCAGGATTGGATCCTCATCATTGATATATTCACCGAGTTGCTGAACAATTTCGATCAGGGTAATCTTCTTGTTTTCGAGGTCTATATGTAACCGCCTCCCGGTTAGAGTCATGAGATCGGTGCAATGCGGGTGGGCGAATGCGGGGTGCATTTGCGGTGACTTACCTTGGGCCACGGAGTCGGCAATGCGCTTGGCTTCTTCTTTGTCGTGGTCCACCACGAGCAGGAACGTCTGTAGGGCCGACATGATAGCCAATTTAATCGACCAGACAAGCCAAGCGTGTGCAAGAGAAGCAGAGACAAGAAGAAGCAACGAGGGGAGTGCCACTTTCGATTCTTGCGGTCCTTATCGATAACAGTCAGGTGACCCCGCACTCGGAGGGCAGCGCCAAGACTTTGTATACCTTCAATCTCATGATGTTTACAGCACTTGGAACATAAAACAATCATGAGTTGCATGAAGATTTCCATATCAAAAAGATTTCCATAGTATTCCAGGCGCAACATTCGCTCGGTGGATTTCATGGTCGAGATTATCGGCGAGGAATTCGAGAAACTAATGCTAATTTAAGTGAAAGTTGAGTCCTGAGGCAGCTGAAGGTAGCCCATTTGTGATTTATTTAGTTACTAGTGTCCTACACAAGATCCTAACCGCCTTTCAAGGTTCCTTCCATACCGGGCAGCCCCAAAATCGTACCTCCGCCAAGTCTCCCAACAGTCCCTGATTCCCCAGGCAACTTCACCACGCAGGCCACGGCATCCCCAGATTTGCCTCGCACCCATAATTATTTGAATCGGGGCATCGCATATAAAATGCTTATACAAAATCGGTGTAACCGACTTGATTTTATCCCGCAGGAACCTGCTATCGCCAGAAGAACCCCCACTTTACGTCTTCTGCATAACCGTGCGGTTGAGCCGAGATAAGCAACCACGCCAAGCAACAACGCCAAGACTGCCACACTTTTTTGCCGACTCATGTCGCATTAGAGATTAGAGATTAGAGATATCTTGATCCGAGTGGTTCAAAATAGGCAATCCTTTGCTTTCTTATCTCTTTGACCTAACCCTCCTTGGGAAGGTCACTACCATCCCCTCCAAACCGACGATGCTTAGCCGATGTACAGACACTATGGAGCATTCGATACCCCGGATATCCCACCCCGCAAGCCCGCAAGTTAACTACAGGGGGAAGCGGCTTTCAGTCATGGCCTCTACAAAGACTCCAATCCTCAACGCTATCGATAGAAGTTGGGCCGTGATCAGCTCCAGTAAATACTAATAGCTGCAGTGTTCACCACACTATCGGAGGAGCTATTATCTAAGCCCCAGAGTTCAGGAGGGTAGCACGGCCTACGCCCTTCGCTTGACTCCCCGCATAGTAAAGAGGCAGTTTCCTACTCCTCCCTGATAAGATAGTTGCTTGGGTTTGTCATGAATTTTCTCCGTTCTAACGATAGCTATTTCCTCGGCCGCCTCAGCGAATCCTATCGCGAACTTCTCAATCTCGGCCGTGGTCTTCGATTGCGATGGACCTTCCTGTTTCCCTTCCAACCTAAACTCCGTACTTGTTCCGGTTGTTCACAATGCTTCGATTCCGGCACTTACGACGCCTGGAAACCGCTAACGGGCGTTCATCCTACCAGATCCGGCATAAACATCTCCAGAAAAGATAAGAAGGAACAACCGTTTTATCTACGAACAGAAACTCGGTAGATATTTGGTAATTCCACCGAAGACACAATCGGCTAGGCTTCGGTCTTTTCATTATAAAATATTCGACATCATCCACCGAGATGCGATTTCAGAGATCATCAAGCCGTTCTTTCGAGGTTGTCAGACTCACTACCTTGAATTAAGATGAAAGCCCACCTATATCGCGCCCTTGGTGCGGTTCTCCTCTTTGATATTGTTTCGGGAGGTATTGCCAAACGAGACTTTGAGAGGATTCGAATTCACCAACCCGCCGGCGTGGTAGCCGACTCATTGCATAATGTCCACATTGAATTTATCGACAAGTCATTCGAAGGGGAGCTACAACTTGTGTATGCAGAGTGCGACATTGAATCACCTTCATACAGCCACCACGATCTCGGCACCGTTTTTGTGGAACGCGAAGCTCAGCCTGAACGTTTTGTTTGGGTGACACCCGCAGATGCACCCCACGCGCATTGTTTGCACGCATTTTCTAAATCAGTTCTTGTCGGGCGCTCTTCTCCAATCCCGATCTCATCTCCGGACTTGAAGAAGCGAGAGAGTATCGCAGATGTCGCAGATGCTATGGGACCTTGGTTTGACGGGGTGGCATACATGAAATCGAAGAAGAATGCGAAGACCTTTGTCACCAAGGCAAAGAACACTTCCGTCGCTATTCTTGGAGGTGGAATGTCTGGCCTTATGACCAGTCTGCTTCTAGAGTCTGTTGGTATTCACAATTGGCACATCTATGAGTCTTCAGAACGAGTTGGCGGTCGTATTCGAACTAAATATCTAAACAACACCTCACCGGATCAGTATCAATATCAAGAGATGGGCCCCATGCGTTTCCCAGTCAGCATCACTTACGCTGACACGAATGAGACACTCGAGATCCAAGATCACCGCATGGTTTTCCAGCTCGCAGAGACGCTAAACAAGATGAATACCGACAAGCCTGAGCTACAAGTTAACTTCATTCCCTGGATTCAAAATGGACCAAACGTTCCTGCGGCTTCGGGTGGCAACCGTCTACCAAATGGGCGCATTCCCACCGCAGCACAGGTTTCAGCAAATGCGTCACTCGTATACACTGCCGCGTCTTCTAATGAAACCGCCGCCGCCAATGCAGAGACCGCATATGAAAACTATACAACGCTCAACAACCGCGAAACACTGCGTCAAATTGCAACAAATATGTATCAGGCCCACAAGAAAGCCGTTGACGATGGCATGTTTCACTGGTCCGAAGCCGGATATCTTCGATATGCGCTCGGATACGACGCCAATGTGACCGATTATGTGGCTGGTACAACCGATTCGCCTATCTGGGGCGACTTCTACGACGATGTCTACTTCGCTGCCACAAAATGGCGCACTATTGATAAGGGATTGGAGTCGCTTCCTCGCGCTTTCTACCCGCATGTTGCCGACAAAGTCACCTTCAACCGCACTATCCAAGGTCTAGCTTACAACGAAACCACCGGTAAAATTGCAGTGGCATGGCGTGAGGACCCACTAAAAATGACACCAGAGACAAAGGAGTACGACTACGCTGTTGTAGCAGCACCATTCAGCAAAGTCAGATTATGGGATCTGCCACGCTACTCGTCTCTTCTGAGCCGAGCCATTTCCACACTGAACTACGATCCAGCTTGCAAAATGGCTTTGCTCTACAAAACTCGCTTCTGGGAGCACCTCGAAGAGCCAATCTTTGGCGGTTGTGGCTCAGTAGATGTTTCCGGTGTCGGAAATGTCTGCTACCCTTCATACAATATGAACGGTACTGGTCCTGGCGTCATCCTCGCCTCGTATATCTCCGGCACCCCAGCACGATCTGCAGCCGCACTCAACCCCGAAGAACACGTTGCGCTCATCCAGCGAACTATGATTGAAGTCCACGGCGAAATTGCTGCAGAACAATTTACCGGAATTTATGACCGACAGTGCTGGGAGTTTGATCATCACCAGGCTGGTGCTTGGGCGGATCCACTTGTTGGGCAGCAAGAGCTTTATTTGCCTGCGTATTACCAGACGGAGATGAAGACCATTTTTATTGGTGAGCATACTAGCTATACCCATGCTTGGATATTTTCGGCTTTGGACTCGGCTGTCCGTGGTACGACGCAATTGCTGCTCGATCTTGGACTGGTTGATGAGGCGAAGTCTGTTGTGGAAACTTGGATGGGTCGATGGATTAAATTGTAAAGCTTGTCACGATATGAGACTTGGAGATATTCCAAGGCTCCGTCGCGGTACTTCAAAGTTGATCAAAACGCCTATTTAAATAGGCCGCTCTTCTATATGTAGATAAATGTCAATACAAAATGAATATTAACAGTGCTCCGAGTCTTTTACCCTTTCCAGCTCCAAAAGGACCAGCTAAAACTTGAAAAAAAATTAAGAACATAAACAAAAACAAAAACAAAAACAAAAACAAAAACAAAAACATTAGGCCATAAGTTCCTCGGGAGCGCATCTACTTGGCGAAAGAGTAGATGAACATGTCGTCGTTATCCTCCTTCGAAATGAGTAAACACCCAATATCACTGGCTTTAATAGCTGGAAAGCATTGTATTACGCTGTTACATCCGGTCGTCGCTAATCGGTGACATATTGGTTGAATCCGGAGCATACATTTTGATCTTGGATACTAACGGCAAGACTCCGGCACATGTGACGTAGGTCTTTTCGCGCAAAAGTGTCTTTAGTAACAATACAAATGATTCATTTACAAATTTCAGGCTCCTTCGATTGCTTTTACACCAGATGTCATAACTAATATCTTTGAGGGTCGATTTGTAAATTGTCGGGGATCCAAGCATACTACACTATACTGTGGCTTATACTCTACTATACCACATCGGGACACGGCCAGCCACAGTTTATGGGGCGGACTCCACATCACGTGCTCCTTGCGTCATGGAGGGCCTCTGACCATAGCCAACTCAAGCAAAGCAAGAAACAATCAAGATGCGGGCCACCGATTTCATTTCGTCCTTGATACTACTATTCACATTCATCAGTTCCAGCACAGCAGTCTGGACCCTAGCCCTTCCAAACAGCCTCCGTCAAAGACCCCTAGCCCTCCACAACGACCCTGCGGGTCCGAAGCCGATCATGGACCGACTCATCCCCGGCATTCTAAAGCCCCAGCCAGCGCCCAACAACGGCCTCCAAGGCGAGGCCGACAAACCCATAATCTCAGACGTCCTACCAAAGACAAAAGGCATAAACATCTTCGCCCAGCTGACCCGAGACTTCGATTCGATCTCGCAGCGCCTGAACGACGCATCCAAGAACCTGACCGTCCTCGCCCCTCGCAATAGCGCCGTCCAGGATCTTCCCCGCAAGCCGTGGGAGGATCCGGAGGATTATGCCAAGTTTGGCGAGGTGAATGCGTACGAGGGGGAGGATGGGAAGGATCGAGCGAGGGATAATTTGCGCCGTTTTGTAGAGGCGCATATTATTCCTGTTAGTCCTTGGGTTGAAGGGGAGGAGGTTGAGACTCTTGGTGGGGGTAAGTTGAAGTGGGTTAAGGAGGGGGATAAGATTAAGGTGTGTATCTGTTCGGGATCGAAGTATTGGACCATATTGGGAACTCGCTGACCATCGATATCAGATTCAACCTGGTGACATTGAAGTAGATAATGTTGCGGAGAAGGTTGCCAATGGCGAGGTTTGGGTCCTTAATAAGGTGATCAACTATAGTCGCTGAATACCGACTCGGACCTCCTCATGATATACGATACTATTTAATGACATTTGGATTTGGGAAGTCGTTTATCCTTTATACTATAAACCCTATCTTCTAGTAGAAACAGTACTGCGATCTGGAGGGTAGCGGCACCCACCTGGGCAGATACTAGTAGTACCTGTGGGTACTCCAGGCTGTTCGCAAGCAAAGGTTTCGCGGGCTAAGCTAGTATTGGATCGATTCGGGGTTTAAATGCTCATTAATTAGTACCTAGCCGAGTACACTTACAGGCAGCTTCTAGCTTAATCTTCTATTGCCACCTGGGCAAGTTTGCTTCAAAGCACTACTATATTGGGTATTATCAGGTTCTATCTTTGACTTATTTCAAGTTTCGTTGGTTTGTATGCGCTCTGGAAGTAAAGTAAAAATTGCCCTTGAAACCAAAATAACATGACATGCAAACCTCCGCTGAGGCATCAAATATGCACCTTTGTTTTGTTTTTGGGTTTCTTTTCAAATGACATCAAGCATATAAAATATCCCTGTTGCATTGAGATTCATCGTTTCCATGTCTACCTAGGAGTCCTTGGCAGCCTTCTTCTCGTTCTCCTTCGCCGCCAGTCTCAAGACATCAATTTCGCTCGACAACCAGCGGCGGAATGGTTCAGCGTGAAATACACCTTCTCCAGAGAACCACGTGGTGAAAGGAGCCTCGCATTGCTTATCCTGTAACACCTTTCCTGTGGGAGACTTGTACTGAACTCGCAGCTTGTACTGTTTAGTGAACTTCTTTGCGGATGAAGAAACGGTGATCTATCGAGGGTGGTTTCGTAAGTAAATGGAGTCCAAATTAATTTTCATATGAAGCGCAAGAGGAAACAAGAGGATCACGAACCGTCTCTCCAGTCTTGCGTTTGCCGGCAAAGACCTCGCCAGCCTCGACGGCCCAAAGCCAAAAGGTCAGAATACTGTTGAGTGTGAAGTATGCGACGACGGCGGCGATGATCCAGGGGGAGCTTGTTGCCTCCCAGCCTAGTGTGCGGTCTGCGTAGAAAGTGAATCCTGCGATTGCGATGGCGCTGTAGCCCAATGCGAAGCGGATGTTGCTCTTGGCGTGGTCGACTTTGAAGGCATATGGGGCTGGGAGAGTGCACAGGTATGGAAGGAGGGCATCATCGGTTGTTGACTTGAGGTCTGTTCAAAGCAGTTTGGTTAGTTATGTTGTATTATTTGTAGATTTCACCATGGAGTAGGCTGAGATATTGTATGAAGGAGTAGATCTGGAGCTGACGGACCATTCGTTGAGTAGACTGGCACCTTGGACGCCATTGTGGTGATGTAAAATAAAGTCGCGAAGGTAGATTTGTGAAGTTTGAGTCCAGGGTTTAAGGATTTGGCTCGGAGACCTGATGTATGCGAGGGCTGAGACGAGAATGTTTATCGCGAGGACACCGTTGCGGGTTGAAGATGGAAGGGAAAGCTGGAGCTCGCGACGGACCAATCGGCGGGACTCTCCACTCTCCATCCACTTCCACTTCTTCCCTCCCGCAACTCCTCCTCTTCCCATCCCCCCTCTACCTCTACAATCTCCGATCTATTCCAGTTCAATAACAGACATTTGTCTTTCTGATCATGGCAGTTCAAGGGGTGGAGCAGACCATCCTTAGGGATCCGGCCCTTTTGTGAGAATCCACTTCCCAATGAATGCCGAATCCCCTCTCAACCGAACTGACCATCATATAATCTAGCTACTGGATTCTCTTCCCAATCTCGGTGGTTATGGTATGATTGAATTCCACACTTCTACTGTGCATGCAACTCAAGAACCACAGCGCGCTAACTCTTACGTCCGAACAGATCCTCACCGGAATCCTGCGCCACTATGCCACCGTCCTCATGAACACACCCCCAAAGAACCCCTCGACTCTCGCCGAGTCGCGCGAACGCCACGCCCTTCTTCGCGGTGTGAACTTGCGTAACCACGCCGCCGCTGTCCTGGACCAGGAGTCCTTCGAGGCCCGCAGGAACTACATGGTCGCCGGTTTCCGCAGCGGCGCGTTCTTGAAGGACCCCAACAACCGCGGACAACCCCCGGCCAACCCAATGACCGATCCCCAGGGCATGGAGGCTATGATGGGCATGCTGAAGGGAAATATGATGATGATGATTCCCCAAACTTTGATCATGAGCTGGATCAACGCCTTCTTCTCGGGTTTCGTCATCCGTAAGATTTCCTCTCTCTCTCTGTGAATCCTTTTTATGTTGCTATCATGGTTTGCTAAGAAGTGCCGTTAGTCAAACTGCCTTTCCCCTTGACTATTCGCTTCAAGTCGATGCTCCAGTCTGGTGTCATGACCCGTGACTTGGATGTGAAGTGGGTGTCGAGTCTGTCGTGGTATTTCCTGAACTTGATGGGTCTTCAGTCTGTTTTCGGCTTCATCCTGGGCAGTGACAACGGTAAGTTATTCGAACGACGGGTCATCCGAGCCCATTTCTAGATTCTTGTGTGAGAGATGGAAACTAATCACCTTTTACTTTTACAGCTGCCAGCCAAATGGCCCAGCAGATGGGCATGGCCAACCCCGCTGCTATGATGAACCCCATGCAGCCTGGCCAAGACCCCGACAAGCTGTTCACCAGCGAGGCTGAGAACCTCGAGGTTATGGAGCATTTCTGCATCCTCAACGGGGTGGAGGAGAGAGTTCTGCGCAATTTTGCGCAGATCAACTAATTTAAAGCTACTACATAGAATGTGTTGATTCTGTTTTGGGTTAGGAGTCTGCGTGTATACATACTTTACGGAGATCAATTACTAGTCCTAGGCAGAAAATACTAGTATTCGACATGCTATCATATACCACAAAAGTATTCGCGCTTATCTCGATTCTCGGTACTAGTAGCTACGCGGCGTCATCATGAAGCGTTCAAGCTTGCGGGTTCCATAACCAATACCTCGTTCCAATGTTATTCGACCTAAATTCTTTTATAATTTTTCTTTTGGAAATTCTACAAATCATCTTTGCCCATTGATGAAAACTGAGGCTTTTGGTATCTCAAATCTTTTAGTAGTTTGAGCCTGACGGCCCTTGCCCTACTAAATATGTCCTCTTCCGACCCTACGGATACTCCCTCCAACTCCAAAGATGGCAGCGAGCTAATGGACCCCAAGAATCTATTGGACCCGAAGATGCTAATTTTTCCGGGTGATAAAACACCAGAAGAGGCCCGTCTAGAGCGAGAAGGATGTATCCGGACTCTTCAAGTGTTTCGATACAATCTCTTTCAAAAAGAGTCAAAGGTCCACCAAGTTGATGCCTTTGCTGACCTACTCTACTATGAAGAGGAGATACGAAGAAATTGTCAAGAGGAAATTGCTTTAAAGCAAAAGCTCAAGGACGATCTAGATATCTGGGGCCCTGATCTCCCTAGCTTTGACAAAGAAATGAGCAGACTCCATCAGGAAAATTGGTTAAGCACACGATACTGGTGGTATACCCGTGGTTGGATTATCGGTAATTCTGGGCCCTTATAACGGGCATTTGAGTTGTGGCGATCTTATCCTCAATGGTACATGCATCCGATTCTTGTTGAAGATTGTAAGTCTAGAGGAGGGTGCTGTGGTCGTGATTGTGGATGTTGTTCCGATTCTCAACGCGTACTGGATTACGCTTTGGAGGGTGCGGTGGAGAGCCGCAGCATATATGATGATGACGAGCAAGACTAAGAGGTCTTTCCACCCCCATTGGGCGAAGCGCTCGGCAAGGCCGTTGATATAGTCGGCGGGGCTCCACTTGCCCTCTTTAGGGGCCATCGAGGTTGGCTTATACATCATATTAGCTACGTCCAACAGCAATTGATACGGCAATTCTCAAGTGACGTTACCGGTCTGGTTGAGGAAGAAATGATCGCATCAGAGCAGAGCAAACGAATTTTGGAGATGGTGTCGAGATCCCGTCTAACTTGAGGTCCGAAGTTCAACCTCATCCCAACTACTACAGGCAGGTACGACTGATACCTACCTTTTACCCTCCATCTTTCCCCTTGCATTCAATCCAACTTGGAAGCTACAGTATTTAGTAGGGTAGTGCTCGGAGAAATTCTCCTTTTAATTGTTTCGGAGGGTATTCAGATGCGCACGACGGTTTATTGTATGTACAAAACTCCGATATCACAAAGCCTTGCTTGAATCCAGTTCTAGTAGTCCTGGACTATGTCCACCCTCCAACAATGATTTTCTCTGCTTGGAGATGTCACAACCCTCATTTAAACATGTACATGAGATTCCAATTCCCATGGATTCCAAGGGATTCCTGCTGAAGTGAGAAATCAAGAGGTAGGGGGGGTCAAATTTCCGACGTAGATAACTGACTAAGCGCGGCGTTGTGTAGCCGAGGTCTCCTCAGGTCCCTCAATGGTCCCTCATTATTGGCAACTGCTATGATACTAATGTTCTGATCCGCCTGTTACGATGCTGCGAACCAAGACAGGATGTCTGATATGTAAGTGGTCTTTACATATGCTTCGCGGGAGATACATACTCAAGTGTGCAGGTAAGCGAAAGCGCAAGAAATGCGATGAAAGCAAGCCTCAATGTGAGCGATGCATCAAGTCCGGCCGTCATTGTCGCTGGCCTTCCGCAGAGCAACAACTGGACAAACGACATCGCTTCCGGCCCCACGGGTCACTTCATGATCTATCGGGGTCTGGACGATTTGTCCATGGAGATCCTGCACCTTCTGAACTGCCCTATGCAAGTCCATATCAGAAACGGTTAAGCATAGCGCGGGGATTCGAATCCGGCTCGGAATCGCGTCTCTTCGCTCATTTCTTAGAGAAGCTTAGTCCCTTGCTGTTTCTATCCACGGGTCACCCCGCATTCCAGGATGACTGCATCTCATACGGGATGGAATTAAGTATTCGATTTGAAGCAGCCCGGACGGGGATATTGGCATGCAGCGCCTTGCATGCATACAACCTCACTTTGAACAGGCAACTGAAAGTAGTGGCTCTCAAATACTACTCTATGACGGTGTCCAATGTCTACTTGGGCTTTCAAAGTATAAATACGGCTGCCTATCCTGAAGATTTCTTTGCTTCCTGTGATGGAAGATACGATGCACTGATGCTTTCGATTGTGTTGCTTTATATTTACGGGGTGAGTGCGTGCTATCGACAAATAATACCCATATTCCACCTGCACTCAAACCAAAATTTGGCGTGTTACTCCGTGATTACTGACATTTGTCTGGAACATAATAGCATTTGACCGGAGAGCCCGAGTATTGTCAAGATATCGCCCACCATACAGTCGGGGCAATGCAGCTACTGCGTTCGCGTCTCACATTGAATGGAGTCAACCGTCCATTTGACCGGGTGATTGCTGAAAGTATTTTCTATCAAATATTTATGCTCTCAGTCAGATACGCTAGTGACTGGACATCACGACTTGACGAGGAAATTTGGAATGATGCACTTCAATTCTCCATTTTTCCTGACTCGCCTCCGATAGCCAACAGCCCTATCCTAGGGATCCCCCTGTCCCTTTGTAGATTAATTTCAAGGATCGCACAGCTTTATCATGGCCCTGTGCCACGGTATTTACCCGAATTCGTGCTACTTTTGCGACACGAAATGCGCGACTGGGAGAGCTGGATGCTTGAGCTTGCTTTCTCTGACAAAGAAATCTCTTCTGATTCGGTTCCCATCTTAACAAATCCCATTTATGAAACTACTTTAATGTATGTTTTGGCTGCGTCCCTTCTTGTGGAAAGGTTCAGCACATTAGCCGAGGGTTTAAGTTTACAAACTTCTTTCCTGTCGAATTTCGGCTTTTCAAGACGACGAGAATATGCATTAGGACTAGTGCGCCAGTTGATTCGAGATGTGAGATGGACAAAGAACTACCTTGCGACGTGGCCCACAATGGTCATTGGCACTCTAGTTGAAACCGAGGAAGATGCTTTATTGATGAAGCAAGACTCGGACCAGCGACAAATAATAGCCGCGAGGGGGGAAGGCATTTTCCTTGATCCCGGGGCTTTTCATTCTTGGCAAGCTGGTTAATACCATACGCAGACCATTTTGTGAGGCTAGATTTGCGAGAAATAGCTTTCAAATGCTCTTTACTAGCCTTTTACAAGTAAACTACTGGTATGTGGGCACCAATCATTGACATTTGCGCAAATTCCTTGGCAATATGCGGGGTTCCAAGGTAAAAGCCCCACCCCGGTCAGGAATGAAGCTAATTTATTGAACCAACCAAACAAGCTTAGGGCCGGTGTTGCATCACTCCGAGATTTACTTAGCAATGGGGTACCATCATGATCCATAATCAGCTATATAATCTAGCGCTGCACCAATCACAGATACTTGCGCAATTTTCTTGGCAATTCCTATAGAAGCCAATCAGTAGCAACTATGACCTCGGGAATATCTTCATCCCTGGATTCTCAGGCTTTCACCTACCTCGGTATATCCAACAAGCTCCATTCTTGATAGAAGTATTGAATACCCTTGGAATCTATTTCTTATCTCCAGTCTCCGGGAATATATAAAGTCGTACTACATTCAAGTTCTGCGGAGGTTCATTCCTTCTACAAAAGATTTCTTATTACAACTTGAAGGTTTCGGTAAATCTTTCGCTCCTTCAAACTCCATCAATTTCTTAAACACCGCTTGAATATGGCCATTACAGAGGATTGGCAGGCGTTGATAGATCAAAAACTCATTCATCGTGCCTCACAAATTCCTCAAGAATGGAAAGTTTCCAGTGATTTGACCGAACTTGTTCGCCCAGATACTTCAACTAGTGCCTTTGACTTGTTGCGGAGAACCGCTCTTCTCAGCCCAAGGGAACTTGAAATCACTGAGACAAACAGTGCCCAAAGTCTCGTTGAATTGCTTGCAGCTTGTCAAATTACCTCGTTGGAAGTGACTACCGCTTTCTGCAAGCGGGCTGCCATTGCACAGCAGCTGGTAAGGTCGCCCCTCGCCCTATCCTGCTCCAAATTCTTTACTGTCAAAACTAATGTCTTTTTTTGCAGACTAACTGCTTGACCGAGATATTCTTCGATCAAGCAATAGCACGAGCCAAGGAGCTCGATGAGTACATTGTGAAGAATGGACGTCCGATGGGTCCATTTCATGGCCTTCCGATAAGTCTGAAGGTACTCATTCTCTTTTGTGTTCTCGGTATGATACGCAGGAGCATATAATTGACCGTTTATTGTCCAGGATACCTTCATGATTGAAGGCCAAGCAGCCACGCTTGGCTTTATTTCCTTCCTCAAGAAGCCAAATGCTACCAAAAACTCTTCTCTGGTCGATATGCTACTCGAGGGAGGCGCAGTATTGTACGTCAAGACAAACGTGCCTCAGACTCTTTTTGTAAGTTCTCTTCCTATAACTCATCATCTCTTACTTATAGACTTTACCTGATATTCAATAGACATGCGAATCTTATAATAGACTTTTCGGTACAACCATGAATCCACATAACCTGAGTCTGACTGCGGGTGGAAGCAGCTCCGGCGAAGGTGCACTAGTAGGTATCAGAGGATCTATCCTAGGTGTTGGGAGTGATATTGGCGGTTCGGTAAGAGTCCCGTCTTTATGCAATGGTATCTACGGGTTCAAACCTACCGCGAATCGCGTGCCGTTTGGAGGCCAGCAAGAATTGATTCGAAAAGGATGGCCGGGAATTCCCCCTGCTGCTGGGCCACATGCTCATTCTGCAGCGGACCTCACTTTCTTCGTTCGATCGGTCCTTCTTTCTCAGCCATGGCTGAAAGACTCTACTGCCTTGGCCGTGCAATGGCGAGAGATTCCTAAGAAGACACGGCTTACCATCGGAGTCTTTTTCAATGACCCGATGTTTCCGGTTTTCCCTCCAATATCCCGTGCATTGCAAGCTGCGGTAGACAAACTGAAGAGTGCTGGTCATGACATCGTGGTTGTGGACGCTCCACCTATAATCACAGGTGTAAAAGGAGCGTGTCGCTCCTTTATGCTGGATACAAATGACACGATCTCAAAGCATCTAGAGGAGTCAGGGGAAAATCCGATTGAGTGTCTCCGCCAAAGCAATCCAGCAGATTTCCTTAAGCAAGATGTATTTTCACTGGACGACGTGTGGCAATTTACTGCTGAGCGAGAAGACTACAGAGAAGAATGGGGCAAGGTATGGCGAGAAAATCAGCTCGACGTTCTCCTTTGTCCAGCCTCTCGCGGCACAGCTGTACCTCATGACAAATACGGGGCTCCTGTATACACTTTGATTTGGAATTTTCTCGATGTGAGTTTAACCCGCAGTTGACTAGTTATCAACCGACTCGTTAACGAAAACATTTAGTTTCCTGCCAGCGTTATTCCCTACGAACATGCCAGCAAATCACTGGATACAGAGGAAATGGATGAATGTGAGTTGTCCTGTCATCATGAAATTACAGCCCAGGCTAATTGAACTCCAGTCAACATTGACGAAGTTGACGGAGCACCTTGCCATGTACAAATTGTTGGCTGGCAATTCCAGGACGAGGAAGTTCTCTCTGCGACGGAGACTATTGCTGAAGTTCTCAACCCATGAACTTCCCATTTTGATATCAGGCTCCTTTTTTACTCCAAGAAGCAACTTGAGCCTCTAATCCTGGTTGCTAGAAGTTAATTTCGATTGGGCGAATTCAGTATGATCCTAAAGAAAGATAGGGACACAATCCTGATCCTAGTTGTATTCGTCATACTAGTAGAATAGTAGAGCAAAGCTTGTTTATTTTGTTCTCTCGTCATTAATGATTCAGTTAAAATAAGAAACCACTCTTGCCACTTGGCGAACCCTGATTATTTCAGTACATACTTACGAGAGAGAAAAACCTATACTTGGCTCATAGCCCAAAACAAGATTTGAATCTTCCACTGGTAAGAGCAGCACCAAATCCTAAGGAATTCACGGCGTCTCGAGCCGATGTTTTCTCTCTACTTGATGTGCAGCTAGAATAAAGAGTGAGGGAACCCGGTTGTGTAAAAAAAATCTTCTTCTCATTTTTTTGACCTAGTGAGATCAAGCGACAAGTTATACTTATTGCAAAAGGATGGAATAAATTACTGAAAGACCCAAGCATATTCTGCCTGTCCACCAAGACAATTGGTTCGAATATGAATTCAAATTGCTTGTTTCCAAATTTTCCCGAATCTCAACTATTTACCAGCTATTTTACTTGAATCTGATTTCTGGAAGATCTAAGATGATTCACAATATCAAGCATTTCGGTCCTACAGTACAAATGACTATCTGTCTGATGACACTCTTTGTCTTATGACACTCTCGCGCGATTGGCTTGTGTTAAATAGCTCGTGGTACTATTTATGACTGCACAGGATCGAGCATTACTGCAGCTGAATTCTCTTCGTCTGAGACTTGAGAGTATCATCAAGACTGAAGTTACATACAAATTTGACCAGGAGATATTCGGAAGAATAGGGAAGTTCTGTCGAGATTTTCCGTGCCCAGAGTGGACGGTATTGCAAAATACGATAGAAACCATTTGACACAGACCGATTGTGTTCCTGAACGGACGATCTCAGCTGAGCCCGACCTTCAATGTGGATGAATTCTTCCAAGGGTGTTTCTTTTTCTTGATCCTTTTGCCCCACCTTTTTAAGACCCTGATCAAGATGGATAGAGCTCATTGGCTTATACCTACCCGAGGCGGGATCGATCTGCATCAATAGCTCATATTTATATGCAAGGTCTGGCATTTGGAATACGTGGGCGCTGATTACTTCCACGTTTGATCTAATTTTATCAATATATACGGATTAGGGTGGTACAGGATTGCTAAGTGCAATTCAAACAATACTAGTGTCAAATCTATGACGACGAGCTTGGTATGATCCACCAGCGTGCGCTCCAAAGGTATAAATATCAAGACATTCGAATGCCCATAGGCATGTTCGCTCCGACTTAAGTTCCAAGTTCAAATATTCAAGTCTTTGCTCCTTTACCGACTTCTTTCGCACACAAATCAATCATGAAGCTGTCTTCTCTCCTAGTGCCATCACTCTTGGTAGCGCCTGTTATCGCCGCGCGCTCAACGGGTGAATGGGTTGGAGACGTAAAGAGCATCACAGATGCGTATCGGAAAACCCAGACTAACGTCAAGGCAATAAAGAGTTCCTTTGGTAACCATGGCGAGCTCTTTTTCCTGACGAGATCTCTACTTAAATGCGATGAGAAGGTTAGTGCTGCAGTAAATCAGCAGCAGAAGGCGAGTGAGCCGCAGCTTCTTCCAGACAACGGCGCAGAGGGCGAGGTAAGTTTAATATTTCCCTTGCATATTCATGCCTGATGATTCACCATTTCAATTTTAGTCCAATGAAGCGTGTGCCGCAGTCGCCGGATACTTTCCCGAGGTAAATAAAAGTCCACACCATGCGCTGATAATTTTTGCCGTTCTCAGAAATTGATCAGTACCATCGCAGTTCTCCACCGTTGGCATCGAAACTATGAACGCATTTCTGAATCCAGAATTCGCCTGTACAGAAAGTACCAAGGCAGCATTCGGTCCCGCGAAGTGTAAAAAATGCCCTGAATTATGGCGGAAGTGGAATTCTGACTGGGATGTATGTTCCTTCAAGGTTTCCCAAACCCTTGTGCTTCATGAACTTCATGGGTGTCACTTCAAGTTCTGATAACTGACCCGTTCTTTTTGCTTTGTTCTAGCAATACCACACTCTCTTTACCCTGAATTGCGACGCGAAATATGATGATGACACATTACAAAAGTTTGAAAACAGCTACGCCGCATTCAAGGATAAGTTCCAGGAAGCTACAGATGCTTATCAGGACATAGGTGCATGGTGCGCCGCCAAGTCATCATGATAGAAAATTTTTGGTGCTGCAAATTGTCCTATACTAGTGGTCTATTTGGGTTGCGCAAGAAATGGGTCATCTGTGATACTCAATTTTGTGTTGTGGGCGAAGACATAATATTGATAGATACTTCTAGCCAAACATTGGAAGTTTTATACTGCGGCATTGAAGGCGAAGTTCGTCAATGAGGATAAGAATTTCTTCTAGTTGGGTTTTTCCTGAGTAGATTTATTATTACTACAAATAAATCTATCCTAGGAGTACTCTCGAGGTCATTACTAGCATGTAACATCATGATGTACACTCGCATCCGTTCACCACGACGCGTTAGTATAGGTAGAGTGGTGCGCTACTACCCATACTACGAGGTATTGGCTTTTAGCGGATGCTATAACATAGTGTCCATAATTACTGGGATATATCACTATAGCAAACTTTGAGGAGGCGATCCCAGTGTTTCACGAGACACTTCAAGCCACTCCTAATAGCCATCCTGGTCTTCTAAGATCCCTGAATAGCCTGGGAAAGTCGCTCGTAAGTCGATACGAGCGAACTGGAGAGCTAGGAGATCTTAAAGAGGCGATTGCGCTTCTCCGCCAGGCGGTTCAGGCCAAGCCTAGTCCTGATGACTATCTTTACATTCCATGATCCCTGACTAGGTTGGTAATGTCACTTGTAGGCCGATACAAGCGAGCCGGGCAGATCAGGGATCTAGAAGAGGTGATTTCACTGTTCCGTCAAGCACTTTAAGCCACCCTTGATAATCATCCTGGTCTTCCACAATCTCTCAATGGGCTAGCAATGTCACTCGTAAGTCGATACGAGCAAACTAAACAGATAAGAGATCTAGAAGAAGCGATCCCATTATTTTACTAGGCGGTTTAGGCTACTCCTAATAGCCATCCTAGGCTTCCACTACTGTTAAGCAGCTTGGGTAAGTCTCTCACAATTTGATACGAGCGAAAAGGACAGATAGATAACCTCGAAGAGGCCATCCGGCTGTCCCGCCAGGCTATTATAAAACCCCCTTTGATAATCCTCAAATTTCCTACTAGTTAACGAACTTGGGAAATATACTCAGAATACAGAACAAAGAAATGGCCTTGATGTAGCGATGCAGGCTTTTCGCCAGGTGGTCACCGTCACATCAGTATATCCTATAGCACGGATCGAGCCTGCTATTAATGATCTTCAGCTCCTACTTAAGCAAAATGATCATGACAGTGGTTAAGAACTACCTATCAATACTATTAATCTCCTGCAACTCATTCATAAGAGGTCTTTGAGCCTACAGGATCAACAATATATTGTCTCGCATTTTTCTGGCTTAGCTACGCAAGCCTGCTCCCTCGCCCTTCAAACTGGCAGCCTATTAAAAGAGCTCTACAATTCTTAGAGAAGGGACAAGGTGTTATCCTTAGTCTTCTCATGGATAACCAGAGTGACACAACAAACTAAAGGGCTGCCTATCCCGCTTTATGTACTCTATACGAAAGCCTTCGCGTCGAGGTATATTAACCGATCGATAGAGCCCAATATCATCAGGCGGATAAATTCATTTCTATACGACAGTCAACAGCGCTCGCAGAGCTTGAAAAATGTATACAGGACATACTCCACCTTCCAGGCTTCGACTCCTTTCAATAAGACCTCACTACGGAGTAAATATTGAGTACTTCTAATAAGGGCAACATCATCGTGGTGAATGTCACTGACCTACGGAGTGATACTATTATTATATCTTCGGGAGGGTTTTGCTTGGTCCCTCCTCTTCAATTTAGTACGATTCAAGCGCAGAAATAGCTCAATCGGGAGTTGACTTTGCCTAGCGCACGTGAGACGAAGAATAAAACATACCATGGATTTTTAACCTAGCTCTAGCACAAGCGCGTAAAGCCTATCTTTGCTAAGCTTAGTCATTATATTCAATCCTCCCCGGAAAATCTTCCGAGGATCTGGTAGATTGGGACTGGACTTACCAGCTCCTTTCCATTTCACGCTGCTTGCGATAGTTCTGCAGGGCCATCCCAAAGAACCTTCGATCTTGTTTTATCTTCCTACACCCCTACAGTCAAGGGACTATTATATACCAGAGAGCACTTTTCCATCTCTCCTTCATCAAAAGAGTCCCCGCAAAAGCTACTCATCGTTACCATGGCCAACACACCTGGTGCCTGTGACTTGCCTGAGAGAAAAAGCAAAAGCTCGATAATCGTGGAAGTACTAGGAGTTTCTATTCATACAAAGATTCTCGACCAACCAGACTCGGCAAGTGTTATAAGCCACATCCACAATTACAATATTGCCCATTTCGCGTGCCACGAAACTTCCGATAGGCTAAATCCATCTCAAAATAGCCTTCTACTGTAGACTACCACTGGAAATCTAGAAATGGATACCTTGAGTGTTCTCAAACTCTACAAGAATTATCCTACGCGGGGTGAGATTGCATTTCTCTACATATTCGACTACAGGAAATCAAGCAAAATGTTTAACGGATAAAGTCCTCCACGTTGTGAGTGGTTTTCAGGTCGCTGGATTCAGGCATATTATGAGAGCCCTGTAGCCATCTGAAAACGAGGTATACGTGTAGCTCACTAGGTCATTCTGTACTAAAATTTATCGGAACAGTTGTATAGAATAAAGCAGCAGATTTATAGTAATAGCGCTTCACAAAGCAACCTCGGCAGTTTCGACTCAAGATAATTATCGAAAACAGCCGCTGGCTTGGGCGCAGTTTGTCCATTTCAGTTCCCAAGTATGAACAAGCCTTAGCGTTCACCCTAGGGTGAAGGTCAAGGTCCTACATTCGATTTTCCTCATAAACAAGTATGAATTTTTTTTTGAATGCTGAGGGACTTATCAGATGTGCGCAGGTTGGCAATAAAAGCCAGAAATTCGAAATTCCGCTTCATTATCGTCGACTTTCATACCAGCCGGAATATTGAGAAGGGGGAAGTAGATATCTTTTCGTTCCGCCAATTTCTCGTGGTAAGCGGCATATATGATTTTCGTGTATTGCAATGTGTGCCGGATGGTACCGACATGGTCGAAAACAACCGCTCGAGCTTCCTTCGCTTGTTGCACAAGAAATGACTTCCAAGCCTTCTCGGTTCGGCGCTGCTTCTCAACTTGTGCGATTAGATTGTATTCGCGATTGCGATCAACGAGCCCACCATCAATGATGCATCGATATTCGCCTCGCCTCGCCTCGCATTCACCGGAAGAGCAAAAAAGGTATCCACTGGTCCCACTCCCTCTTCTCTCTATTTTCCCTCCCTTATTTCTTTTGCTTTTCTCTTTTTCTTCACCTCTGAGTCTTCATTTTCTTCCTCCTTCGCCTCCTTCCGGGCCCCGGCATGGGTCTGCTCCGCGGCTTTGCGCTCGCGGGAAATTTGACGAGGGATCTATATTGCAAGTCAATACATATTTTAGCGATGGACAATGCATAAGGCCCCGACATGCTGCAAAACATAAATCGACAGTGCACTTAGGGTATAGAGGTACTTTACTTTGCCTTACTCATCTCGATGTTCAGCTGGTTACGGCCATCCATGTCCTGGCGACCTCCAAGGCATGCCAGAGCCAGAACCAGGGATAATAATAATCCTCATCCAGCCAGAATTGCCGACGTAGTCCGCGAGGACTTACAACATGTCGCCTGGCACTTGGAGCTGGATTCTCCTTCTCAGGGGGCTTGTTCTCGTTGGTCGGGACCGGCTTAAACAGATTAGCTACGTTCAAACAACACTTGATCCGGATTTCCTCAAGTAACATTACCAGTATGATAAGAGTAAATTGGAGTCGAGTAGAGTCAAGACCAGAGCAGACGGGTTAGATGACTGAGATGGTGTCGAGATATCGTCAAACTTGGCGGGTGAAGTTCAACTTGTTTACAATTTGTTTACAGCTACAAAAGGCAGGCACGTCTGCTAATTTCAATTGGCAAGTACACCTGGCAGTTTCTGCATCTCTTCTCCTCGCGGTAATGGATCGCATACTGCAATTGAAATTCATAATCACATGAAAATCACAGTATCTGTTAGAGTGATGCTCAGGGGAAACTCTGCTCTCCGGGCGGCTAACCGATTTGGAGGTAGCCAGATACTCGCGACTGTTTATTGGTATAGACACCAAACCATGAAGCCTTGAAACTTTATCAGCCGCAAGAAGAGTAATCCGTAAACGGATGGCGATTAGTTAATGGACAATGGTTCTAACTGTGGGCATTTGGCCCAGAGAAATAAGTAGAGACATGGCGGGACCGGTCTAATTGTGAAACAAACCGCTTTGGGACCTGAAGTTGCAACTCGATACGGGATACATGGAACATGACTTACTTCGCCCACTATATACGAGCAAGAAAAAAAGCCCTGTTGCCTTGAAGAGTCTCCTGATCAAAACAAAATGGGGCGGAGCACCTGGCGACCTCTTACCCCGGCTGTGTTCCCTTGTATTTACGAAGCCGAGAATCGGGGGCCATTCTTGAAGAGCCTCGTCTCCACGAGGGAATTATTTGCATTCAATCATGTTTGCTTGCTGCTCTGTACATGCATTCTGTGCATAAGATTGGCAGAACGAGACCAGTGTTTCAACTTCCTAGCCTGCTAATCGGGTAATATCCACCTGACAGTGATTTCTTTTGCCCGGGTGCAGACCTTAGCTGCCTAGGCTGCCCACATGGGCCGGGATGAGGCGCTAGAGGGGTTTAGTTCATTCGCTAATATGCGTGTTGAGGTGACTCCGCCAAGCCGCCTGGATGCGCTGGCAAGGCTTTGTGTGCCCCGCACCGTCTCGGGACTACACAGCCGCTTTCCTGGGCCATGGACGAGACTTGTTTTTATTCACTCGTCAGTCTCATTCTTGCTGTTAGCCAAGCTCTTTTTAACTCTCATATATTGACTAGAATCCCCTAGGCCTGAAGTGGGACTATTACGGATCGTCGTATACTATAGATCTGATCGCTCATTGGACGATTGCGGGACTGAACCTTGGCTCGTCCGTTCAACTTTAAAGTGTTTATTTGGATATGTTCGGTTCTAATCTTCAATGCAAGAGGCTCTGCCCGAAGATTCCGATCTTGCAATGGAAACAAGGTAGATTAGATCCATTTCCTGAATTGACCAGTATACTCTTTACTTACACTAAAGCAGGTGATGGCGACGACTGGACAGAGAGTGAAATTTATACGTCGGAACTGCGGGTCCAGGGTCGTGGACAGGTTCCCTCTATCGTTTCTAAAGATACAGAAGTATACATCATGTAAGCTTGTTGAGGCAGAGATATCCTAGACATTGAAAACTTGAATCAAGTTGAACGCTGAAAATATGAAGAGTCGCAAATGCAGAGAAAATCATGGAATGCCAACAATGCCGTGACATCTTCATCAACACATTCTGCATGCCCAAGGCCCTCTGGTCACCCTCAATCCGCAACTCAAATGGTTACTTCGGATGCGAAGCAACCTATGATACAAACTCTGTCGCGGGATTCAGTAAGTATAAAATAACCATCACCCCATTTCAAAACCAAGGTGTCTTGCAAATACATGAGCCCCAGCCTCCTCAACGTCCAAACCAAACTGATATCATCCAGATACATGGGCCTACTTCGAAATCAAACACCTAGAGCCCAAACCCGAAGAGCCCAAGCTCAACTACGACTGGTCCAAAGCCAACACCTTCACCCGCCGAATAACCAACACCAACCAAACAGCCCTAATCTACTTCAACCCCACGCCCCGACTAACCCAAACCCCCGACCTGAAAGACTGCCCCGAAATCCTAAAAGACCCCTTCTGGCCCTACGCCCACATCCTCGAAGAAATTACCAAACTACAAGATGCCGCCGTCTGGTCAATCCGCGACCACGTCCGCGATCTCGAAAAGGCAGAGAAACCCCCGGGACGACCACAACCCAATTACCGCCGCCTCCACGACATAGGCCGACACGCAATCCACGTCACAGAATCACTAGACGTCGCAGAGAGAACCATCGAACAAATCCTCAAACACCACCAGCGCTACTCGCATAAACCCCCACCATCTCTCATCGCAGAACACGACGATGACCCCACCGCTGCTGATGGCATTGGCATTAGCAGCAGTGGTGGAGCAGGAACAGGGACAAGCACTCCCCACCGCCGTCCCTTATCCCAATCAACATTCTTCCAAGTGCAATCCCAGCTCGAATTCACGCAAAGCTGCCTAACAAGTCTCCGCCACCGCAGCACAGCCAACGAAAAGCGCCTCGCGAACGAAATCCAACTAGCCTTCAACACAGTAGCCCAGCACGACGCGAGTCTATCCGTGAAAATCAGCCACGCCATGATGTCCGATAGTACGGCGCTGAAAACGCTTGCGTTTGTGACGTTTGTGTTTTTGCCGCCGACGTATATCTCTTCGCTGTTTAGTATGACGTTCTTTCAGGTTGTTGATGGGAAAGGGTTTACTGTTTCGAGGGAGTTTTGGATTTATTGGGCTATTGCGTTGCCGGTGACGATTGTTTCGACGCTTATCTGGCAGTTTTGGCATAAGATTTCGCCGAAGGAGAGGAGGGAGAGGCCGATTCGGAATGCGGTCACGTTTGAATTGAAGGATCTTGTTTAGGAGTGGTTTTATGTGGATAGGATAGGACCAAAGTTACGAGAGCTGGGGTTTAGGGAGTAGTATCATTGGTTATACTTACTCTTTCATCTATATTGCAATTATCTGGTCTCGCGCAATACAATTTCAATTTAACAATTGTCAGACTACGGAAACCAGAGGAAATGGTGCATGCATGCGCTATCTAGGGGTGAGTGAGTGAGTGTGAGAGCTCAGATACGAATACGCGCGCAGGTGAGATGTAGAAGCAGATAACGAAGTTATTCGGATTGAAAAGAAGAAGAAGAGAGAGAAGCGACGAAAGGAAGGAACTAAATACATGGGCGCGGATGCCTAAGCAGGTCACTAAGGTGTCCACGCAGGCGGTAGTAGTAACAACCTCAGTTCTTTACAATGATTGAGGCTCGGAAGGCGATACGTCACTACCTGAGGTGGTGCCTGAGGCCTAAACCAACAATAAAGCACAGTCAACTTAATCTAAGCTTGAACTCGCATGGATGGCTATGAGATGCTAGCTAAGACGGAAAATGGATGCTCCTGCTTTCATGGGCCTGTCCAGATAAGAAATAACAGCACAGCATAGTTTCAAACATGAATGTGACACATGAAAAGCATGTAGGTCTCTTCGGAAATCGAAACAAAAAGAGATAGAAAACACCACAAAATAGAAGACAGCAACTCTCCACTCTTTCAAAATGTTAACTTAACATGTACTTCCTTCAACCTCTCAAAACGACTCACAATCACAGTACACACAGAGAGCTCGCATTCCATCAATCTCGATAATCATCATTTCTGTACCGTCCTACCAGTACCGCAATTCGTGAGGGTTTTCCTCATGCTCTTTAAGTCGAGAACCACCATCCAGGCGCAAGCTTTTGATCTGATCTTGGCCAGAGCTCCCGGTCACAACCAAGGACTTTGATGGTGCATTTACTTCAGGTTCTGGCGCCGCAGCAGATGTCTCCTTGCGAGATCCAATCTCATCGATATTCTTGACAACGATTTCAGTCAGGCCAAAAAGAGACCACAGGCCCGGTGCATCAATAAGATCAGGGGAGCTGGAGCTCGAGGCGGAGGACGAGGGGGGTGCCGTACCCTGCCCAAAGAGTGTAGCCGTGTTCCATTTGGAGGTTTGAGAACCGACCTCCAGCTTCCAGTTTGATTCCAAAGCATCTTCTGTTCCCGAGCTGATGAGGGAGACCTCCAGCCAGCTGTGTGGACGGTTAACCTTGTCAGATTCCGAGGGACAGTAGGCTTTGATGGTTGTTTTATCAAATGAGTAAGAGATGACCAAGTCTTGATTCTCCGTGATGCGCATGTAGAGATCTTCCTTTTTTTCCTTGTCGCCGGCGCGGAGATATCGGTATTTTGAGACTCGCTTCATCAGAATCTTCTTAATCTGGACTGGGGGCGGGAGCGCGGTCGTCTCAATCTTAATATCCGCGCCTGAGAAGATCTTGCGGAACTCCTTGGTCATTTTCAAAATGCCTTCTTTGGTTTTCTCGTCGAGGTTGACGAAGGGTGATTGGCCGGTTAGAACAATCGCCGCATCCCAAATGTTGTCCGGGAAATTCAGATGAATGTTTCCAAGTGGGAAATTGGGTCCGGTGGTTCTTGCAGGTTCGTCGTTGAACACGGTGACGAGGAAGGATTCCACAGTGTCAACCTTTGGCAGGATGCAGTGAAATTCACAGTCAATGGTTTCTTCGAAAGGTTCCTCGTCGAAGATACGGCAGCCATCAACTCGAAGATCAATGAGCTGGTCAATACCACCTTCGTCGATCGCCAGGCGATTGGACAAGAACGGTTTGGGAGGCGGAAGACCAGTATTGGGATTGAAGTATCTGCGAAGCCCGTTTAGGTCCATGATTCCAGATGGCTGGTTGGGAGGAACTAGCATCAAACCTATCTGGACCTCCAGAGCGATTCGACCAGGAAACGCTCTCGCAGCAGTAAGCACTGGCTCGAGCATATGAAAGACTGTTTTTGTACGATCTTTCGACCTGGACCGCTTACTCGTACTATGCTTCGAAGACGATCTCTCCGATGAACCACCACCCTTTTCCAGCAGCTTGGCCTTGGCGACGTTACTATGATGGAAAGTAACCAGGCCCCACATGTCGTTCTTTTTGGCTAAGTGTCGAGCCTTTGACTCTGCCCTTGCTTGGTTCTTGCTCTCCTGATCAATATCAAGCCGAGCGGACCTCTGATTCATGGCGGTGTGCAGCTCTCGCGTTTCTAATTCAGACACCGCAGCCAAGGCTTCATGAGGAGAATCATCGGCTGAGTCTCGCGGTTCGGGCGTTTCGGCGATCTCTGGTGGACTGGTGGACCCGTTGATCTGAATTGCGCGACACAAATAGTCCATGGCCATCTGCACATTGGATTCCTGTTTCTGGTCGCGAGCTTGCTCTTGAGCATTTTTATTCACTGGTTCCGAGGACACAGTTCCCGGGGGGCCGGGCATTGGAAGCTCAAGACATGGGATAATCGGCTCGTCTCCAACCATGTAGAATGATATGTCATCCACGTCAAAAAGTTTTTCAGAAGATGGAGGGTCGTTACCTGTCACAGTGTCTGTTGTACATTTTTTATCAGTCATTTCTTCGCCAGTCAAACAGAGATTGGCCGGCTTCGTCTCATCATTCATCGCATTGAAGTCGACAAGGGTCTGGGATTCAGGGACATCCTTCAGAGCAGTTGATAGATTTCCAGAGACCACACGAAGCTTTGGGGGCTTTGCGGGAACCGGGGGTCGTTTCGAGCTGGAGCGCTCTGGAATACTTGGAACTGGCAAACCGACGGGAGGTTTCAGCCAATTCAATGCAGCAGGCTCGGCAGGTCGTCTGACCAATGGAGTAGCTATCGGATTTGATGGTTGACGAACATTTCCAGGTTTCTCGAGGTTACCTGAAGGTCTCTTCCCAACTGCCAGAGTGGCAGCATCGCTAGGTAAACTTGTGGGAAACCGGACACGTGCGGGTCGACCATGAGTTCCAGGGTTGAATTCCGGTCTCGAAACGGTTACAAAGGACTCCGGGCTACCGGGTCGTGAAGCGTATCGCGCAGGCGGAGGGGTAGGAGGAGATGAGTTGGGAGCGGTGGTTTCAGACGGTAGTGAAGCAGGCGACGGGGAGCGCAATTCAGATCCACGACTAGGCACTGACGATATAGTCGTTTCAGGTGTTGGGCTACGCTCTTGTTGGGGCCCAATGACGGGGGCAGAAGCCAGAGGCGACGAGGGAGACAATCCGCCGGGACCTGTGTTCTCATCTGTCACATTTGCAAGCTTCCGGGTCTTCCTAATATTCAAGAATTTGGGTGAATTAAACTTCCCTATCTCAGACTGTGGAGCGATAGCGGTTTTGACCTGTGGTCTGGTGCTGGATTGCATCCCTCTGGCTGGAGGGAATGGTTGCCTGGGTGGGAAACGTGGACCAGCATTTGGTGTAGATGAAGCAGGCCATCCAGAGATATTCTGCTGGGAGCTCTTTGGGGCAGGAGTTCCCAGCTTTGGAAAATCAGACTGATTCCATGTAGCCGGAGATGGGGTTCGTGCAGGTAGAGGACTTTGTTGAGGTATGGTCGTGGCAGCTTGTGGCATTGGGGATATGGTTACAATGGCCGGGGCCTGAGGATATGGTATCATCAAGGTCTTCGGGTTTTGTCTCATGCTGAGGTCCTCGACGAGACGTTCTCCGGTGGCACGGTTGGTTTCTATCAACTTCTTCATCTGATATCGGGGTATCTCATCGTTCGAACCGAGGACAACAACATCGCTCAGCGGTTCCTGGAGCAAACCCTAGAGAAGAGAGTGTGAGCAAACTGCCGGTCAGGAGGAAGGGACAAATTTGATCTCACAATGAATGCAAGGGTCGCTTGAAGTTTTTCCAACGCTTCATCAACATCTTCCGCTGTCAATCCAACCAGGCTGATTTGAAGAGGATCGGAGTTGGTAACAATGGAGATATTGGTATGCGTTGCCTCCGCAATTCGGGCCAAGAGATTTAACTGATCGGTCACGAAATAACTCCCGAACTCTTGGGGAGTCCAGGTTTTGGTAGTAGCGGAGGCATCATCCTCCATTGAACTGAAATCCAGAAGATCCATAGGCTCCGATGATGCGTTGCCTGAAGGCGGCACGGTTTGAAGTTCAGCCGGCATGAGCGAATGAATGCGAGGAAGCTAGAATTTTGCATCAGCGCACAGTTCAAGAGTTCAAAAGGTAAGCCGATGTGAAAAGTGAAATCACATACGTCAAGCAGGTGATCGCCTTTGTGCCGGTTAAAGTACTCGTCCATCGCCGCAGCACAAGATGTGTGGACTTTTCGGTCAGGTGTGTTAAGGAAGAGAAGCTGCCAATGGATTTATGATATTAGCTTCCTGGCGACTAAGCGAAATGAAAGCGAAGTGAGAGAAAGGAAAATAAAAAGGCAATTATACGCACATGGGCACTATTGTCATAGCGGATTTGCACATCACTTGTTCGGGACGTGATTCCTCTATCTTTTGTCAACAGATCGTCAGCCAGCAAAGTGGCAGGACGACCGCACTTCTCAAGCTGATCTGTTAGCTCGTTGATCTTCATAATGGTAGTGTTAGCAGGATCTATAATTGTAATTTTAGTCAAACAAAGAGAGAGATATAGAATTCACCGCAAGATCTTCAATGACCCAGATTGATCCCACGGCAGCGTCTCGGTAGTCACACTCATCATGCCGGACACGTTCAGCAGATCTCGAAGTAGTATCCCCGGTAGCCAAGACCGGGCTTTTGTCAGCTTCGACAGTCATGTTTAAGGTGATTTTTGGCAGAGGGGCACAGTGAGTGTATTTCGATTTACTGAAGAGGAGAGAAAAGGAAGGAAGGAAGGAAGGAAACCCAGCACGAAGCTGGGTGATTGTGTATCATCATGGAGGTTGAGGCACGTTCCCAGGTGCGAGGAAGCTGCGGAGGAAGGTGCGGAAGGTGCAGCGACGGAAAGAACTTGAACGAATACACGGCAGGTGCAAGTGGCAGGGCCAAAATAGGCAGTGTGTGTATACGCAGTATACTATAGATGCGGTCAGTAGAAAGAGAAGTGGAAGTGGAAGTGGAACAGCAGTGGTAGAAAGTAGGAATAAGGCTGATATGCAAATGCAGTCATCATACATCAGATCTAACTGAACAAATTCTAGAACTAAAAGAATGATACAACACCGAACTTCGCCTCCATGGCTAAGGGTATCCGTGCCTCCGAAACGCCAGGGGGATGTCTGTACAAAAGAAATGAATGATGTGATAGTATGTGATGGGGACGGGGGATATTGGGATGGGAGGAAGGGTCAGTAAGCTCGGTCAACCAGCCAATCCATGCATTGACCTAATTCCCCTCCTCTTTCCCTTTCCTCCTCTCCCTCTCCTGATCTCGCGTCTCTTGCAGTCGCATGACCCATTTCATCTTCCCCTGCGTCTCCTTCATCGAAGTTACCATCGTGTCAAGCTGGGCATTATATGCACGACCCTGCTCAAGCGTATCCCGAAGCTCGTCATCCTTAAGCTTCTTGTACTGCACATGACTATCCAGTAATTTCTCATGCACCTCCTTCAACGCCTCGATCTCACGATTCTTTTGTTCCGCAATGACCTCCAAATGATCCGAAGAAAGAACATGCCTCTCATGCGCCCCCTTAAGAGCCCCCAACTCATCAAACAACCCCTTCACCCTCCTCCCCAGATCCGCCTTCTCGCGCTTCGTCGCGCTGGCAAGGACCTCATACTGCGTCTGGTGATATTTCGCCAATTCCAGCGCCTCGGCCTGTTCCCGGTTGTGATTTTCGCGCTCATCGCGCATCATGTCGTTTGTTTTACTGGCGTCTGCTTCAGCGCCCTTGCGCTTTTCGCGCTCGTGCTGGATTTCTAGCCGGAGGTCGTCTATTTTGCGGTCTTTGCGCGCGATTGAGTTTAGGTTTGTCTCGTTGACTTGTTCTAGGTTGCGGAGGCGCTCGGACATGTTCTGTGTTTGGGTTTTTAGCGTTTCGTTTGAGCGTTGGGTTTCTTCGGCGCGGGAGCGGTAGACGCTGCATTCGCGGCGGAGTCGGGCGATTTCTTCTTGGAGGTTGTGGATTACGCGGCCTGATTTGCCTGTCGCAGCGTGGCCGACTGCGGACCATTCTGTGGGTGTTTCATCGGCTGGGGAGGTCGGACTGACGGAGGAGGGGTTGGGGGGTTGTGGTTGTGGTTGTGGTTGTGATTGCGATTGTGGTTGTGGTTGTAATTGAGGTTGGGGTTGTGTAGGGGAGCCGTGGGAATCTGTAGAGATGAACCGGGGACGGGTAAGCAATGCGCGGCGGAATGTAGCTGACGCCATGGACATGGTTGACCGACCTCTGAGGCCGTCGGCGGCCGGGGAACCGTCTTCGAATAAGCCGTTGAATTGGTGCATGTTCAAAAAGGTTTCCACATGTGGGAGGTTCACTTGGGGAGGTTGTTGGGTGGAAGCTAGTGAGGGGAGAGATAGCACGTCAGTATTGATCGCATTGAGGGTTGTCATTGAGCCAAGCTGCTTGATGGCTCGCTTTAGCGACGCCATCCCATCACTCGCAGCTAGAAGTGGCAGCTGGAGCTCATTATCGGGGGAAGAATGGAGGTGGAGGTAGAGGGGGCAGGCTGCGACGTAGGCATAGCACTATAGGCGTGTGGAAGAATTTGAGGAGAACGAACGAGAATCTCGGCGTACCAGTATTGAATCTCAGTTGTGCCAGATGGGTGGTTGCTAATTTATTGCGGCGTCTGAGCATCGCCGAGCATCATAGGAGGCCGTGCTTAACGTGACATCTATGAACAGAAGAGGCGGGCTGATGCAGTGAACGACGTGAAAGACCAAAGAGAGCGTTGCGGAGCAGAATTGCAAGAACCAAAGGCTGAAACGGCCAAAAATACCAAAGTGGTGTAGCAAAAGAAAAGAGCGAAATGAAGAGAGATGTGTGAGAGAGAGAGTTGATGTGTTCCACCGGATCCGCCGACTATTGACATCCGTCAGGAACGCGGCAGCTAAGCGGGCCACGCTAAGCGGGCGCTAGACGGTTTGCGCTTGGACTTTTACTTCAACCAGGAACACTTTACTGCACTTTTGAATGATTGAATCGATTACCTCCACAACGCCTGGCCAATTGCCCTCCATAGTATTGGGTATTGGAACTATATACATGAAGGTAGCCCCGAGCTGGAATTGGCTGTGTTTTGCAAAAGAACGACTGGCCACAGATCGAAAAAAAAACATGTTGAAACAAGACAAAAAGGTTCATCACTTGGTCGTCTAATGTCTACTGTACAAGGTAGACAAACAGACCAAGAGCTCCCAGCACAAGCCCACGGGACAATGAGGGCACGGAAGCCATGCCACTCTGCGTGGTTCCGGTCTCAGATGCCTCCTTGCCATTCATCACATCGGTGTTGGTCATCATGGGACCATTTGTCATAGTGCTGCTGACAGTTGAGGATGAAGGGCTGCCGGATGGGGAACCAGATGCTGAGGAGCTGATCAAAGGCTTGCTGGTTGTCTGTGTCTCGGTGGTCATGGTGGTCTGGGTGTTGGTGCCGGTGGTGGTTGCGCCGGTTGTGGTGCCAGTGGTGCCAGTCGCAGCAGTGGCCTCGGTCGTGGCCTGAGTGGCATGGGTGGCATGGGTGGCTCCAGTGGTCTCAGCCTTGGGGGCTCCGACGCCAGCCTTAAGCAGAGCGGAGTAGTTGACTTGCCCACCCTGAGAGACCTGGAAGGCGTATGTCTCTCCCTCCTTGACATTGTCACCAGGGGTCCAGGTGAAAGTGCCATCCTTCGCCTCGCTGGTGATGGTCTCTACATCCTTCAAGTGGGTGGAGCTTCCCTTTCGCAGGGTCAGGGTCACAGGCTATTCTCTCTTGTTAGTACAGTCAAGTTATATCGTTGGCTATGCTCCGTCATACCTGTCCAGGGACGGCACCAGCCCAGGTAAGAGTCACAGGCTTTCCGGCAGCGACATCTTGGGGCCAACTAGTGAAAGCAAGAGGATCGGCGGCGAGGCCCAGGGTAATGAGAGAAGCCGACACGGCAAGCACACGAGAGAAATGCATCTTGACTAAAAGAGCGAATGTAGTTGGGGTTTTTAATGAAAGTGTCGTATTAATTGGCGTGTATAGAGTCGGAGATGGCGGCGTAAGTCGGATAGAGGCGAATAGACTAGGATACCGGTGGCGCAACGCGATCTTTATTCCACGGCGTCTGCTCGCTCTGGTCTCTCCCAGCCCCGCAAAGTGACCATGAAATTCGCGTGTCGGTATTCGAGAGTTGGGAGAATGTCGCATTCCGAGCGGTTGGTCGAAGCATCGGCTGGGTGCTACTCACTGAAGCATGCACCACCTTGGATTGTTTGGGGAATTCCTTTCCCAGTGAACAGCAGGAATTCCACACGGTTTTTCTACTGGTATCAGCCCTTAAATTCTGTCTGTTCCTTTTTAGTAGCGTTCGGCGAAGGGCCGTTGTTGAGCCACAGCTTAACTCGATGAACAATCGAACGATATCGACACTGTTCAACACATCAGCTACACAACTGAATAAAATGAAACCAAATAAAGTAAACAAATAAAGTAAACAGATGTACTTCAGTGCTCGGGGAGGGATAAGATCTAGAGCCTATAGGAATGGCTCACTGATCTGTCAAGAATGTATCCCTTCGCGATTTGTTGTGATTGGAATCAAGGAATAGGGCTGTCCATCTCTCGACCTTTCTATTCAGTATTACATTTTGAAAGCATTTTTCTTATATCCCCTCTGTTGATTCCATACCAAGGGGCTCTAAATGTCTTATTGTCTTTATGGGTTTGTATGGTTGACTTGCACTTTGGCTATAGTTGGTGTCGATCATATAACATGCAAGGGCGGCGGGTGGCCGCCGCCAATGACGTTGGTGGCCAGCCCTAGAGTGCTGCCATAAGATACTTGTTATTTATGGCAGTCTGCATGGAAAAAGGATATTCTCGTGTCAAATCCAGGAGTACAGGGCTGAAACTTAAAGCCAGTTGGTCGTGTGACCTAAATTTACTCGTACTTGATCAGCGCTGGTTCCCTTCTCTGGGAGGCTCGAGCAGTATCTCAATACACACCTCATTGGGATGTCCGTTCGGTTTTCAACCTTCCCTGGTACCTAACCGAGTACCTAGTCAAGCACGGGTACTGGTAGCCTCTGTCCTCGGCAAAGCTGAGGGCCAGGTTTTTGTACTTCATTTGATCAATTGAGAAAGTATTGGGGTTTTAGCTGATCCGCCCTCATATCCCTCATACGCGCCTTTAATAGTCCAACTCTGAACGTCTTTCTTGCAGGGACCAAATGAACTACAATCTCAGACGACATGGGGGAAATACTAGAATATCATTTCGCATCAGATACACTCGTCGACCAAAACCATCAAGCAAATTGGTTCTAAACAAAAATCAAGCATCAAGAAGCGAAGACATCATCCCATTCCAAAACATCTCTAACCGAGATCTCTCCAACCACTGTCCAGCCATTGAGCCAGCCAAACCAGACAGAATACCCTTTCCACAGAACCAAAGTGAGACTCAAGCCCGCTCGAATCATTGCACCTTCGAGGCCAAGAAAGTCGCAGCCTCATCAGCGTTGGCACCGTAGGTCAAGTGTGCAGCAGTAATGATAAGCGTCCCATCGCAAACCATATCACCAAACGCGCAAAAGACCTTGGTCTGATCCTTGGGGTAATTGGGGATACGACCACCATCCTGCAGATTGCGCGTGAATCCGAACAGAACGACACCCTTGACCTTATCTCTCACGTCCGAATCCAGCTTCTGAATCGCGTTGTCGATGACGGCACTTCCCTGACTAGAATTCGCAAGGATGGGTATCAGCCAAAATTGCCAGTGAACCGTACACTAGCTAGCTAGCTAGCTAGCCGAGGCGGAAAGAAAGGGGAGTCAAGCTGCCTGGTAGCAATAGCGACATACCTGTATCCACCCGCGACGATCTTCGCATTGGGGCATTTAGTGTTGCACTTGTTGAATACATCGACTGCAGCTTGCACATCCTGCGGCGCGGTGTTGTCGGGCAGGAAGTTCTCGGCCAGACCGGCTGTGTAGGCACCGCCGATTCCCTGGCAGCCCACTGCGCCTCCCAGTTTTGTCTTCAGGTCAGTGCAGACTTCAGGGCCAACGACGGTACCCTGTAGGATTTACCACCTCGTTAGATCTTTACATTCAGAAGCGTATAGTTTAGAAGCGAGTCCTCACAGTGTTGCCGACTTCAGTGGATCCACGTGCAAAGATGAACATGGTATCCTTGCAGTTGCCAGTATCTAGATCATTGGCAGAGATGTATTGGCGGCGCTCGACTGGGCTGGTGAGAACGGAGTTCGTGGCCGCAATCAAGGGAGTAGCCAGGAGGAGGGGAGGATGGTCTTGAAAAACATCTTGCTGGAAGGGAAGATAATGGAGTGTATTTTTTTTCTATTATTTTTCGAACACTCATTGTATCTTGTACTAATTGATGATTTAAATATTCCTGTTCAACATTATTCAGGCTCTACTATGCGGGATAATCGGATCTCAAAATCGAGGCTGTGGGTAAAGGGTTCTCGGGGGCGTTTCAAGAACACCCAAAAACCAGACCCTGTCTCAACTTTGGAACATGGTACACTGTTGAGCCATGGCGACGGGTGGCTTTTTAGCCTTGATAGGACTGGGAATTGTTTCGTGTTAATCTAGATGTTTGATCCTGTCGAATATGTATAAATCCCCGGGTTTGCATGAGGTTTCCGAGCTGGGATACTCGGCATCTTCAATACATGGTGGTGATATATACTACTCCGGGCATGTGTTTTCGGAGGCGAGATTTCCCAACAACTGCCCAAGTGATTATCGGCTTTTGGTACTGAGGTACCTCGGTATCGGGACTTCCGAATGATTTTAGGGGCAAATTTATCACATATTAATTGGCCATAGTTTTTCTTATCATCTATTCCCAACGAATGCTTGATTTTGAGAAAATATAACAGTTGCCGGGATCGGGCCCGCTACTAGGAGCACACCGAAGTTATGGCTACTGACCCACTGAACGATTTCTTCTAGTAACCACCAAGAGCATATGCCATTGAGGTTACCATTGAATCTTGTACAAGCCCTGGAGGTCTATAGGCAATTTTATTTTTAGCATGCTGCCCTTGAGATAAGTGTTCGGACCGAATTCACGAGGCCCTGGCAGCCTCGCTGAATTATCCCTTGATTGATTATCGCCCAAAATATTGGGGCAAGTATTTCCAAGGTTGCAGCGTCGTGCTAAGCTACTTCCCGATAGATAGAGGTGATGTTTGCTTTTAGTGTAGGTATACTCTCATCAGGAATATAGTGAAAGGTAGGCTTAGTCCGAACATCACAGCATGATATTTCCCCAACGCCGTCTTGTAGCTGATAGTGTATATGCAAATGAAAAAAGGGGGGAGAAAGAGTAAATAAGTAACACTCCTCCAAAGAAAACAAAAAACTTCGACAAATATTTTTATATTCAGAAATCCCAAAGCTCACGCAAAAACGCAGCCGGGCCCGAATCAACACCCCCATCCTCTTCCAACAATCGGTCCGTGAAGATACGCTTGGGAATCTGGTACTCCACAACAGGAGTCTTCCGAAGCACACGCTCTCCAGTGCCGAGATCCGACTCCACCATACCCTGGTACGTGTGGTCCAAGAAGTCCTCAAGGTTGTACGCCTGCTTGGTGAACTGTTCGGAGATGATGCGCGCGATGGCGGCCACATTGGGGTGGTAGTGAGATTGCAGGGTCTCGATTTCCCACAGACTGCTCTCGATTGCGTTGGTGCGGGTGGGATCTGATTCGTTGCTGTCGAAGGGGTCGTCCATGCCGTGTTTCTCGACGTCAGCGGCAAGGTCCTTGTCGCGGATTGTGCGGTGCATCATGAATGTGCAGGTTGGGTGGTCTTTGAAGATGTTGTACATGAATGGCACGATCACGACGATTGCGGAGGGCGGGGCGTTGAGCGCGAGGCGGGAGAGACGCTTGAGGAAACTTGCTACAAGGGTTGCGGGAAGATGGGTGGAGGCGAGGAAGGTGTTGAGGAGGCGGAAGAAGCGGGATCGGTGCTTGGAGTGGAGGAGGTCGGCGTCCAGGAGGGAGTAGAGTTTTGTGTAGAATTGCGGGTAGTCGAGGTTCTTCTCTTGGATGAGGTAGAAGAGACCGGACAGGGCGAGGAGGGAGGTGGCGCCGCCCACGTTGTACGAGTCTGTCAGGAAGTCCATGAGCAGTTCGGGTCGGCTGAACCAGGGCTCAATGTTGTGGACCATGATTCGGAGCAGGTTCTTTCGTTGCGCTTGGGAGAGGTTGTTGCGCAGAATTGCTAGCCATGCTTCCTGGGCTCGCTTCTTGTGGGCGTTGACGGAGTTGAGCTGCTTGGTTTTGGTCTCGCGGGGGACGAAGAAGGATTCGAACTCGTGGTCGGCAGCGGGGGCATCGTCGCAAGAGGAGAGGATCGAGACGAGGGTATCAAGGGTTTCGGGGCTTCTTCGCACATCGGCATATTCACTGCTTGATGATTAGCAAGGTCCAACGCACTTGGTGGGTTGTCCAGTGGACCTGGGAGGGAAATCAACATACGCTAGTTGTACGAATGTGAAGAACCGCACATCCTCGAACTCCTTCACAAATTTGGTGACAAACTCGGCCTGCAGATCCTGTCCATTGTTCGCTTCGACGATGGCCTCAATAATATCCTTGAACAAGGTAGCCCAAATATTATTGTCGGCACCTGGGATGTGCGTGATGCGCTCCTTCACTAGACGCATGGCCAGAGTCAAGGCGGTGATTTGGGAGGAAGGGTCAGCCTCGCGCATGATTGCCATCAGCGCACGCTGATATTCCAGACATCGCTCCTTCAACCAAGCAACAATAATCTTCTCGTTTTCGGCGGCGCGGTTGGATTCGGTCAAATTACCAGCCGCAATAAGTCGACTGAAGACTCGGCACAGAGAGACGGCGACGGCGAGTTCGGGTTCCTTGGCGGATGATTCGACATTCAACATGGAAATCAAGGTCGCGATATTGTTATAGTGTTTGCGCGACTCGGCAATCTGATTTTCGAGCTCTTGGATTTTGGACAAGGTCTCGGCGAAGGTATCCTCCTCAGCCACGGCACGGCGCTTGGAAGGGGCGCCTCCATTTTTGACGGATTTGCGCTTCTTAGAAGACTCGACCAGCGCAGGCATTTTGAAGAATGATCGTGAGTAATAGCTTTTGTCAGCCTCTGTACTCTATCTCAACCTGGCGTGATCCCGGAAGCACAACTTTTTTTTGATGCCTCGGGAGATCGGAAGGGGAGATTATCCGTCACAACCAACTAACCCAAAACGGCCTAGCGTGTGCAAACCAGAGAGGTCGGAACGGTTAGGAAAGACCTCAACTCCTCTCCGTTCACCCACTCTCAACTCCCTTTAACCACCATCCTCACAACAATGGCTTCGCGTCTTGCTAAGAGCGCCATTGGTACGCTACCCTACATACCATTCGCCACCACCTGCTTCCTGTTACTAACTCTCACCCCCCAGGCGCCGCCCGCCTGCGGCCGACTATCGCCGCCCGTGTCCCTGCCGTCACTGCCCTGACCTCGACTCGCGCGGCCTCCAGCGTCCCTACTGAGGAGCCCGCCAAGAAGGCCCAGTCTATCCTGAATGCCGTCCCCGGTAACTCTCTGGTCTCCAAGACCGCCACTCTCTCCGCTGCCGCCGGTATCTCCATCGCCGCTATCAGCAACGAGCTCTACGTGATGAACGAGGAGACTGTCGCCGCTTTCTGTCTGCTCTCCGTCTTCACCGCTGTGGCCAAGTACGGTGGTCCCGCTTACCGTCAGTGGGCTGAGGGTCAGGTCCAGAAGCACAAGGATATCCTGAACGCCGCCCGTGCCGACCACACCAGCGCTGTCCAGTCGCGCATCGACAACGTCAAGGAGATGTCCGGTGTCGTTGAGGTCACCAAGCAGCTGTTCGCTGTCTCCAAGGTAGGACTGCTATTACCACTCTTCATGATGTGTTTTGTGTGGATTGGGGGATGATGGTTCTGTTATTCGGCTTTCCGTTCCAACCTTCTCCTCTCCCCTCTTGGCACTTTCCGCAGACCCGGTCTAACCCCTTGTCTATAGGAGACCGCCCAGCTCGAGTCCCAGGCCTACGAGCTTGACCAGCGCACTGCTCTGGCCGCCGAGGCCAAGCAGGTTCTGGACTCCTGGGTCCGCTACGAGAGCCAGGTCAAGCAGCGCCAGCAGAAGGAGCTCGCCGATTCCATCATCGGCAAGATCCAGAAGGAGCTCGAGAACCCCAAGGTTCTCCAGCAGATCCTGCAGCAGTCCGTCGCTGATGTTGAGCGTAAGTGATTCGTAATCCGGAATATTTGTTGTTTGAGGCCAACCTCGGAGCATCTGCTAATTCGAATTTCCCATTTAGGCATCATGTCTGCCAAGGCCCAGTAAATGGACTCCGGTAGCTCCGTCGGCTGTTGCCATCGTGTACAAAACTATAGGGGCTATTTGCATTTGCTGAGTTAGAATTGCAATACCATTACCATTTCCTATTATCGACACCGTCATGCCGGGATGAACCTCCGAGGAAGAGTATCTGCCAATGCCAAGAGGTGACCAGATCTGCCAGCGTAGTAGACCTCATATAGTGATTCAGCAGAGCTGAATATTCTCAAATCATTCAACGTATCTACCATGTAACCCTTTTCTGTGTACGGAGTAGTCGTAACTGCATTGTGTCCCCAGCAACGCCCCGCAGGCTGCAGGGACCAACGCCAACAGCCATGTGGGACATGCATCGAACTATAACATCTACCCTACTCCGGATACCCCGGATAGTATCTAATCTCGATCTGGATCTAGATTCAGATCTCAAGGAGGTATATGGGATAAGCTGCCTAGGTATGTATTTTATTCCTCAGAATCTAGCCTAGCCAAGCCAATATATTTGGTTACATCCACGGAAGTAAGCGCCAGGCCAAGCACAGCCCCGGATGTTTTTCTTTGAGGCTCAGCCTTGAGAACTTCTTCTGGTCATCCTTCAATCTCCTCTCTCTCACTCTCTCTTCGCTTCCTCTCACCTGTATATTCCCTCCCCTTCTCTTCAATCCCCCCTTTGTCTTATTTATCCCCCTCTCCCTCCCTTGGCTCCCCGCCTTTGTCCATCTCCGCATCGCCTCCACCAGCCACCAGCATGCCATCCCTCAAAAATATCCTCCACAAGCGCGACTCAGTCTCTAAAGACAAATCACCCATACCAACCACCTCCGAGCCCATTCCAACGTCTCCACCACCTCCCGAAATCACATTCCTCCGCTCCGATACATTCGGCCACGAGGTAATCACCCCGCCAGTATACCCGGACCACGACGATCATCTTGGAGACCAAACCACCTTGAAAGCCGACGACACTCCCACAACACCAACAACCTCCTCCCCACGACGCAGCTTCCAACTATTCCGCCGCTCCTCCTCCGCCCGCTCCCTCTCAAACCCCTCCTCACCAGCCTCTGCCTCGGGCTCCCAACCACGCCGAGAACGCCGCCTGTCAAATCTACTCCACCGCGACCACCGAAACAACTCACGCGATTCGTCCGTAAACATCCCCGAAGATCTACCCCAGATCGAAGACCAGCAAGGAGACGAACGCGAACAAGAAGCGCAATGGGAGAAACGGGCCACCGTGCTAGTGCAGAAGAATCCGCATTTCGGTCCCACATCCCCGATTCATTCTCAGCACGATTTGAGTCTGAGACCTGGTATGCCCAGGTCAAGGAGCGGTAGTTCTGTAGGCGACCAGCAGGATGATGTATGTTCTTCCCCCATTCTGGCGATTACGGTTGCGATTGCGATTGTTGTTGAGGCTGTGGAGAGCGTGGAGAAGATGGGCCGTGCTAGTGCCAGACCTAAGCTAATGCGAATGCCAATTCCGCAGATCAATATCCAAGAAGCGATTCGATTACACGAAGCGGGTGGTAAGTCCAGTGATGCCCGGTGAGCTGGCGAAGACCTTGAAACAAAACTGATAAATCCTTCTTATAGATCTGGAACGATCGACCAAAATGTTTGGCCACTTGGCTGATCCCAATGGCACGAATAACCCCCCTAAGCCAAGTTCTCTACGGCCTGGCCCTGCGGTATGCCATTCCTTCCTCCCTTTTCCATTTCCCCCAAAATCTGTATCGTATCCCGCCGTACTAACAGCCACAGACACGGATGGGGCTGCATCAAAGACGAAGCACTGGCAGTAACGTATCTTTCCGCCGCAGCCTCTAACTCCGCCGATATCGAATCTGAGGCTCTGCGCGCGGGCATGAAGAAAGGAGGTGCTGCGAAGGGCGAGTTAGTGCTTGCCATATTCGAGTTGGCGAATTGTTTCCGGAATGGTTGGGGCGTGGAGAAGGATCCTGCTGCTGCGAGACAGTATTATGAGACCGCTGCTAATTTGGGAGACCTTGATGCGATGGATCAAGTGGCTTGGTGTTATCTTGAGGGGTTTGGGGGGAAGAAAGATAAGGTTAGTTGAATCCTAGGATCCCATGATGAGACACTACGCTTGAGTATCTCATCTCATTTCAGTGTGTCTATTTGAGGCATCCACTGACAATTCCGGGTTGGTTATAGTTCAAAGCTGCCAAGTATCTCCGACTATCTGAGAAAAATGGGGGACCTACTGTTGGTAATTCGTGGTATGTTTGTCCTGTTCCTGGGGGATGTGAAGTGAATCGTGTTACTTACGTTTTATTATTTAGGATCTGGAAGGAAAAGTATGATCCGAAATGATGTTATGGCTGCTATCTTTTTATATTGTACTATTCTCTGGACATATTGACTACTCTACGATTTGACATGTATGATGACTTACTTTGATATGATGAGCAAGCTGATTCTTTTATTGTACGTACGATTTTATGGGGAATCATTAATGGCACTGGCATGATTTATACTAGTATATCCGCGGATCCAGGTAAATTGTTCCACCGATTTGTTCTAAATAGGCAAAAAGTTACTAGTAAGTCGGTGCTGCTAAATCTTGGACCGTCAAAGGCTGTTCAGAGACTCGGACCAAGGTACTACTAGTAGGAACTGGTTAGTTAGTTAATTACTAAAATTGATTGTTACTAGTAGTATCATTGGAACAAACTTGAAGTACGTAGCTACTCAAGTTGTTCAAATTCCATTCTAATTTCCCGTTGACCTCCTTTCCAAGGTTCCCAGAGATTGTCCCCAAGTTGCGAAAATTGACGTCGACCCCCAGGAGGTAGGCCATTTTAATGTCTGCTAAGAACTCTTACCCTTTAGATCCTTGGTGTCTGTGGTGGTCAAAAGTCTCGATTTCATCATTTTTTTGATGTCGAAAAAGGCTTTGTTTTGAAATGCTAATTGACGATCATTTTTATCCTGTGTTGCATGGGCATCTCCTCAGCCACCATCAGCTTTCTGTAGAGGGGCGCCCAGGAATGTGTTTTATAAATCGATTACCCTTTGGTTCAAGAGGTGTCCAGGAACCATGTTGTTATTGAAGAGGAACTCGTGAACCGTTCAGTCCAAGAAGAGCTTATACCGCGGTATCATTTGTTTGACATCGATTAGCTAGGTCGCGGGATCGTCAACGCCAACACGACCCCACGAGCTGCGCGCCGGCATCTGGTCTCATGCGCCCAGCCGCTTAACACCCTGCCCGGTCCTGTTACTGGTGCTGGGACATCTTATCCGGCGGCACTCGAGCAAAAACAAGGCGCAATACGAGGTGCGGGAACCGCGCCAAGGAAGAGGGGCTGTGGCAGGGCTAACAAAGATCGAGCATGACTCGGATTTGAGGAACCTTTATAAGCCCATCATTTAGCTCTAGATTCAGCCATTTAGCGTTCAAAGTTACCTCTGACCACGAACTACTCTACATCTTCATTCTGGGTGGGTAACTACTAGTAAACCCCAGCCGCTACTCGGGGCTCCAAGACATGGGTTTACCTCAGCCCCTATGGTCCTATTTATTTTCAATATTGATCCTACTGAGTCCGGCTCTTTCATACGACTCTGTTTCGTATTCTAAATCCAGCGCCGTGAGGCTCGACTCTTCTCGCACTGTTCTTGCCGGTCCGCTTACAACGGTCTTTACGCCGCCTGCATCGTGCTTTACCCCCCCACACCGTTGCTTACTATGGCTATCCATGGATAATACAGGGCTTTGAGGGCCCCAATGGAGATGAATGCTCCCCTGAAAACTGGAAGTATGATCGATACTTTAGTCCGGGCCAGTGTCCGTCTGGGTATAAGGCTTGCACGCTGCCCACCGAGACGCAGAGGCTTGTGACGACGGAGATATGCTGTCCGAGGTGAGTTTAGTTGAGTTTCCTCCCTATGATATTTCACTAGAGATATCCTGTCTATCTCTCTTCAATATATCTATCCAGTTCTCCGCTAATCTAACTATCAGTGGCTTTGACTGCGTGGGCCAAGACCTATGCTCCAAAACATTCAGCACCCCAACCCACGTCACCTACACAGATTCAAGCGTCTCCACTGAAAATACTCAAAGAATCTTGGGCATCAAAGCCACGCCCATCCAAATTCGTTTCGAGGCAAGTGACTCGACAGCCGTGCCTATTCCGACCGAATCGTTCAAATTACCAGAGTATACCCCGCCGAAGAAGGAGCTCAGTAAGAGAGAGAAAGCCGCTATTGTAGCTGGATCGATTGCCAGCACTGTATTGCTTTCCTTGGGGGCCTACTTTGGATGGAAGCATTGGAAACAGAGGAAGTATAATAGTGTCAGCCCGAGTTTTCCACTAGATGATGACCCACCGCCGCCTTATACGAAGTAATAGTTAGAATATCATACCCGTTTACGAATAGAGCTATGCTTTATCCAAAAGAGAGGTGAAATTCAGGGAAATTCAGGGTAAAATTAACGACAGTAAACCCTCGGTTCAATTCCCCGGGTATAATTAGTATGTACTTCCAAACCTAAATACTAAGAACGAAATACAAGTAGAGCAGGAACAATAGTAACCAAAAACCGAAAAAAAAATCCAATCTATATCCCAAGGTATCACGAAACAATGAAACAGCGTACACACGATGGCACCCACACAAGAGTTAACCATCTCACTCTCCATTTTCTTTTCTCTCTGACACAGCACACACGGGCACAAAGCCGCCACCATTTTTTTACGAGTAATCTATGCCCACTTGCCCAGCAAAGCCATAATGCCCGCACCCAGCAGCAGCGAGAAAATCATAAAAGTCAACCGCTTATCATCACGGGTACGGTGGGGATCAAACAAGAAGTCGCGGGCCAGCAACTCAACCAAACCGGTATAAATCAAAATACCCGCGGAAATGGCATCAAGAACGCCAGAAACGACGTTCGCAGTGTACGAGCCGGGGTTGTAGGTATTGCGCACACCCAGCCCAATAGCGATGGAGATGGGGGTTGTAAGGCCATACGCGGTACAAAGCAGCCAGGGCAACGCACTGCCCTTCTTAAAGGGGATAGACGACATTCTGGCGCCGATACCCAGGCCCTCGAAGGACTGGTGGAAGACAAGAACAGGGTAAAGTGAGGCGAACTCGTCGCCTGAGACCCCGAGGTTCAAACCGATAATGACGGAGTGGAAGATGACGCCGAATTCGAGAATCAGGAAGGCGGCTATTTGTTGGCGGAAGGAGCGCTCGATGAAGGAGTCGTCGTCGGACTGGTCTTCCAATTCACGCATGATCTTTGCGTCGTCGGTTCGGCCGCCGTCCTTGTCTAGACCTGTTGCGTCTTGCGAGAGTCCGTTCGGATTAACGTGGACATGGTCGTTGTGAACGGCGACACCTTGTGCGAGAATAGGCTCGGGGTCGTCGCGGCAAAGACCGTATTTCTTTTCGACCCAGCGCTCGGCACCGAAGTCCATGAGGAAGATTATCATCAGGGAGGTGAGTACGATGGCGGGACACCAGGAGTACAAGGCCCAGTTCCCTGTCATGCCGACGCAGCTGGCGGGGCCGATTTCATCGTAGGCTGGGTCGAGGAGGTGGATGAAGGCCGTTGCGACGATGACGCCTGCACCGAAGTACTTGGCAAATAGGTAGACATAGAGAGGAATGCGGAGGCGGGGCACGCGCTTTGCGACGACGGGGAAGAATGTCGCGGCGCTTGATACGATTAGAATCACGAATATGGCGGATACGCGGGCGCCGAGGCGGCCGTCGTATTCGTTTCCTTCGGCGTTGAGGTAGCAGGTTATTTCTCTTGGGTCGACATCGTCGAGGTCGACGTTGTGGGGGTCGAAAGACATGGTTTTGGTGTGTATGGTTTCCTCTGGTGTGGCTGGATATAGGAGCTGTAGAACCGAAGCCCTAAGCAGCGAGGATGATATAAAGACCTCAAGTATGAAACGAAAGAAAAAGGTCAGAGGAATGAATGATTAAAAGGGAGGGATCGTCCGTGCCATTTTATAATTGTCGCAAGCAAGAAAAAACGAAAGAAAAAACGAAAGAAAAAAATCGAAATGCGCTCTGATTGCCTTCGGAGCCACCGTGGAGGACCTTGGGAGTTGGTGGCAGTCCGTCGTGTGGTTGAGTGGTTCCCTACATTTTGGCCCCCGATGGCCAGAACCGAACAATTGACCGTAGCGAGACATCCAGATAATGATTATGAAGAAACTTATTGCTTTCAATCTACCATTTTTTCTTATTAATTTTGTCTTTTGTATAGAATGTACTCCGTACCTGGATCTGTTTGGTGGTGGACGGGCTGCAGTATCCCGCAGCACAACACAGCGCCTGGCGCGCCTGGGAAGAACCAGCGAGACCAGACGTCAGATCTGTCCGGTCTTGGTCAAAGCTTGGATATCTCCCTCTAGCCTTGGCCTGATGCAACAGTGGAGAAAGTCGAGTCCCAAGACCCTAAACATCTGGTGGGTGATTGGACCAGCCTCGAGTCACCACGACTTACCCCCAAGGTCCTCCGGCTAATGGATCAGGGACATAGCGTGGATTCCACTTAACTGACGGGCGTATCACTGTGATGGGGTTAGTGTTAGTTTGGTTCAAACTCTCCGAGGCCATTAACCGAGCTGGGAACCATGAGAGAGGTGGTATGAGATGTAATATCGCCATCCACAGAGCCAATGCCAAGAATACTAAATGAGAAGGTGGACGAGGAGAGGAGAATATTGGGATTAGGCGAGGAAAAGGAAAGAAAGGAACGGAGAATGACGGGTTCAGCCGCATTTCGAATTCTTTCAGGAAGATGTGTCCGAAACCCAGGCCTCGATCCTTGAAACTCGATTCTCAACGTTCATGATCATGTTCAAATTCATTGCATAGGTCGTGACTTCATAATATTCGTTCATAACATTCGTTAAATTCGGTTCAGGGCGTCGCCGCCTCCACAGTGTTTAGTAAATAACGCATGAAATGAAAAGGAAAGGTCCAAAGCCAAGGCTTGCGGTTCCAATCTTGAAAAAAAGCCAAGTTGAAGCCAAGTTAGCCAAGGGAAAAAGCCAAGTTCACACAAGGCGAGACAAGGCTGAAGACAGAAGAAAGGAGAAGGATAACCCAACCCTTCTCACGCTAGAAGAAAACAAGTCAAGAACAAAAATGCTATCCAATGTTCATAATTTCGTTATCACATGGCCGTAAATATCCTGATTCATTCCGAGAGGCTCAGCTGTGGGGGGGGTCGAGGAGTCGAGGAGTCAAGGAGTCAAGGGGCCGTTTCTCTCCCTCTCCCTCTCTGTACACCCACCATCCCAGCCAAAACCTTTGCAACATTCAAAAGTCCATCATGTCATGAGATGAACAAAATCAAAGAAGAAGAAGGAAAAAAAATAAAAAAAAATAAACCACAAGACAACCATAACCGCAGTGACCGCTCCCTGCCACGCATCGCTAAAATAAAACAACCAAAGACCAAACATGCAAAAGCCAACCAATCCAACTCGCTAACAAAGACAAGCTAACACGAAGCCGCGCAAAGACCGGCCCAAAAAATTGAAGACAGAGGAGAAGAAACAAAAAGGGTGAACCAAAATACAAGAACGAAAGAAACACAAACACCGCGTGGTCTATCACGCATCACGAAAGCCATCGCTGGCTCCTGTCGTTTTCATCAGTCCAATGAACCCGACTAGCCCTTTCACCCGACATCTCCCTCCCAGTCACGGCGAAGGAGGAAACGTGATAAAAAAAGGCAAGGCCGGATCACACAGGACAATCAAGCAGCAAACCCAACCATCTCCTCTTTAACCGGTGCCCCATACTCATGCACCATGCGACGGAAATCCCGAATAACCTTCTCAGGAACACGGTCCCACATCAGCGATCGCGAATAAACGTCCGACGCGCCCATACGGTGCTGCGCCGCATTACTCCGCATCGCGGCGAGCGCCTGCTGCAGATTCGACGGCTGCGAAGGCTTAAAGTCGTCGTCAAAGGTAGTCAGCTGATTGTACTGGTCCGGGTTTAGAGTGAAGACCTGTGCGCGCTGCTGGTCTTCTGTCGGCATGACGAGGGTATCGTGGAGCTCGTCCAGGGTAGATGAACCCGCCTGGACCTGGACCTGCGCCATCGGCGCCATTTCCATGGTTGGGATGGCGGAGGCAGATGGGCCGGGGATGGTTGTGGGGACTTGGGCTTGAGCCTGTACGGCGCCGAACTCATTTGGAGAGGAGGATAGCACGGCTTTGAGCACGTTTGCTGATTCCGCTCGGTATTCTTCTGAGAGTTGGGGGAGGGATCGGCCTGGGATGGAGGCGTTGTTCGAGGCGATGTACGCGCCGAAGAGAAGGCACATGTAAAAGGCGTTCCAGCTGAATGGAGCGGTGGATTTATCGCTTCGCTCCGGGGCTTGGAGGGCTTGTTGTTGGGCTGGGGCTTGTTCATGCATCGAGATGCCGTTGCCCATGTTGAAGTCTCCCCATGGGTGGTTCTCCATGGATAGGTTCTCGAAGCCGGTGAAGTCGGCGTGGGTATCGACTGGTTTGGGAACACCTCGCTCGAATTTCTCGACTGTTTCCATTAGGATGTTGTTCTTCTTTCGCAGCTCGGCGGTCTCGAGGGTGTGCACGCGGATCATCTCGTCCTTTTCGATGTGAAGACTCTGCAGGTAATTGTTCATATGCTGCTGCTGGTTCATCCACTCGGTCTTCTCGCGGATCAACTCGGCCTCGCGGCTCTGCAGCTTATTCACCATATCCTCGAGGTGTCCGATCGCATTGGTGAAATGTTTCTTTTCTTCCTCCAACTTTTCAGTGTGGAGCTTCTTCCGCTGTCGGGAGTCCAAACTATGCGAAAGTGGAGTCAGTACGAGACCGTCGACCATGGGTGGAAATGGCTTTGGGATATCACTTACGCTGCCTGTCGATTCCGAAGTAGTCGCTTCTGCTGCTTGAGTTCCTTGATCTCCTCTTCATTATTGGACTGGCTGATGAGATGGTCGATATTACTCAGAGTGCGCTCGGCAGGTATTTCAAAGCGAGCGTTCTTCTTGCGAATACCATCTCGACGCATCGTCAAGGGAGACCCATTTCGATATGCGGCACTCTTTGACTGTGCAGCAGCGTCTGCCAAGTCCATAGGCGCCGGCATCCAACCCTGACTCGACTGGGGCGACATGGCGACCCCACCCGACGGCGCGAAGCCCATCCCTCCACGGTATGAGACAGCGCCCATGGGCATAGAGTTGACAGGGCCAACGGCACCTCCAGAGAAGGGAGCACTCGCAGTGCCCTCTTCGGATGGATATTGGTCATAAGCAGTGGGCGTACATGAGCCGGAAGCGGTGCGAGACAAGGCCCAGCCAGCGGTAGGCTGTGTATACGGCTGGGGACCATCGATAGGCATGAACGATGGGTTAGCCGAGTCGAGGACAGACTGCCCCAGATGCGAAGTTGGTCGTGACTCGGAACTAGCGCTGGAGTAGTTGGACCAGACGGAGTTGCGATGTGAAAAGGCATCTTGAGTATCGTACGATGCCCGTCGGGGGTCGGCGAGCCCCGGCGAGGTCGAGTCGAGGATCTTGTCGTCCAGTACACTCATATCGTCCTCCTCAGGTGCAACGTCTAATGATGAAGGTTGTTGGTAATAGTCGAAGTGAGAATATCTCGCCATAACGAAGAGGCGGTGTGTGTGGAGGGGGGGTGGGGCGGGGTGAGAGACCAAAGATAGAATGATAGAGATAGAGATGAATATATAGATATACAGGGGGGAAGAGAAGAAGAAGAAAAAAAGGGGAAATAAATGGAAGGATATGAAGAATAAAATCAGATGGTGAAAGTGATGGTGATGGGATGAAATGGAGATGTGGGAGAATCTTGCAGGAGTACACCCACTTAACAACCATCGATCACTGTACCCTGTATGTATAGTTACTCCATACACAGCGGTAAATGTACATCCACTCTGTACGGAGCACTCTGTATGCTGCTCGTAATGTACCGCGGTGTGCGCGGAATGATCTTCTCCTTCATTGGCTGCTCTGTTCCTCTTGGGCAGACCTGCATTTCTTTCCTGACCCTAGACGACAGAGAGACTCTCCACTGTCCAATAGATGGTCGATCTCGATAGCCTATCGACACTACTGGTCTGTGCTTGTCCACCTTCTCGTGCCCCTCCCTTCCAATCGTTTCTTCCATCGGGTGATCCTGGCCTTCTAGCCTCCTACCCGATCACCCACCAAAACCGCATACCAAAAATGGATCACTTCAGTACATTCATCTGGTACTTCTCCATCTCTGCGTAATACAGTCCTACCATGGTACTCGAACGGGTCCGGCCCGCGATCCACCCTGCGGTCCCACCTCCAGAAGCAGAAGCAGAAGTAGAGCAGAAGCAGGGCGGATGCGGATGCACGGATCCTGCACTGATCACTCGTCCCCTCCGGATGACGCTCAGCTCGACCCCTGTTCAACTCTGTACCAGTGCGGGGCAGTATCACGGTTAGGTTAGGTTAGGTTATGATCATGATCATATCGATGATGCCATCATCGTGCAAACCGCCCACGCACACAAAACCAGACGAACCGAACCGAACGAAACGGGACTTCAGTCAACGCGAGGGCCAGCAAATCCCACGATATTCCACCACAAATTTCGAAACACTCCACTATAACCAGTTATATCCCCTTCCTTCGGTCTTCACCTTCTCCGTTTGGTAGATCAGCAACGCTGCCCTGCCTTCTGCCCATCTCCTGACGCCGCGACTTGCGAGCACGCTCCCGCTCGGCGTCAGCCCCTAGACTTACTCCTGGGGGCCAGAACTGACTACTCTCAGGTCTATTCGTCTATACTTAGGCAGGGTTGGTGCCGATGATAGGTTCTCCCCGAGCTCCTCGGCGTTTCCGTGCGCGGGACATCGGTTACGATCTGGCGGTGAAAAGCCGTTTTTGTCCAATTGAGATCCAGCCGGCATCGGCTTCCCTTAGTCATGAACTCTTTGATACTGAGTATTGGTATTCCATCAGTATTCGGTGTACTTCCCACGGGGGTAAACGGAGTACATCCATGTACTTCGAGGTACAGTATTGTAGAGCCGCTGACCTACAGTCGGAATCATATGAAAGTCATCATGTCTCGTCTCGTCTCGGGGAGGTCCTTTATCCCAGCCCGCATACATACTATTCAATAATTTATGCTGTGCCATGCTACATCTACCAGCATATCGATCTAAAGCCACTTGAACTGCTGCAATATCATCTCCTCCGAATATTGGATGCACCATGACTCACTCTCGCTGGGTCTACCCGCACTCCACGCACTGGCAGCTCCACTGATCCAGCCCCGCGGCGTCAATCCTGCCCAACGTCCCTGAAACGTTGCCGCCATGTACGATATCCTGTAGCCTCACTTTGGCCCGCTTGGGGGGGCTCCCTGCCTGATCTGCGCTCCACCGTGCATTGGGCACATGCTGGGCCCGGGTCGGACAGAGAAAGAGCCAGAGCCAGAGCCAAAGCCAAAGCTGCAGGAGATGTAGGCAGGGAGGTTCCTCGATCCCACCGTGGAGTATGGAGTACATGGAACATACATCCACAGGAGGAGCCTATCTCCTTCACTGGGTTTTCGGACCGCTTCCTATAGGCGGTTGCTCTCCACTTTACTTGTTTGGCTGCTTTGTTTTTTTCTTTCTTGTGATCGTGCTTGGGGGCAGGTGTGCTCCTGTGATTTCTCTTTCTTTGACCGCTTGTAGGATTGCTAAGCTGGGGGTCTAGGTGGGAATTTGGTGAGTGATGAGTCAGTGCTGGGTTTCTCTCGGGGTTCTTTCCATCGTCCTGGTATGCGAGATGGTTGTTTGTGAGGATCTGTAGTCGGATGCGCGTCAAGGCGTCAAGTTTGTTTGCCTTGATATCTGCTCTTCTATTCTCTGATCTTTGATCGTGGGGACAATAAGAGACTTTCACTTATAGGAGTTTCCGATGGCTGCTTTCAAGGTTCGTTGATAGAGCGTGCTCCATGTTCGAATATTATAGATCTTCCTCAGTCAGCCATGTCTAGCTTTTGAAACGTTCATTCACCTACATATTCTATAATTTTAAGCAAAGGTCATTCAAGAATATTTTCAATTGGGGTCTTTCTACACTACTACTAGTAACAATAGATATACAAGACTTGTCCTATCTGCATAGTTTTGAGTCTCTAACTGAAATTGTCTTCCCTAAAGCCAAACTGTCCACAAAACTCTCTTTGAAGATTGCCAATATCCTTCATCACCTCTCCTATCCCATCACACCCCACCTACCTCAAATCTACCAGCCTGGAATCTCACTTCGGCAAAATGCTGACAACGATCATCCGAGATAACACCCGAAGAGGAACTCAAGGCAGACTCGAACTTACCCGCACCAAACTGACAAAAAAATGCATCTGCCTCGCGAACCACGACCAAAGCCCCTCCCTCCCCACGAGATCAACAGCCTACTCAAAACCCGCACGAAGGAAAAAAAGAAAACAAAAGCCATCAGCGGAATTTCCAGCCCAAGCCCCACGCCTATAGAAACATAATCCAACCGCATTCTTGTGACCCAGAAACTTTCAGACACCGATATATGCGCATGGCTACCCTTACTGGTTATCAGGTAGTCAGGCCGGCTCTCCCTAATTTCAATCCGCGTCTTATTAAAGGGTCTCGGCCGCATGATATAGGCTGACGAATATGCTAGATCCGCCTCGACTTGGGTCGAAATGCCCCCCCGTGGCCAGGAGGCTCGGAATACAGAATACCTGCCCAGCGCACCTGAGCTAACTTGGAAGCTGATCCGAGCTGAGCTGGGCTGAGCAGAGCATACATAGGTTTATCTCGGATCGTAGACCGGACCTAGATCTACAGAAAAAGCCTCAGACCAATATATGGATGTATGTGCAACTTCTACTACCTACCTTGGTAGTATGCCCATATATGATAAAAGAACCCAAAGCGTAGAGCAGAGCAGCGAACACCCCTGCCCAACGGAGAACATGAGACCTACATTGCAGAAATATAAAACGAGATCTACGAACCTACCCCGTAAATGGTAGTCATTAGTACTAGAAGTCAGTTCCCTATGTATCACCATCCCATCCCACTACAGTCACGCGCATATCGCGTCCGACGAGAATGAAATTTCAAATCAGAAGTCACAAAAGTAGCAGCGGGCATTCTGAGTCCCGGGTACCAAAGTATGCGCTTGAATTGAGGGAGAGGGATCGGTGCTGATTTCAACTTCCAGGAGGCCCGGCTGAACTGTCAGCGGACATGCTGCGGCTGGTATCACTATCACATCGCACCTCGTGGACTGTGGATACTAGTAGACATGGGTAGGAAAGTAGGGTTCTGCCTTGTTCTGTTTTTCAGGGTTGATCTATGGCGTTGGTTGGTTAATATGCAAAAGCCCTGGCAGGACTTTCCCAATAGTTAGGCGTTGGTGTTGATTTACTAGGCGTGGAATAATGGTTGTCTATACTGTTTTGCACATTAGGCCGTGCTGACAAGGTCAAGATGAGGACAAGGACAGGCTGTCTACCATTTTCATGGTTACCTAGCCTAACTACGATACAATAGTCAAGTCGGGAGATAATACTAAATACTTCATATTTCTTCTTCTCATCCATGCGACATGTTCAGAGATTGGGTATTATCGGATAGTATCCAAAGCCCAAAAGCCACGGGGCGGGAAAACGAAAGGCGAAAAGAAACGAAAAAAAGCAAGAATAAAACCAAGCTAATGAAAGAGACGGGGGCCGGAGGGGAAGAAGGGAAGGGCCAAAATGTCCAGGACATCTATATCCGTCAACTACAATCCCAGCAGAATCGCGCCATTCAGTGCGAGGCACGTCCGCCAAAACTAAATGTGAATGAAGTCCTGTTGGTTCGACGTCTCGCCACTATCCACACCATCCAGTAACTCTTCCGGCTCATCGAACTCATCCGAGTCAACATCGTCCGAATCAATCGCGTCATAATCCTCCTCTTCGCTAGAAGGGTCAGAATCCTCGTCCATACGGTCTCGATCCGCGTTCTGCTCAGCCTTCGCGGCCGCAGCCTTGCGAATCTGGCCCGCGCGATCGACATGAGGTAACTTGCACCGTTTTTTGTGGCAAACGCCAGAGTTCGCGTAGTCTGGGCACTCGTGCACATGGCGCTCGGTGCACTCGGCGCCCTTTTCGCAGTATCCTAGTGTCGCGAAGGCGCGGCAGACAGGGGCTCCGGGGGTTACGCGGATATGCGCATAGCGGCAGGTAGGGTTGGAGCAACGGCCTCTAAGGAAATGCATACAGAAGGGGGAGCGGTGGGGCGAGGGCTCATGGGAGAGATCACAGCTGTTACCTGCTGGGCATTCACCTGTTTGAAGGAAATCCTTGCAGAGGGCCACTTTGCTTGGGTCGTGAGTGTATAGGCATGAGGGGCCTTTATAGCAGGTACCTGTTTGTTGAGAAAGGTGAGGTGGGTTAGAAAATCAAATTCAGTTGTAAGTAATGGGGGGGTTGGAGGTAGGAGGGGAAGGTTGGCGGATTGAGTGGTCCGTCGGAATATAAGATACCGGTCGTAGTGAATCTCTTGCAAAGGTCGTCCCGCTTCTTGGCGGGGTTCGGTGTTCTATGTCTGCGTTAGTGGGGAGTTGTTGGGTCGGGAGCTGTTTGCTTGAGCTTTGGTCTCACTTTTTCGAAGTCACAGCGCCAAGACGGTGTAGGTTGCCGTTTTTGCTTCGGACAAAGGCCACTCCCGCGACTGTGACTCGCTTCGGGGTGGTATTGGCGGTGTTTGGGTCGTCTATTATGGGTAAGCCAATTATGGGCGAGAGATTGTTATGATCCCACGTACTGGAAATCCGAATCAGCTTGCTGCCACCGCGCGCAATCTTGAACGGAACATCGTTAACGAGAATCTGGTGGGCGACGGGCTGCGCAGCCGCGGGGACTGATGCGACACCCGCAGGCACAGTGCCTTGGGCATAGCGAAGAACCTTCGTCTGTTCACGCTCAGCTCGTCTCAAAGCTTTCATCTTCCGAGTCTCTTCCATAGCCTTAGCTCTAGCTTGAGTTTCTTTGTCATAGACCGCGGAGTTGATCAGTTGCATGTGGCGATCGCGTTTGGCAACCCAGCCATTCGATGTTGTTGCGGGGCGCGTCTCGCCATCATTGTCGCTTGCAGGGCCTGGCGAGGACACTGGGGTCCCATTTGAACTAGGGGCATTATTCAATACCAGTGTGCGGTGACGATGCGGAGCTACTGGGCGGCGACCTCTGCCTCGAGAGTAAGGAGCCCACCCCGCGTGAGAAGGGGTATGACGCGAAACATGGTGGGGTTGGTAGGAAGAGGCAGGATGCGGCTGGGATGACTGGTTCTTGTGCTGGTTGATACGGCCTGTGCCAACTGTGAGTACGTAGGTGGATTTTCGAAGTGAAGCGAACGAGGGCTTACCTGCGAGCTGACCAATGCGGGCCAGCAAATCCTCGTTCTCTGTCATGGTATGCTAAGGTTATAGGGGTTAGTGAGCACAAAATGTGAGAAAGAAGAAAGGCTGAAGCTGAGGCTTGCAAGTCTACAAGCAAACAGCGAAAATAAGACCGAAGGTTGAACGTGAAGTGGTCTGGTAGAGGGGGAGTCAAGAATGAGAGCTTGACAGTGACGATTCGCGCTTTCCAGCCGCCGGTGGCGTCGATGTCACGTGATTACGGCGTATAGAAACGACGACACTTCGAGTTCTACTTATCCAACACCACCAGACCTAATCACCCAAGAAACGCTTATACGACCCGGTATCTTCCCAGTACCCTATCCGGTAACTACCCTACGAGTACCCTAAACAAGTATGGCCAAGCAATTTCTCTATATGGAATGATTTCTACCATGCGCTGCTAGTGGGATATTCTTCATAAAATCAGGCAGAACCTTCGAGTTGGAACAGTGGGTCGATTGCCGCTATGGAGCGTCGTATGTATCGTAGAACGATCATCTTCCAAGGATTCTCATCCACCATGTTCTAGGCGTTCCAACTTGAAGGTTTCTGTATTAATTGCCTAGTAGGTAGTAGAGACATCGAATCCAAGACAAAGGTTCTATGTTAAGATGTACAACTAAAAAGCGAGTATAAAACATTTTCAATACTATAAATATAATAAAAGCTCAAAACCTTGGAATATGACAAGTTGAAGATAATAACAAGGTTGGAATTACAGTGCCAATTCAAGTTGCTACAAAAAACTTTGAATTCAACACTAAATCAATTTTTACGATTGCCTTGACTATTGGCTTCCAATGCTAAGATGTCGATTCCAGAAAAAAAGGGTCCTTTTTGCCTCCAGTAAATCTCCTGGAACATCTAAGTTTTGTAATCTGAGACAATTAGGTTTTCTAGTTAGTAGCCCTGAGTAGTACACCTGAAAACCTCATCATGAAATCAATCCCGGAGCACAATGACTATGTGTATTAAGCAATGTTAGCCCCTATCTAGCCCAAAACAACCCCCTAGACATTTTCAAATTGCACATCATCATGATCCGTAACCATCCCAGAAGGATCATCATCCGAGTCAAAGTTATCCCCAGGAGCCATCTCCGCCTTGACCGCATGGGGCATCTGCGCATAATTAGTCTGCTGCGCCTCCGGCTTCAACTCCCATGTCATGGCAAAGTCACCCGACTTGACCAAATGCGCGACCATCTCCAGGGTCTGCTTGAGATAAGCTTCCGGCTGCATGAGCTTGGCCTTGAGCGCCTTAAAAGGCCAGTACTGGTACTCGCGGAAGCAGCCAAAGATTCTGTCCAGCAGCTCGTTTTGAGGCATACGCGTGTACTTGTTTTCCTGGGCCTTGGCCTTGGATGGTTTTGTTTGTTGCTGAGGAAAGGAAGAGGTGTTAGCGGGGTTATTGGGGGGGAGGAAGGAGAAAGTTGGAGAGAATGATACGATACGTACCACGAATGCGCCCTGGGCCGTGGGGAGAAGGTGACGCTCCTGTAAGATCTTGTTGGGGAGGTTCTTGATGAACATTGTTTCTTTCCTTGGTTTGAGAGCTTCCAGTGCGCGCTTTTCTGAGATTAGTCGGAACTCCTCGTTTTCTACTGGAAGACAGTTGAATTCTTGGCTGGCCTGTCCGGCAAGGGCGGTGTGTTCTAATGGCTTGGTTAGAATGGTTGTTCTGAGAAGGATGGCAACAGCCACGGAGAGTACATACTGGGTATGGTCTTGCGCACATAGGGCTCCCATCGCTTGCCCTGTTCTCTCCTCCGGGCGTCGCGCTTCTGAGCTTCGTAAAGGGCAGATCGGGTTTCTCCGAAGGTGGCCATGCGGTTTTCGACGCCGGGGATGTCCTTCTCTGTGAAGACATAGGTATTTTGAGTCATGTGTGAAGCATTGGTGGATGTGACGGTTTGTTGTTGGAGGGTATAATCTTTTGGAATTTCGCGGTTGTCGGGTCTGTCGTGGAGTCGCAAGCTAACCTTTAATGCGGAGGGCGGAGCTTAGTAAAAGATCACGGTGTAATCAAACGAGCGGGGAAATTTGAGATGCGTGGCTTACCCGCTTGATGTCATTCGGGTCTGTAGGGTTCTGCTCTATCCTCATTGTCCCAAGCTCAATCTCTTCATCGTCGTCAAGATGCGCCCAGTTCTCCCAGAGCTGTCGGGGAAGGCGTGAGATCCATACGCTTTGGCCAGCTAGGGAGAAATCCAGATCGCCAGCATCTTCGTAGAGGTCCTCGTCGTCGAGGTCGGCTAGAACGGCGTCCTTGGAGTCGGGGTCTTGTTTGATGTACATGGCATCCGGGTCTTGCTTGACCTGGGCCATGATGAATGTGGAATGGGTGATGGATAGGTGTTGGGGTAGATGTATTGACGAGGAGAAAGGGTGGTGATATGCGACTGCGATCGAAGGGTTGAAGGGGACAGTGAGTGGTCGCAAGAACGTAAGGTGTTGGATAGATGTGATAGACAATGAAGATCTGAGGTGACGGCGCGCGCGCCACTTGCGGGCAGCTTCCCCGACCCAGGCAGATATTGGACTAAAGTGGAAGGCGGTGGTGAACAGGCGGTATCTCTGCAATTTTTCCAAGTCTGCGATCCACAGTCTTGCAAGTTCAATTCCAGTTCAACTTGAACTTGAACTATTGTCATAACCTGCTGTCAGCTACTTTTAGCTGTACATGTCTGTTTGTTTGTGAAGGTATGGAAATATTGCTTTTCCCTTCCACTCCACATATTCGGGAATTAGCAGGGGTGCCATGAGCAAACTCCTCCTAACTAAGTCCGAAAGAGGAGGGCCTACAAAGGAGTATAGCAAATAAGGCTGTCCAGATCACTAAGCTCTTTGCCCCTATGGCCTAGTGGTATGGCATCGTTCTTATGTTGGTATCTTTTCAATTGAAAGGAATCAATATGAACTTGGCTAGCGAAGTGCCCCGGTTCGATCCCGGGTGGGGGCATATTTTTGCTGTTATCATATATTGACTCTACTATCTATTCATGATACTTATTATTTCCTACTTTTAAATTCACTGTCTAATTTTTATTATTGTACCTGCTAGTGTCAGTGTACTCTATACACATCCCAGGTAGCCAACACATTAACTTTGATAGTGGCCCGGCAGTACTCCGTAGACCACCGTACCTTAATTAGCTCCACCAGCTCCGCCAGCTCCTTCACTTTCACCTTCACCTCCCCGCATTCCTCTCCTCACCACACCTCACCATGGCCTCCCAAAAAGTCACATCAGCTCTTTCGGCCATCGAACAAACTCCTCACCAACCTACAAAGCTCCAGCAATATAACGACCTCCTCAATGAAATCGTCACCAGCTCCTCCGGCGACGAACTCGCCCAAGATTTAGTCTACTACCTAGACTCCATCCTGAACGAAGACGTCAGTATCGTCGCCGCCCGCCCCCTCCTCGACTCCTTCGTCACCGTCCTACGAAACTTCGACTCAGAAGTCACAATCAAAGTCGGCCAACACGCCGTCACCCTCCTCCAATCACGCGCCACATCCGTCGAAGAACAAGACTCACAGATCCGCGAGATCCTCGCCGAAGCATACGAGGCCGAAGAAGAATACACCGCCGCTGCCCGCGCACTGCAAGGCATCAACATCGACAGTTCCCAGCGCCTCGTCTCCGACGCAGCCAAAGCCCGCCTGTGGATCCGCATCGTGCGCTATTACCTCGAAGACGACGATACCACCAACGCCGAAGCCGTCCTAAACCGCATCAAAAATCTCCCCAGCAAGATCGAAGACCACGATGCCAAGCTATACTTCCAGCTGTCACAGGCTCGCATTCTCGACGCTCGTCGGCGTTTCTTGGACGCGGCGCAGGAATACTTTAACGTGAGCTTGGCTTCTGGCGTGGACGAGGGCGATCGATTGACGGCGCTGTCGGCTGCTATTCGCTGCGCGGTCCTGGCTCCAGCCGGTCCGCAACGGTCGCGATCACTTTCCCGTCTTTATAAGGATGATCGGACGCCCTCGGTCGACGAGTTCTCGATTTTGGAGAAGATGTTCCTCGATCGACTTCTTAATGCGGACGAGGTTGCTGCGTTTGCGAAGAAACTTGCGCCACACCAGCTTGCTGTCACGGCGGACGGCACCACTGTCCTCGATAAGGCGGTTATTGAGCACAATCTCGTCGCTGCCAGCAAGCTTTATGAGAACATCAAGATTGATGCCCTAGGTGCGATCCTTGGTCTGCAGGATTCGACTGACTTTTCGGCTGGCGAGAAGGCCGAGGCTTATGCTGCTCGGATGGTCGAGCAGGGTCGGCTGCGTGGTCAGATTGACCAGATTGATGGTGTTATATCCTTTGAGACCGAGATTGGTGGTGGCTCTAAGACTTCGACTAGTTCTTGTCTTCGGCAGTGGGATCTTGGTGTGCAGGAGCTGGCTGAAGATGTAGAACGTGTGGCGACGAGTATATCTGATCAATTTCCGGTACGTGTATCCCTCATAACCTCGCCGGGTCCGTCCTAACACTAACATTCTGTTAAGGATTTCTCTACAAGCCAGATGGTGCACTAGAAGCCAAAACTTAATGAATATCTACGAATTGATGCCCATCATACATTCATATTATTTACTCGTATTCGGTAATTGTAGACCTGATCTAAAGCCAGAGTCCGAGTAGCACAATAGCTGGGAAATTTAAATACCACAGTCGATATCCCTGTCCTTATTAAACTTCAAACTAGCCAGTCTAAACAGTGTGAATATCAGCTCCCTCCTTCGCAGCAACACCCATAGCCTCCGCATCCGTCCGATAAGCCTTGAATTTCCTCGCAGGAACCTTCTTCATAAACATCTCATCCAACTCGCCATACGTCCGCCCCGCAGTCTCTGGCTGCCAGAACCAAAGATAAACCAAACAAATCACGCAAAGACCGCCAAAAATAAACGACACCTTCGCGCCGAGATTCGCCTCATCGGGATTAAATAGATAAGGCAGAACAAACGACCACATCGTATACAGCGCATTCTGCAACGCCAATCCAATCGCAATCGTCTTGATACGCAGCCGGGACGTAGAAACCTCGGCTAGAATCGTATATCCAGCCGCGCCGATTGTCAGGTTATACCACCAGCAGTAAACCAGGATCAGCGCGACAGTCCCCTTGATAGCGCCGGCTGAATTCGGGTTGGCGGTATCAGACCCAACAACAGCAAGACCACCGGTCACCATCAGGATAGCCGTAAGAACGCCCAATCCGTAAACCATAACATTCCTGCGTCCAACACGATCAATAATAAAATAAGACATAACATTCCCAACCAGCGAAAGGATCTGCTGAACAATCTGCAACTGGAAGCTCATAGCCGTACTATACCCAGCCAACTGCATATAATACGTCGAATAACCTGCAGTAAAGACCACGCCCGACAGAGCCTGGATGGTAATGGGCATAATGGAAACAATCGTGCGACGCAGATTCGTCCGCCGGAAACATTCGAGATATGTCACTCCTTCTGTTTCGTGCCGGATCTCGTCGAGCGTGTTCTTGATCAGGGCGATTTTCTTCTGCGTTTCGTCGGCCGTGTAGCCCAGTCTTTGCAGCGACTTTTGCGCTTTTGAGTCTCGGCCCTTCGAGATTAGCCACCACGGTGATTCGGGCATGAAGGCGATGAATATGAGGGCGATGGCTGCGAAGCCGTATTGCGCTACGAAGACGGCGCGGTAGGCCCAGCGGTTTGTGTAGACTCCTGTCCAGTTGGTGATCAGGGCTACCACCAGTGGACCAATAACGTAGGCCAGAGCCGTGAGGCAGGTGAGTACACCACGGAGAGCGAGAGGAGAAATCTGGAGAAGTAGAATATAAGCACAAGCACGCACATAATATCTCACTGGGTAGTAGATCCAGCATGAACTAACCTCGCCAATATAAGTAATCGGCACCGAAGCAAGCGCGCCAACAGCAAACCCATTCAAAAACTTGCCCCCGAAAAACATCTCATTCGTCGTAGCCCGAAACTCCAACGAAATCGCCGCAACACTAATCAACAACGAAACCAAGATAGTAATCTTGCGCCCAATAGCGTCGGCAATCTGCCCCGAGCACAACGCACCAACAACAGCAGATGCAACGGGTGCCCCTGCGAACGCGGACTGCCATTTCGCCTCCAGCACCCAACTGCCGTCAAAGTAGTGGCCGAAGTCTTTGCGGAATTCGGGGATCCCGGTTACGTTTCCCGAGGCTTGGTTTTCGAAACTGACGAGGAGGATGCACCATACAGCGTAGGCGCACCAGGCGAATGTCCAGGGGTATTTCTTAAGGGATTGCCATTTGTTCAGGGCGTGGTCTTCTTGGTTGGCTATGTGGCCTAGTTGGTGGGTTTCTGCGTCTTCGATGAAGTCTGTGCTTGGTTTTTCGAGGACCATTTCGGTCATTTTTGATGACATGGATTGGATGCGGGAGATGGTGGGAGGAGAAAGTTTCAGAGCAAGAGAGGGTATTGATGAATATTAGACCTTGCTAGCCCCCTGTTGGTATTTGTGGGAAATGTGACAATGAACCTGCGAGCAGCGAATGCCAGTGATAAAGGGGCAAGTTCTGCGCAGCGAATGTTGGTTGACTTCGACCACTGCGGTAGAAGTCTCTTTCAGCGAACGAGAGGGTTTTATGTAGTTTTCGGCCCAGATCGAGCCATCAGCAGGACGGTGATGCGATGCGATGCGATGGGATAGGATAGGATAGGATGGGGCTAGCTAGACTTTGTGCCGCGTCGTGCAGCATTGGGCCGGCCTGCCGTTGCCACGAGGTGGTGTAGTGCGGAGTGCAGGGAAAGTTTAAACCAAACGCCTAAAAATGCCGGATTTCGGCTCGAGGGGAATGACTCAAGCAAATCAATCAATCTAATCTACCCCCGACTCCGAGTCCCTGTAGCAGATGATCCTATCTCAACCAGCCTGATCAAAGCGATTAATTATTACTACTAACTCTGAAAGTCCTCACTGACAGCGAAGCTGGCATTCGATCGAATTGTGAATTCTGTGCTACGCGTGGAAGTTCGTCCATAGTCGGTCCCACATGTGCAGTGTGGGAATCCGGGGTTTAGTCTGGGGTTGATCGGGGGGGATTTCCCGATCCTAGTCTGCCCCAGCCGGGGCGGGTGATCGTATGGACAATCCCCCGAGGTTCTGCCGCGAGAAAGGCAATCTTTCCCACGAAGAGGCGGGGCTTCAAGGCGGTTGTGCTCCTTGTTTTGGCCTTGTTGGCCAAGAGTCGCCCATTGTGGCTGAACATGCGTCTTGTGGTGATGCCCGGATGGCCTGGGATGGTAACCTTAACCACCATATTCTGGCATTAAAGCGACGGAACTAGTCAGTGACCTCCCAGTCCTGTATGTGGCTATATTTCATGCAATTTCAGTTCTTGAAATCAACAATGTCTCTTATTCTGAATCGGCGAGATACAGTACGTCTCAAAATTGGTGCTACTACGATAGATTATTCGATTGCCGACCAGGATTTACTCCGCATTACTCCGCTGGGTGTATTGTGCCAGGTGTCTCACTCAACTTGCAATGTATTTTAAGAAAGGTGATAACTTTAACAAATACAACTGGCACCTTCAAACCCAGCCCCTTCTAACCATGAGCTTATCTTTGACAAGATCTATCCCGAAGCCGAATGATTTCGTAGACTGACGCTAAAGTCTACATGCATGCCCGGCGGATATCGCTAAATGCAGAAATAATGCCTCTATGGGCAACATGAAAAATGCTTCGTAAAAATGTTTCGAAGAAACTTAATCAAATCAAAACAATCCTGTCTTTGTTATATTGACGAGTGCAAATAAATGCAGGCTGTAAATAAAATTTGTACTGAACGGGTTTTAACACGCTGTAATAATACGAGCGGTGAGAGCTGCTCTTAAGTAAGGCGAAGAAAAACAAAAAAACTCAGGGGATTTCAAAAAGAAATCCCAGACCTTTGGTGGCAGAATGTAACTTTTGGGAAATGGCTGGGAAATTACAGTACCATACAGAACATCGACCACATTTATCGTCCTCCCCCCAACATTGGGGAGTATCTATACGCACATCGCAATGGCTGCAAGCTGCAATATGAGTTCCGTCATGAATCTGCTCCAATATACGGGTGTTTCGCAACGTCAAATCACCGCCTAAATAACCAAGATAGACTTGGTAATTCTCGAGGTTTGGTGCGACTATCTACTCGAGAAGCAAACCCTTTACCTTGACGAAATGATGGATTTGAATTCGGGCAACAAAATCAAGCATCGCTGAGTATTAATAGTTTTAGTGATATGGCAAGATTGCCTGCCGCCCTCTTCCCGGGTGTTCCTCGCTCAGACCTTTGAGGGGTACAAAGTGGTGACTATTATGAGGAATGTGGTGACTATGCCCAACTTGACCTCGACCTGCGATGCCCCCTTCTTATCAAGATCCGCAACCGATCTTACCCGCAAGCATTTAAAAAGCGCCCAAATCTCGAAATCGCGATCCAAAGATCTTCTTATTTGAAATGGTGCAAGAGGCAGATTATCCGGCATCTGGGCGCGTATTCATTCTGAAAAATGTCCATGTTTTTGACGGCGTTCGCTTCACCGAATGCCGGTCGGTGGTCATCAACGGTGACAAAATCGGCGACAACCCAGAAGGCGCAAGTGAAACGATTGACTGCAATGGCCATTTTCTCATCCCTGGCTTAATCGATGCCCACGTTCACCTGCATCATGAAGGGCATCTGCAGAGTCTCGCGAGTCATGGAGTTACCACAGCCCTGGACATGGCTATGTGGCCTGCGGAAAAAATGAACGCATTAAGAGAAAGGCCTGGCCTTCCGGATATCAGAAGTGCTGGATTACCCGTGACGGCCTCCGGTAGTATCCACAGCTGTATGCTGCCTCTCCCGGAGGAGGCCTTACTGTCTGGTCCTGAGCAGGCTGAGCCCTTCGTGCAAAAGAGAATTGCGGAGGGGTCGGACTACATCAAGCTGATTTCAGATGTGCCTGGGCCATCTCAGGAAACTCTTAATGCTGTATCTGCCGCCGCACATCGCAATCAAAAGATGGTTGTGGCACATGCTTCCAGTTTCACTCCTTTCAACATGGCACTGGAGGCCGATGTAGACATCATCACCCATGCCCCGAGAGACAGGCCTGTTTCTTCGGAAACTGCACAGCGCATGGTTGACAAGAATACTATCTCCGTGCCAACCCTGACCATGATGAAAGCTGTATCCACAAGGCCTCCCCTTATCTCAGCGCTTGGTATGATGATTTCGAAGCCCTCACTCTTCATGGCGATCTTGCGGGCCAAGAGGAATGGTCAAGGTGAACAAACTTATGAGAATGCTAGAGATTCTGTCACGGCCATGTATCGTGCCGGTGTTCCCATTCTTGCCGGCACCGACTGTCACGATGAGCCAAACTCGTTCTTTGATGTCAAGCATGGAGAGGCTTTACATCAGGAACTTGAGCTCCTAGTTGAGGCCGGCTTACCCATTCTTAATGCTTTGCGTGCGGCGACGGTGCTACCAGCCGAGTATTTTAAGCTACTGGATCGAGGCGTTATCGCTGAAGGAAAACGAGCAGATCTCGTTCTTCTTCGTGATGATCCCACGAAGGATATACGTGCAACGCGTAGTATTGAACGGATCTGGTGTGGTGGGATTGAATATAAGCGTACGGGGTAGCTATTTGACTTCCGCTCCAATGAAGAGTTCGAGCTACCATGGCTTGCCCATCAGGTGATAAGCTTGAAATACATGACACGGCGTAATAATAAAGTAAATGCCTGTAAAGGTGGCCATAAACGAACAGTTTCGGGTCGTGCCGTAAACAAATGTAGTTCCTTTGCCAAGGGTTAATATCGTCTGTAAGACCCTCATCCAGCCTCAAACATCCGCCAAAGGGCACCTTGATAGAAGTGCGCGTACGGATACCTATTTTATCTTTTTAGACCTACTAGGTATAGATTCATCTCATCAGGGATATTTGAGCCGAATTTCACTCCTTTAGTCTCGGTCATAGGTGGATCTGTGGCTGTAGCGCCGAGAGCAAGATGGCTAGTACCACGGCGTTTCTACCACAAACCCACTTAATATTTATCAGATGACGATCAGACGCTGTGCTAGCAAACCGAATCCCAAATGAGGAATGGTATTCCCCGCATCTTAATGGCAAACCCATCACCGGCTAAACTTCGGCAGTGTCGTACCACGCGGGGCGACAGGTATCGGCATGGAATATCCCGAGCTACCTGGGCAGGTACCTTTCGACTTCCATGATCGCCCAGCTTATGATATTGGAACTTTTTTCTGTCACAGAAATTTGTTCCCAGAGAGCGAGTGAAGGTTCGAAGTTATCACCATGTCAGCACAACCCACCATAAAAGCCATCTCTTTCGAGCAACACGCCAGCGGACGCGGCATCGGGATCGCATCACCCCGCATCTCATGGAAATTCGCTGCAGACAGCAACACAATCCAGAACTGGGAACAGAAAGCCTACGACCTAGAAATTCGTCGTGGATCAGTCACAGAAGACTTTCACATTGAATCCAACAACTCTCTCCTCGTCCCTTGGCCAAGTCAGCCCCTCCAATCTCGCGAGATCGTTCAAGTTCGCATTCGCTCGTATGGTAACTCTACGACCGAGCCAACGCCATGGTCAACCTGGAAATCTCTCGAATGTGGTCTTTTACATCGAGAGGACTGGAAAGCTCATGCCATCACTTCTCCCATCAAGGAGGTAGTAGATGGCCCATTGCGACCTCTGCGCTTTAGAAAGACGCTCCACGTCCCTGGGCCTTCGAACGAAGTGAAACGCGCAAGACTTTACATCACGAGTCTGGGCGTATTCCAGGCTTATATCAATGGCGCGCCTGTTGGTGATCATTTCCTCGCGCCTGGCTGGACAAGCTATCACCACCGGCTGAACTATGAAGTTTTCGACATCGCACCGCTCCTCCACGAGGGGGAGAATGTCATTGCAGTCGAGGTCGCAGAGGGGTGGTATGCAACTCGCCTGGGATTCCACGGTGGACGAAGATTTATCTACGGCGATGAGATGGCCTTGATTGCGCAGCTGGAGATTGAATCCGAAAGTAGCAAAGAAACCATCCTGTCGGATTCTTCGTGGAAAAGCCACACCTCGGCGCTGATATCCAGCGAGATCTACGACGGCGAGGTATACGACGCACGCGAAGAAGAAGAAGGAGACTGGACGACCACGCCCTTCCAAGACGAAACCTGGCCCACGGTCCGCGAAACCGCATTCCCAAAGACGAACCTCGTAGCACCAAATGCACCGCCCGTCCGCGTAACCCAGATCATAAACCCGGTGCAAATAATAACAACACCGTCAGGTCAAACAATCGTTGATTTCGGCCAGAACCTCGTCGGCCGTGTCTGTATCCCCTCCCTTCTGACACCACCAGATACGCGCATCACACTCACACACGCCGAAGTCCTCGAGAACAACGAACTATCAATCCGACCCCTCCGCGACGCAAAATGCACCGACACAATCATCTCCGCAGGACAAGAACTCAAAGAATGGAAACCACGCTTCACATTCCACGGCTTCCGCTACGTACAAATATCAAACTGGACCCCAAGCCTCTCAAATCTTCACGCAGAGGTCCTACACACCGACCTCAAGCGCAGCGGAACATTCAAAACCTCGCACGAAATGGTCAACAAGCTCCACGAGAACGCTACCTGGAGTATGCGCGGGAATTTCCTCTCCATCCCGACAGACTGTCCACAGCGCGACGAGCGGCTGGGCTGGACGGGCGATATTCAGATTTTCGCCCCGAGCGCCTCGTTCTTATACAACACTGCGGGGATGTTGGGAGATTGGTTGGAAGATCTGGCCGCTGAGCAGATTTCTTCCGGGACGGGGATTCCGCCGTTCGTTGTGCCGAATGTTATTCCTGAATCGTCATGGCCCGTGTTTCCGCAGGCTGTTTGGGACGATGTGACTGTTCTTTTACCTTGGACGCTGTACGAGAGTTATGGGGATGTGGAGATTCTTCGGCGCCAGTATGCTAGTATGCTTGCTTGGGTTGATGCAGGTGTGAAGCGAGGGCCAGATCGATTGTGGGATGATGAGCTTTTTCAATTGGGTGATTGGCTTGATCCTACTGCTCCTCCTGAGCAGCCGGGCAATTCGCGGACGGATGGGACGTTCGTTGCGGATGCGTATTTGGTGCATGTTACGAAGGTGTTGGGGCGTGTTAGCCGGGTGTTGGGTGAGGGTGAGAATGCGTCGCGGTATGAGAGTGATTATCTTGCTCTCAAGGCGCGGTTTCAGGAGAAGTATGTCACGGCTGAAGGGTATCTGGTTGGGGACACACAGACTGCATTTGCACTGGTGATATTCTTTGATTTACTGGACAGTCCTGCGCAAATCGCCCGTGCGGGTGCGAGACTGGCGAGATTGGTTCGGAGAGCGAAGTTCCAGGTTTCGACGGGGTTTGCGGGCACGCCGATTATTACGCATGCGCTTTGTAAGGCTGGATATGTCCAGTTGGCGTATCGGATGTTGTTGGAGAAGACTTGTCCCTCTTGGATGTTTCCGATTACGATGGGTGCGACGACTATTTGGGAGAGGTGGGATAGTATGCGGGCGGATGGGAGTGTCAATCCGGGTGAAATGACGAGCTTTAATCATTATGCGCTTGGGTCGATTGTTAATTGGTTGCATAAGGATGTTGCGGGTGTGAGTTTGCTTGAGCCTGGATGGAAGAGGGTTCTTGTTAAGCCTTTGCCTGGGGGCACGGTTACGAGTGCTGAGGTGAGGTATGAGACTGCTTTTGGAGAACTTGAGTGTCGGTGGGCTCTTGATAGGAATTTGTTCCAGCTTAGTCTTGCTGTGCCGCCGAATTCCTCTGCCGATGTTGTTTTGCCTGGCAGTGATGTTGTGGAGAGGGTTGGATCTGGGAGTTACGGATTTGAGACAAAGTTTGATAGTGGAGTAGGATGGCCTCCTAAGTCTTTGGTGCCGCCTATGTTTGAGCCTGAGGATACTTTTGTCTGATATGAGTTTAAGAGCTGTATATAGGAGTGGGTACGATGCATAGGAATATTTGTCTATCGATCTTCATTGTTCGGTTGGGTAATAGAAATATTCAAGTCTTCTTTGAAAATGAATGGCAGGATAATTGTAGCTTCAATGAGTGGAAGATCACGGTATTGTAGAAATTTCAACCAATACGAGGTAGCGTAATGGTTAGGTACCTCCTAGGTACGTTTCTCAAGGCTGGGGTATTCAGTAGCCAGTCAGCCATTGAGCGGCATATCAGGATCGCCAGTGGAACCGAATTTAGCAGCAAGACAACGCCAGTCTTTGGCAAAGCGTCCAGCATATCCTGTATCCAAGGTTTCACGCCGGGTTGGGCGTCAAACTGGAGCGTTCGGGGGATCCAGGCCGAATTGTTGTCTTCCGTAGAAGTACATTGGGGTCATCAAATCATAACGCATAGCATTGGCCGAGCTGAGAAGAGCAGACTGGGCGAACTCGGCAATCGGGCGTTCCTCAACGGGTGAGCGTGGTCGTCGAGTTGTTGTCCGGAGTAATCGAGATATCGGTTTGAACACTGATACCCAGGGGCTGGTTCTGGAGATTATCGCCCAAGAACGTGCCCTTGGTGGCACTAGCACACCTCTCATATGGCGATTGCGAGCCATACATGTTCGCCTGCATCTTCATATACTCGAGGTCCGGCGAGCGCGGGCTCGACTTGGAGATCCAGTGCGCGTTGCTGCGGTCGGTGTTGATGTAGTACGGAGGCTGGCTGTTCTTGGAGCGGTTCTTCAACTTGATGGCAGGGAAGAGGCCGCGGATGATAGGTAGACAGGAGCAGATCAGTCCGACGGATGGCTCGATGTGTGTCCATAGAGTGGCTTGGTAGACGGTGTAAGTAGGGTCGGTGGGGCTGATCCAGAACAGCACGACGATGCGGTAGATACTAGCGAAGCAGACGAAGGCGCCGAGGGCGAAGACACCGTTCAGCGCGAGCTTGTCTTGCCAGCTGCGGTGCAGGCCCCAAATCATCGGGATTGGAAGGATGAGGATGACAAAGTCCATGACGACGTTAAATGCTTGGTTGACGATGATGAAGACGTTCGCATCGAAGCATTTCCCGGACACACTGTGGTCCCAGTAGGCGCGTAGAGGAATGCATTGACCGGCGCATGCGAGGAAGATTCCGAGGCCCCATGCGCCGATAAGGCAGTTTAGACCAAAGGTGAATTGCTGAAACTTGGGGGTTGTGAAAACACGGCGGTAGAAGCAAATCAGCGAGATCTTGATAGAGGGACAGAGCATGAAGTATGTGAACTGGTTGGCCAGGAAGATCTAAGGTGTGTGAGTGACGGCAGATCAAAATTGATAGAAAATATTGGTATCTTTGCATACCTTCCAATAGTTCACAAGGGTCTTGTTGTCCAACAACTTGACGTGGGTCCCATTGCCTCCGATCGAACACCCTGATTTGATCAGCCAAGAACCAGACACACACATGCACACACACCAGGTGGGACGACTTACACAAGACCAATTCAATCAACATAGCAATCATCAGCACCATAGACACCAGAGAAAGGTAGTCATCAATTCCAAAGCCCACTCGGCGACGGTAGCGAGCCACCATGCGCGCCACCACAGAGACCAGACACAGAGCCACCAAGACCGAGACGATCTCGATCATCTGCCATCCTCGTGCGCTGGGAGCCATGGCTGTAGTATGTATAGTAATGAGAATCGAAAACCAAACCCCAACAGATGCACACCGTCAAAAGTACAACCTAAAGGAATGGTAAAAGCAGAAAGCACAAGCAAGGGGGAAGTCAGAAAGAGTGAATGACCTGGGGAAAGAAGATCAGCAGGGACAAGTGGACGACCTCCACAGATATACCAAAGCCACGCGAGAGTTGATGCACGACAAAAATGGAACTTGAACACTGGCAAAGAGAAAGAGGGCCCGATCCGAGAAACCTTGGTTCGCGCAGGCAATAATCGAACAGGTCTACTTTCCAGTTGATTGCGCAGTCCACCGGTACTATGGAGTATTCATCCATTCGGGGTCGATCATTTGTCCATATCGAGTTACGGACGCGCATGCGCCCAATTGTTGGGCTATCGGGATGTGCAATGTGCGTTGGATCCATGTGGTTCCTCAACCCACTCTTTTTCTTTGCATCTGCCTCTCTCGATGGAGTGTGGATAGCTTGATGGAGCCTAGCTCGTGTGCCAAAGCAAGAAAGTGGATGCCACTATAGTCCCCATTTACTGGGCGGCGCTGAATGGCGGGTAGCTTAATTGGCGCCGACAGCGGCTTATTCGCCGGTTCGCCAGGTGCTAGCGTTGCCTATCAGTACTGGGAAAGGAAGCTGATTTGGAATGACACATGTTTTTGGTTTCCACAGCGGATCGATTGGCTGGAAGGTCCTCGTTGAGAGTAAGTCAGGGTGGGGGCGTGGTTGACATAATGGGAAGGCCGAGCCTGGCGATCTCATCTGATATGTGGGAGTGCCCAGGTGTGTGATGAGAACAGCGGTGATGGTGATGGTGATGACTTACGGACTTGACCTGACCTGAGTTGCTGCATATGTTGGTCAGGGTTGACTTTGCTTTTGATAATCATGGACTATGGAAGACTATTTGCAGATCAATGAATTTGCGACCCTGACTCAGCTCTAAACTCAGTTATCTACAGTACTGTACCACCCTGGCACACACTCTCCGAGACCAGACTCTCGCAGATCATCAATAGCCCCTCCCAGCCCGTGTGAATGGCAACTATCGAATGCCAAGCGTGCGTCATTCCGGCATTGCTACGATCCCATCGGACCAGCCATGCATGGAATCTTCTGCAATCTCAACTGCCGGGGTCTGAGCACAATAAGGGTTGCATTTGCATCTAAATTTGGATTGATATACTGCGTACGCAGGTGCTGTGCCCCCGGGTAAAGTATGTAATCCTTCGTGGTGGACTGCCTCAGATAAATCAAATTGGCGATGTGTCTCCATTGCAAATCTCTTCGGGGTGGGGCACACTATTGACATGCGAATTCTTCAGGCTCCGCAAGCTCAGATCAACCACTGCTCCTTCAACAAGTACATTCGCGGGATTGTCCCTGAAATTGTGTAAATTTGTGCTTCCTCCGAGGGATATTCTGGTAGCGTGTTCATATTCAGGTTTTTGAACCCCTTTCCTTTCCCCCAGATACGAGTATATGTATGTATCTGTCCGTGCCTGTATACTCCGTACTGGAGAATCTCCAGTGGATCAAGCGGAGTGGCTTGGTGGCTTGGTGCCCAGGTGGCTTGGGTCTAACCGAGGTGTTGTCCATGGTTGGCCAGTAAGAGTAATTGCAGCCTACCACAGGCATAGCCAGGGACTGTGATAGAGTATACCCAGGTATACCGTGGGATGTCTTTATAGCTCCCCGTATTCCGTATTCATACCCCGGACAAGTATACTGAGTACATAATAGTTATAGTTAAATAGTACGAATTAGGGTATACTGTATTACCCCGATTAGGGCTGGATTTACTCGAAAGCCTAGCAGTGGGGATCAGATCAACAATTTCAAGTTCCCCTCATGCGGACACAAGGTCCGTTAAGGTAGCCATGCTGCAGGGAATTTGGAGTCAGTGGGGCAGCCAATCCAGGATCTCCAACTTGAAGCTCGCTGCAGTATACATCGTATTGCTTCTCTCAAGTTCCCCCTCTTCCTCTCCTTGATACCTACCCTACACCTCTACATACCAGGTATACCTCGGTACTAGTACCTACTAGTAGTATCACCATGACCACCAACATCCCCCTCCTAATCAACGGCCAAGAAGAACACACCGCATCGACCTTCTCCGTAATCAGTCCCTACACCAACGAACAATGCTGGACCTCCTCCTCCGCCACCCCGCAAGACGCCATTCGCGCCGTTGAAGCAGCCGACGCAGCCTTCCCTGCCTGGTCCCAAACCAAACCCACCACCAGACGTGATCTCCTCCTCAAAGCAGCCGATCTCCTAGAGCAGCGCCTCGAGCAGAATGCCGAGTACATGCGCACCGAGATGGGCGCCGACGTCGGTGCCTCACAGGGTTTCGTCGTACCGCTAGCCATCCGCATGTTGCGCGATGTCGCGGGCCGCATCACCTCCATCTGCGGAAGTGTTCCAGTCGTCGAGGCAGAGGGCCAAAGAGCGATGGTCTTGAAGGAGGCCATGGGTGTGATTCTAGGAATTGTCCCTTGGTGAGTTGCTGTTGTTGCCGTTGCTGCTACATTTACATTTCCACTCAACTCACAACTTCAAGGAACGCACCCTACGTCTTCGGCATCCGCTCCGCAGCCTGCGCCCTCGCAGCAGGAAACACAACTATCCTCAAATCATCCGAGTTAACACCACGCTGCTACTGGGCCATTGGCCGCGCCTTCGAAGACGCAGGTCTTCCCGCTGGATGTCTGAATATCATCCACTGCCGCCCAACCGACGCAGCCGACGTCGTGAACGCGATGATCGAGCACCCCGCCGTCCGCAAAATCAACTTCACCGGCAGCACGGCGGTCGGTCGCAAGATCGCGCGATCCTGCGGCCAGAACCTCAAGCCCTGTCTCATGGAGCTAGGCGGGAAGAATAGCTCGATTGTGTGCCAGGACGCGGATCTGGATACCGCAGTCCAGGGTGTTTTGGCCGGTGCTTTTTTGAATGTGTGTCCTCTCCCCCGGCCCCCAGTGCTCTCTTGTCCAGACAGGGAGTTCCTTGAATTCCAGAATAAAGGTGAACCATACCCGCTAACCAACTTCCGCTCTTCCAGTCCGGCCAAATCTGCATGGCAACAGACAGAATCCTAATCCACACCTCAATCGCCGAACCCTTCACAACCGCCCTCCAGAAAGCCCTAGCAACCACATCCCCAGACCCAACAACCCTCCCACCCACCCTCGTAAACACAGCCTCAAAAGCCCGCATCCAGACCCTCCTCACCAACGCACTCGCTTCCGGCGCGCACTTCATCTCGGGCTCCACCCCCGCAGACGTAGACGCGACCCTACCCAGCGGCTGCGGGGTGCGCATGGCGCCGGCCATCCTGGGCGGAGTGAGCGAGGACATGCCCGTGTGGCAGGAGGAAGCATTTGCGTCTGTCGCGGCGTGCATGACGTTTGACAGTGAGGAGGAGGCGATTCGATTGGCGAATGGGAGTGGGTATGGGCTTTCGGCGTCGGTGTTTACGGAGGATCTTAGGAGGGGGTTTGCGCTTGCGAGGAGGATTCAATCTGGGTGAGTTTCTTTCCTTTCCCTTTATTTCCTATTTGCGTTGCTGGGGGAGAGGGCAGGCTGGGCTGAGTTGATGTTGGCGTTGCCTGCCTTTCTCGTGTTGCTTGCCATTTTGAGGAATTTTGGTTGTTCAGGGCGCTGACGAGACCCCTCCTTTTGCAGGGCGGTCCACATTAACAGTATGAGTATTCATGATGAGCCGGTCCTGCCGCATGGTGGGGTGAAGAATAGTGGTTGGGGACGGTTCAATGCGGAGGAGGGTTTGAATGAGTTTTTGTCGACGAAGAGTGTGACGTGGATGGATTAGAGGCGGTAGCCGCTGGATTAGTGAGTATAGTATAGTACAGTGTCGGCCGTTATTGCCTTCCATGACGGAAGTATATGAGATGCCTTTTGCAACCTTAATCACATGATACGCAATCCTATTTTGGCTAGCCAAAACACTTGTAACAATGTTCCAATCTCGGAAGATATAATACCAAATGCGTATAAAACAGGAGTGGGTTATATGTTCGTGTTCAATTACAGATCTAAAAATAGCCCCTCAAAAATAGTTCCCTCAACACAGTCCCCTCAAAAAATAATTATCGAAGAGTTAGTTCCCTCTCCTTCCCCTTGAGTTCCCTCCCCTCTGCTCTTAGTTAAACAAGTTAGTCATAGGCGGACGGGCTGGTCTCCACTAGGCGTGACACCAATTTAGGTATCCAAATTCTATCGGGGCCAACGTTATTAAATACTACAAACCTATACACAAGATAGTGTTGTCTTGTCTCGTATTTTCAAAGGTTCTACCGATACATTAGCATTTGAATTTTTTTTTTAAACAGCTCCTCCAGCACTGTGGTAGGTGGCCAGAGCCTAAATCAGTACTTGTGATGGATAATATATCATTCCATCGTTTGGACCGAATGAAGCAAATATGTTCTGATATAGGTGTTAAATTAATATATTTACCTCCCTGTACTCTGATTTTAACCCTATCAAGGAATTCTTTGCTGAACTCAAGGCGTATGTTAAGAAATATTGGTCAGCATATAAAGAGAATCTCGATCGGGAATTTTAAGTTTTCTTTAGGTGATACCTCTAGGATGTTGGTACGAAGAAGGAAAGCGCTGAAGGCCATTTCCGGCATGCGGGTATAATCGTAGAAAAGTATGAGTGATCACCTTGAATAGAACGTACGCAACAAGCAGCGATTGTCGGGCCCCGTATGCAACAATTTAATGAACCCCATTGTGCCGATCTCTTATTTTGAAGACTCTTGAATCAGTAATCCTTCGTCTTAGGGGGAAAGCCCTTGTCTCTGATCTCGTCCTGAATTTTGAGTATGCAGTGATATTAGAAATCAATTTACCTCAGTTCCAAGGTTCTCTCTCATACTAAAGCACTATTTTATATTGGGCTAAGCTTCCGCCTAATATGAATCTACCTATATACTATGGTATCCTTATATTGTACAAGAACTAGTGTAAAATAGCTTATATATTTAGAATATAATTATTTACCAGCCCTGGAGTGTTGGAAAAGATACGCTCCGATCGACCGATATATATGAATATATCTATATGATCACACCCTAAAATGAGGTCGTTCATCTGAGGGTGAAACTATGTGGGGAGTCGTCCTTGTGTAGGGGTTCCTGGAAATCTAGTTTTCTTTTGTGAAGACCATGGACCAATCCTGCTTTTTGAAGTAATTTACCACACTGTCCAACTTCGGGGAAGAGTCCAACTAGGTGATTGTATCAGCAATGTGAAAAAAAGAACAAAAGAAAAAAAAACAAACACCGCCGGCGAACTCACGTCTTTAGGGTGGATGATTGTGGGGTCATCTCGGCCCTCGTATCCAAACTCGTTGCAATAAGCCCAATTGTCGTCCAATTCAAGACGGAGTTCATTTGGGAGGGGGATGTTCGATTGCCCTTTTTCCAACTGGATGCTTTCTGCTTCTGCCCCGGTAGCTTGAGCAAATGCCTTCGAAATTTCGCGTAAGGAAGCCCACTCCCGATAACCGATGATATTCTTCCCAGCGCTCTCTTGCACGAGTGCCTTTACAATTGGTCCAGTATCTTCTTCCGCGGTGATGAAAGGCAGTTTAACGTCTGGATCCAGATTGCTAATGAATTGGGCAATACCATGCGCTGTCTAGAAAGATTCAGAGATGATCCGTCTGGTCAGGGACGAAAAGAACATACCATCGCGGGCTGGAAGATCGGATTTGTGACAAAATTGCTCAAGAAAAACCCGGCCTGGAAGATACTTGTCTTCTTCCACAGCTCAGGGTAGGTTTCTCTTCCGTACGCCTCTGCCTTGGCTTTCGAGTCGAAATGGTAGACGTGCGTGTACCTCCCCTGGGACCACTTAGTCGCGTTGGAAAGAGATGACAACACGAAGCGCTCCAGCGTAGGAATCCTCGCGGAAACATCGATGACGGCTTTCAGTTGCTCGGTCTCATGATTGGCGGCCCAGACATTGAGCGGTTGACCTTTCGCCTTGGCTTCGTTGGCAGGATCACCAAATAGACCCCAGAAGTCACTGACAGCGAAAATAGCATTCGCGTTCTCAAAGGCCGACAAGAGGGTGGATGGCAAATCCAAGTCTGCTTGGACCACCTCCGCGCCGCGGGCAGCTAAGGCATGGGCTTTTTTGCTGGCAGGGTTCCTGGTCACTGCACGGACACGCCATTGCGGTTCCTGGAGGAAGACCTCGGCGACTGAACCACCTTGATTACCCGTAGCCCCGAGAATAACAATAAGTTTCTTGGTTGCCATGATTAAAAGCCAACAAGCATATGTTTTGATCTTGGTTTTCTGGATGGTAGACTCAGCTTGATGTCATGGAAATAGCCAGTGCGGTCTGCTAGTCAATTTATAGTTGGCATTTCTGCCGAAAGGAGAAACATCCTAGAAATGCCGCAGGACAGTAACCTTGGAAGGCCCTCTAGGCCACGGCGACTTTTCTGATTGAGTTTACTTTGGGTTACATGATCGGCCCGGGTATGGTTTGAAGGCGAATTTGCATATCTTTTGTGCAGCATTACCACCCTACTGGTTATAGCCCCGACGTCAAAAGATATCCTAAGTCATCCAGAACTTCTTCGCGCCTCTGTTTGCTGAGAAACGAATGATTAATGCTGCTCAATGCTAATTAATGGAAATAATCCAATTAATGATTACTGATACTAAAACAACATATGCATACAAATTCCCCACCCATGGTAACCACTTGATTCCCGAATGCAAAATGAGTCTCCGCTTTTTGTTTCTTAACTAGTACCATCGATTTGCGTTCTCCACTTCACAGGCTTCGGACCACAGTAAATGTGTTATCCCGGGAGTAAGGCTTCGCATTCATGAAACTCTTGGCAAGTTTGCATCGCTGCAGATGATTTTGATTTTTAATCAGCCCAAGAGCCTCCATTGGATAGAACCAAAGCATTTCTAAACTCTCCGCGGTGACATAGCTGACCAGAAGTAGGTGTTGGGTTATATGAAGTCAAGGATTAACGCTTGTGGGGGCTGGTTTTCGCAAAAGAAAGTTTCTCTCATTCTTTTTACCATATATAAAAAATAAACAGCACTCAATCTATTGCAGCCGGTGCACAATGGCTTTTCCCAACCATCTCTTCACTCGTTCAACATGGCGCTTCATCGGCCTTGGCCTTACCACGACTGTCTTCTCTCTCGGAGCCTTAGCCCTTCTATCTCCGTCCGTTGCTGCAGGTTCCCTCGGGGTCACACCTACCACGCCAGAAGGCCGTGACATAACTGAGAAAGCAATGATATTTCTTGGAATACGTGACATGGCCGTGGCAGGCGCGCTATTCTGGTTTTATAGTGGAGGAAAGGAGAAGGAGATGGGTGTTATATTGGCGGCGTGGACTGCTGTATGTGTGATGGATACATGGGTTACGACCCAGGGCCCAAGGGGATGGGATAAAGGAGTTTGGGGACTTTGTGGTGGGGCAGCGGTGGTAGCGCTCGGGGGGCTGGGCCTGTTACAATTTTAAGGCCCAGTGAATATTGTGCCGGGCCTTGCTCTTGCTCTTGCGTTCCAGAGTTCTTAGAGCATGCAGCAGAGGAAGAAATCCAAGAATGGACTTTGAATGGGGCAAAGCTGTTTAGGTGATTTCTGGATGTGAAGGAGAACATCTGAGCCAACTAGACGGCAAGGAAGATGTTATAGGAGCACTCGGGAGGTAGAATGACACCTTGCATGGAGGAGAACTTATATCCTCAACGAATACGACTACCTGCAATACAAAATTAACGCAAAAATGATTCTAAACAGTAGAGTCATCGATGGCCAACAAGGCTGTTTCCTCAATATAAGCTAGTTTATTTAAGGTACAGGCCTCTCAACTTATAATTTTTCTTATTATTCATATCCTTAATATTCACCTTCAATACTCCGTCCTAGTAATTACTAGGGACTATGATCAAGTCATTCTTATTACTTTACCTAGTATTTTATAGTTAAGTACAAGTTTCTAGGTAATTATGTAGTCAATATAATAGGGAGGATACTTATTATATCTATTTATTACCTTTCTCCTACTTAGTAAAGGGAAGAAATTTTAGCTAACTTAACTTCGGTTAATCATTAGTAAAATCCTAGGCAGGACTAGGAGAGGACAGAAGGGAGGATATCTGACCAAAGTAACCAGGAGTAGGAGCATATAGCGAGTCTTTGTCCTATGGATTATCTCTGAGGCTAATAGGCATCACTACCGGAATGACTGTTGGTTATCGTGTACGTTGTATCAGGATGAGGGGTCGTCTAAAGCAGAGCCAGAAGTGGTTAGCCACAGTCCATTATCTCCAATAAGATATAAAGCTGGAATAGCAGTAGAGATTATTCCAGAAATCTTACAGGCGAGCCTTGGCTATCAAAGCTAAAGTTAACAACACCAGGCTCTCTGCTGTGCAACGATGGCAAGAAGCGAAGAGGAGTTGAGGACAGCTTACAGGACCAAAGTTTGCTCTACTTGCATCAAGGATTCTAGTCTGCCCCCTTGGTTCTAGACTCGTGTACCTTTCAAAGAGGTATCAGTGGAAATCTCGGTACTGTTACAATGTAATTTCGGAATGGTTTATTTACGCAGTAATATTATTCAGCCTTGCTGATCATGTGATCATTATTAGAAAAAGCATCACATATACCTCTGCCATGGAAGGCAATAGCGGTCGCCACTGTAAGGCATCGGGTAGTATCGAAAAGCAAAGCAGAGTGTACTCTAGGGTACTATGTACTCTGTAATTCACCTCCACTATACCGATTCCGAAATGTATGCCACTTATCGGCAATATAACGTACTCCATCCTCTGCTCCGTCTCGGTGACATCTTCTGCGTCCGCGTCGGCTCTCGGGCGAGATGAAATCCTTCGGAATACATTACCCCGAGATTTCACCACGCGGTCTGACCGCAACAATTGAGACCGAGATGCAGCTCTCCAGGTCATTGAAACTGGGGCGGGATGGGCCTTTTAGTATTTTTTTCTCGCCAGGAGGCCCGGTTCGTCGGGGAATGATGGGACGAGAGGGTGAATTCCGTCGGCAATTGACTTGTCCCGAATGGGCTGGGTAGTGGATGACATCATCACACGACCCCGGATTATCTCAGCAACTTCCACCAATCAGAAAACAGCCAAAGTTCAGCGGTCGCAATGTGGAGAGGATATCATCATCGAATATAAATTGTATTATATTATCGATACCAGAGTATATAAGATAGTATATAGTATATGGTATAGATGATATCCTTCAGTACACTCTATAGTATAGTCCACACCATGCAGTATACTGGGAGTATACTCCAGTATACTCCGTACTCCCACAGTATACAATGCATTGCATGCAGCTCGGCCTCTCACGTACTTCCGAGGTTCACGGAATCCACCCCGACCGAGTTACCGGTTGCCTCTGTTCAGAAGATGCTGATTCCGAAATGCTTGAAACTCGGATTCTCTGGGGAGAGTATTATCCACTGTGTCTCTTCTATCCACTCTGCCTAGTCTATCCAGTCTATCCTATGGCCATTCTACTGTCTATCCTATACCTATACATAGTATCCCTCTGCTTATGCCTCCCTCTCTCATGAGCATGTGAATGTCTCATACTAGTCCAGCATGCAACATCTGATCCAGTAGTAGCCCTAGCTACCCCCTAAACTTTCCATGTGATTGTATCTTCCCCAGAAATGGATCCCCTTTCAAGCACAAACCAGCAGTCTTGCATTCCTCATTACTCACACTCCCCGGAAATATCCACTTGATCTGATCCACTTTCCACTTTCCTTTCCCACCCTGGGCCCATCCCATCATTCCCCCCCCACGTTTGTACCTCGGCCGATAGCTCCTCTCGTCGGCTTCTGAGTTGACTTTCTTCCCTTCCTTTAAGAGCCTTTCCCTGCTCCTCTTTTCTCTCCCCTTCTCCCCTCCTCCATCTTTCCATTTATTCCCCCTTCACTTAACACACTATGGCAGCACCCCAAGTCATTGTGGTCGGTGGTGGTCGTACGTTTCCTTCCCGCTTCCTCCCTTTCATCCTCTCTAACACTTCCTAGTATCCGGCCTCAGTGCCGCCCACACCGTCTACCTGAACGGTGGCAACGTCCTCGTCCTCGACAAACAGGCCTTCTTCGGTGGTAACTCCACCAAGGCCACCTCCGGTATCAACGGTGCCCTCACTCGCACCCAGACCGACCTCGGCATTGCCGACAGCGTCAAGCAATTCTACGAGGACACCCTCAAGTCCGCCCGTGATAAGGCCCGCCCCGACCTCATCAAGGTTCTGACCTACAAGTCCGCCTCCGCCGTCGAGTGGCTGCAGGATGTCTTCAACCTCGATCTCACCCTCGTCTCCCGACTGGGCGGTCACACCCACCCCCGCACTCACCGTGGTCACGATGCCAAATTCCCCGGTATGGCCATCACCTACGCGCTGATGCAGCGCCTCGAGGAGCTCGCCGACTCTGAGCCCGGCCGTGTCCAAATCGTCAAGAAGGCCAACGTCACCAGCGTCAACAAGTCCGGCAACCACGTCACCGGCGTCACCTACACCGTCAACGGCGAGACCAAGGTCGCAGAGGGTGTCGTCGTCCTCGCCACTGGCGGTTACGCCGCCGATTTCAGCGAAACATCCCTGCTGAAGAAGCACCGTCCCGACACCTTCGGTCTCTCCTCCACCAACGGCACCCACGCCACCGGTGACGGCCAGAAGATGCTGATGGAGATCGGCGCCAACGGCATCGACATGGACAAGGTCCAGGTCCACCCAACCGGCCTCGTCGACCCCAAGGACCCCGGCGCCAAGTTCAAGTTCCTGGCCGCCGAGGCCCTCCGCGGCGAAGGCGGCCTCCTGCTGAACAAGGACGGCGAGCGTTTCTCCGACGAACTGGGTCACCGCGACTACGTCTCGAACCAGATGTGGATCGAGAAGGAGAAGGGCAAGTGGCCCATCCGCCTCGTGCTGAACAGCAAGGCATCCAACGTGCTGGACTTCCACACCCGCCACTATTCCGGCCGCGGCCTGATGCGCAAGCTCACAGGCAAGCAGCTCGTCGAGGAGATCGGCTGCGGCGAAGCCGCCCTCAAGAAGACCTTCGACGAGTACAACCTCATCGCCGACGGCAAGAAGAAGGATCCCTGGAACAAGAAGTTCTTCCACAACATGCCCTTCAAGCTGGACGACGAGTTCCACGTTGCGACCATGGAGCCCGTGCTGCACTTTACCATGGGCGGCATCGAGATCAACGAGCACGCCGAGGTCCTGAACTCCGAGCAACAGCCCTTCACCGGCCTATACGCCTGCGGTGAATTGGCCGGCGGTGTCCACGGTGCTAACCGTCTCGGTGGCTCTTCGCTGCTGGGTTGTGTTGTCTACGGCCGTGTTGCCGGTGACTCTGCTTCGCAGCACCTCTTCCAGAAGGTCATTAATTCCGGCTCCTCCGGTGCCCAGCAGCGTCTTGGCCAGATCTCCCTGCACATCGACCCCAATACCCCGGGCAAGATCTCTGTTGAGTGGGCTGGTGCCGCTCCCGGTGGTAGCTTGCCTACTGTGGCTGCTGCCCCTGCTGCTGCTGCCGCTGCCGCCCCCGCCGCTGCCCCCGCCGAGCAGGCTAAGCCTGACCCGGCTAACTTCCAGATCCCCGAGAAGGAGTATACCATGGAGGAAGTTGCCAAGCACAACAAGAAGGACGACCTGTGGATTGCCGTCAAGGGCATCGTTCTCGACGTGACCAACTGGTTGGACGAGCACCCTGGCGGTGCGAACGCTCTGTTCAACTTCATGGGCCGCGATGCTACCGAGGGTGAGTAACCTGTCCCTACCCTAATAATAATAACAATAACAATCCAAACCGAAGAATGCTAGCTAACTTTTTCGCAGAATTCGCCATGCTTCACGATGACGAGGTCATCCCCAAGTACGCTGCCCAGACCGTCATCGGCCGCATCAAGGGTCAAACTCCCAGCCTGGAGCTGTAGGAGTTTCTTCTTGTTCTTCCTAATATGCCCGCTTGACAAAACCTGATATTTTACTCTCATACCCCGTTCTTCTCTGCGTTCGGCCACCTGATGTTCTTACGATATATGATGGCGTGGCTTTGGCTGACTGTGACCATTTGTGATTGGCATTTAAGTTTAAATTGGCCTTGCATTGGTTTGGCCGGTCTGGTCTAGTCTGGCGACGTTGATCGAGGGTGCTCTCTTCGTGTAACATATTTTAAATGCATTATCTAGAGATGTTTTGCCTCGAATTTTTCTTCTGGTTTTCTTCGTTCTCGTTTTTACTTAAGGTATGCTTGGTAGCACCTAGTAACTAAGTAGTACTTGGTTCTTTAAGTTAGCATAGGCCAAGCTCAGCGATAAGGTCATATCAAGGAACTTGAAGTTGACTAGTTCCGACTTGTTACGGAATAATGGCATACTACGTAGTAGTTCTAGTTACCTCGGCTACCTTAGCCCGACACAGCCATCAACCCTTGCCAATTCCCTACGCGAGTAGGGGTATAGTTAGTTAGTACCACCTACTTTTACCTACCCAGGTAGATACTTCGAGTACCTACAGTAGGTACTAGTTAGTGGGTACCTTGTCAATAAATCTCAACCTAGAATGTTTCTCAAAACCTTGAACTCATAGACACAAGGTCCGAGCAGATAATTCATACATATATCTCTTTACCATTCACAATTCAATTCATTCAGCCCTCACCAGCCCTCTCACCCACCCATATGTTTCAAAATCATCTTCAACCTCCTGACAGCCGGTCCATCCCCATCCCCATGACCCACCCCTTCACCACCACCACCCTTCGCCTCCTCAATCTCCTCCCTCGCCGCCTCAAGCGCAGGCCTCAAATACCCCCAAACCTCATCATGATACCTCTCCTGCACACCAACCCACTCCCCAGACCCCGGCAACTCAGCCAAAACGCTGTCCCTCAGCGAAACACCACTCCCATCATGCTCGTTCAGAAAAGCGTCGATATCAGGGACAAGGCTGACAGAGGACAGCCCCACGGATCCTTGCGGGAGTGCTCTCCCCGAACCCGAGCCAGATCTAGATACACCAAACTCCCGACGGAAAGACTCGAGCATTTCCACCTCCTCGTTTGACAGAGGAGCCAACTCTGTATCTAGCTCGAGATCGAGATGATAATTTTCCGCATCGTCGTTGGCTGCGTCGAAGGATGGATCTGCGAGGAGGGCTGTGACTGCGTCCCCGTCTGTTGAGACGGGCGTGTATGTGTCTGTGTATGTATTGTATGTTTTGTGCGGACTGGCGCGTTCCCAGGCTGTGGTGTATTCTAATTGAACAGGATCTTGGAGTCTGTGTTTTCCTTTCCAGGGGCCTGTGTGGGATTGGAGGTCGTCCAGTGAGGTTTGGCTTGCGTCTGCGTCTGCGCCTGCGCCTGTGCCTGCGTTGAGTGACTCATTGGGCTTGAGGGCGGTTGTTGGTCCTGTTTCTTCGTAGTATGCTCGGCCGTAGGTGCCAGTGTCTGTGTAGACGCGTTGGAATTCTTCTTCGGTTATGTTTGGGATTGAGAATGCGCCGCGGGGATTGGTGGTTGGGGTTGTGCGGAAGGTTGGTGCGGGTGTGGGTTGTTGTTGTGAGGAGGGGGCATTGTTTGTTTGGGGTGTGGTGTAGTTGGCTGAGGCTGAGGCTGATGTTGGTCCTGAGGAGGGACCTGGGGCTGCTTTGCCTTGGGTTGCTGTGTTGAGGGTTTGCGCGTAGTCGCTGGGTCCTGTTAGGGCGGATCGGGCGAGGGATGTGGCGGAGGATTGGATGCGGGTTGCGAGGGAGGGTTGAGAGGGAGGATTTGCATTTTTGTTGTTTGCGGCGCTGGTGCCGGCCCTTGTACTCTGGCGGGGGTTGGATTTGGGGTTGAGGATGAGGTTGAAGCGTTCAAGTTGGAGTCGGGGTGGTGGGCTGGCGGTGTACCCCGCATGTTCGGGTCGGTCATGGCGGTGAATTGGGGAGGATTCAAGTTCTTTGTTATAGACTTGGGGAATTGGTTGTTTAGGAGAGAAGGGTTTGGGTAAAGATACAGGGAAGGGATTGGAGTGGAAGGGCTGGAGGTGGATGGTTTGGACCGGACAAAGTAGGAACATGTGAAGATCGGATATAACTAGTTAGCCTGAGTATACTACTATCTATCCTTAGGCAATTACTAACTATACTATAGTACTCCAGTAGTATGATTAACTAATGCGGGGGATAGTAATTCAGATATCAATCTTAGATATAATTAGTACTAGATTAAAATAAAAGTGTGATGCATCCGAACTGTATACTAGTAGTGCTGCACATATCGGGTATTGCATCAATTGCCGCGGTTAATGGAGTGGATATACAAGTACAAGCACTGGCACTTTTCCACGTGGATCCTTGAACTTGAAGCTTTATGTTTACATATAGGTGCTAGTATAGTATATCACCAGTGGTAGGGCTCTATTCTTATATTCTCAATCTCTAGTAGGAGCAGTGGTACTAGTAGATAAGCACTTATATATTAGAAGGGCCCGGATGACGACAGAGGGAGTCTACCTACCTATTACTACAAGTAATATTATAACTAGGTAGGTAAAATGATATACCTATAAATGTTCATATTAGTAGTATAGTATCTACTAGTATAATATAGCTAAAAGTATATACTATTAGTAGTATACTAGGTAGGTATCTTCTCAACGTAAGTGTAGTATGCCCCACCTGATGTTGCACTGTGCAAATGGTTGATGTCAGGATGGCTGTAGTAGTAGAGTAGTGGGCAATGGACTCTAGTATTAGTTACTAGTAGTAGTGTTACTACTATTCTAGGGTAGCAGAGAAGTATCTGCAGTCTGCTATTCTATTAATCTGTACTCCTATTCTGTTATTCGGTACTGCTATACTGCTACTGCTACTGCTACTGCTATACCAGTACCACCTCCCTCCTCCGCCCACCGCTGCTCAAGCTCTGCTTTGGGCCCACTCAACATCCACGGCTCGTTTGCTTCCCCTCCTCTCTCCCCCTCCAACTACCTCCTCCTACAACCCCCACCACCACCCCCATCCATTTTGGTTTTCCTCTGGCCTCTTGTGAGACCTTCTCCCTCTCGGTTCTTCGTGGGTTCGCTTCCGCCCTCTCTCCCGCGATCCCGCCATCGAACCCCTCGCTCCGTCCTGTCCAACCCGATTGCTCGCCCCCTCCAGCTCGCCCTACACCCATTGGCCATCACTCGCCGACCGATCTAATTTTCCTCGTTGACCCTCCGTCCTGTTCATCGCTCTGCTTGTCGCTTTGCCCGCCTGCAATAGAGCTCGCCGTGCCGAAGAAAAATTATTACGGGCGCAGCGGCTTTTCTTTCTTCACCGTCTCCAACCTTGCATCGGTCTTCGCCCATCCGTCGCGATCCCGGGCGATCTTAGAACGAAAAGATGGTAGACAGAGATCCAGGCTCACCCACCTGGAAGTTCACACAGTGAGTCTTCAATCCAAAGGGGAAGACGCGGTGGGGTGGTGCGGATGCCGACTCGCTGGTTTTCTCAGTGCGCACTTTGATCGGTCGATCATGCCTCATGGAAGCGACGGAACGGCGGGATACCCTGGATTTTGGCTGACTCGCGGGATGCAGATGCTTCGGAGATAAAGGCGATGTAGAGGATATCACAGAAGGTATCATTCTCTTCCTTTTCCCGCCCTCGGAGAAAAAGAACTTTTGGACTGACTCTCTCTCTTCCCCGCCAGCTGATATCATCTCGACCGTCGAATTCGATCACACTGGAAATTACCTTGCTACGGGAGACAAGGGTGGACGTGTGGTTCTGTTCGAGCGAAACGAGACGGTAAGCCAGAAACCCACTCAGCCTAGACCGGAAAGAAAGGGAAAAACCGATGAAAAAGAACCATCACTGACATTGATTCTTTTCTCTTCCCGCTCAGAAAAAAACCTGCGAGTATAAATTCCACACCGAATTCCAATCCCACGAGCCCGAATTCGACTACCTCAAATCCTTAGAGATTGAAGAGAAGATCAACAAGATAAAATGGTGTCGGCGACAGAATGCATCACACTTTCTCCTCTCCACAAACGACAAGACCATTAAGCTGTGGAAGGTGTTTGACAAGTCTCTAAAGGTGGTTGCAGAGAACAACCTTTCCAATGAGATGACTCCGGCCCCCGCCATCGGCGGTCTCCCTCGTGCCCCCCGCGGAACTTTCAAGGACGCATCGGCTCTGAAGCTGCCCCGATTGACACACCATGATACCGTGGTCGCCGCCGTCCCACGGAGAACTTACGCGAATGCTCACGCGTACCATATAAATAGCATTTCCGTGAACAGTGATGGCGAAACCTTTATCAGCAGTGATGATCTGCGAGTGAACCTGTGGAACCTCAACATTCAGGACCAAAGCTTCAACATTGTGGATATCAAGCCTGCGAACATGGAGGAGCTGACTGAGGTGATCACTGCGGCTGAATTCCACCCCGTCAGCTGCAACCAGTTCATGTACGCTAGCTCCAAGGGTACCATCAAGCTTGCCGACATGCGCCAGCGAGCGCTCTGTGACGAACACGTGAAGCGTATGTACTACCAAGAAGCAAACATTCACTTACCCCCCAGTATGCCCAGGATGGAATCTAATCTTTCTTTCTTTTCTGCTATCTAGAGTTTGAACAAGAAGAGGATGCATCCTCTCGCTCTTTCTTTTCCGAGATCATCTCCTCCATCTCCGACGTTCGATTCTCACACGACGGCCGGTACATCGTGTCTAGGGACTATCTGACCGTGAAGATTTGGGACGTCAACATGGAGCGTCAGCCGGTGAAGACCATCCCCATCCACGAGCACCTGCGTCCCCGCCTGTGCGACACATACGAAAACGACAGCATCTTTGACAAGTTCGAGGTGGTCTTCTCGGGTGATGCTGAGAATGTCATGACCGGTAGCTATAACAACAACTTCATGATCTACCCGACAGAGGAGGAGAAGGAGACGGAGATTGTCCTACAGGCGGATAAGTCGGCGTTCAAGGCGAAGAAGGTTGGCGTACCGACCCCAATGAACAAGGGCAATGGAAAGAAGGCCGGCTCGAGGTCCGGTAGCCCCGCGGGTCCGGGCAGCCGAATGAAGAAGGAAACCGATGCCGACCAGATCGACTTCAACAAGAAGATCCTGCATATGAGCTGGCATCCCTTCGAGGATAGCATTGCGATTGCCGCTACGAACAACGTGAGTTCCCCCCTCTTGATCAGCTATTGACCTTGCTTATGCTAACCCTACGTCTAGCTATTCGTCTTCTCTGCTCTGTGAGGTCATACACATCATGGATAGGCGCGCATCTTGGGAGGAATTCGGTGACTGGGTGGAGGACTGGCGATTGAGAGAACAAGGACGCACCCAAAACGAACGAAAAAAAAAGCAAAGAAGAAAAGAACACAAACGCAAATAATGCCATAGCAGCAAAGCCACAGGTTTCATAATTCAGGACTTGCTCTCACGTCTTGCACACCTGCCTTGCACCATTTCCTCCACCTGTCTCGAAGTGTCCCCTCGAACTATCCCCTCCGCCATCCACCCTCCACCCCTTCCCTTGTGCCTGCAGGCGTTGTACGGAGTGATTTCATGATAGAGAGAATGTTAAGCTCGGTTGGGGCGTATTATGATCGATCTTGTTGTGTTGGGCATATCCCATGGTAATGATTATAGGAGTATCCTTGTATGTAGCTACACTTAGTTGGGGCAAGCATGTCAAGTTCCTCAAAAACACTCCGCTCTTTACTTATCCTAAGTTAAATATCCATTTCCCACCGCTTTTGTAGCTCTCAGGTGTCTCAGTTTTCCAATTTCCCCTAATTCGTACACACAATCAGCCCTCTCCAGATTTTCCGGTTGATCCACGGGATTTTCTGCCCGACTTTGCGGGCGATGACGAAGGCGGAAGGAATGTTTGCTTTTTCTCGTACGGAAGTGTGACTATACACTGCACCTTGTTGGCTCTGACCGCCCAGACTAACCGCTGCAACGCCGCTGTATAACTGTATGAAATCGTTCTGCCAGACCGGACTAAAGAGAATCCGGAGCATCCCCCATTGGGACTAGCCGCAGTCGGTCAGGAAAGCCTCCACTGGAGAAGCCCGCGATCGGTCGCGCGCACTCCTCGTCTGCTATCGCTGGCTCTGCTCTCGGAGTATACTTACTGTTTGTTTTATTTGACAAGTTCTGCCTGGTCATGCTGTGACTAGGCGCTTCTCGAGCGTCACCACTCATCCCACTACGAGCCTTTGCGAAACGCCAACTGCGAAAAGCTGCTGGAGCTCACCCTCGTCCACTCCATTCGACCACCCACACATCTTCTCTCCCCCTCCCCTCTCCCCCTCTCTTCAACTCATTCTCTCCCAATACCCCGTTGCTCGACTCCTCTTCTTTCATAGCCGTGATCCGGCTCATGCCCAGATCATGAATTCTGGGAATGATAACTGGCACTCCCCCGCTGGTGGGCCTCCGTCGCACCCTGGCATGGACCAGATGAACCAACAACCTCGGCCCTTGGGGTCTTTCAGGTATGAACCACAGGACTGCTCTCGATTGGCAATCCACGGTGGCTAACCTTGTATCTTGCTGCTCTTCTAGTCAAAATCCGTCTCAACAGGGTCCCGCGTCGCAGCCCTCTGGCCCTGTCCTTCCTCCTCCGTCCGGTTAGCATTTCTCCCACACCTTTCTCTTCTACAACCCGCTCAATCGATCGCATACTCCTGATACGTACAAGAGGATGGACAACTAACTTGGCTATGCCGCTTCAAAGGTCCCTACCACCCCGCCGGTCAGTCAGGTGGCCACTCCCTCCCCGGACTGGCAGAACTGAGCCAAAGCCACGGGGCTCCTCCACACCAACAACCGGCCTACGGACAGCACCCTGCTGGACCTTCCCACAGCTCGGGTCATTCTCTTCCCGGAATTGGCCAGGCCATGTCGCACGCATCTCCCCAGCTGAACCGTGACCGTGAACGGGACTCAAGGGAACGCGAGATTCTGGAGCGCGAGCGCCAGCGGCAGGAAGAAATGGCACATCGAGAGCGCGACCAGCGCGAACGCGAACAGATGGAGCGCCAACAGATGGAACGCCAGCGCAGCGAACATCACCCTGTCCAGAGTCACACCGGCTCGATCCCCCTTCACCAGCCCGTGGCTTCGAAAGTCCCCAACTCCATCCACGGCCCGAATGGCCTCCTTTCGAATCTCGGTAGCAATCCGTCAAATGGACCTGGAGGGAGCGTACAGCCTTCCGGCGGCCCGGCCAGCCTCTTTGGCGGCCCGCAGATGCAGCAACATGGCGAAGGCACCCCTCGGTCGTACATGCAATATCCGGGTGGACCAGCCATGATGGGACACAATGGGCAGGCACAGCAGATCCCTGGAAGTGTAGCGGCTCTTGCCCAGGGCCAGCAGCCGATTCTCAATGCAAGTCATCCGATTGGACCCGCCGCATCTCTCGGAGAGCCGAGCGCTAACAGTGGGTTCGTGGTGCAGGATGCCCTTAGCTACTTGGATCAGGTGAAAGTGCGATTTTCCGACCAGCCCGATGTTTACAACCGCTTCCTGGACATAATGAAGGATTTCAAGAGTCAGGCGTAAGTTTTCGCTCTTTTTGCAGTATGGTTGATTGAACCTGACCTGACCTGACTTTGCAAACAGAATCGATACTCCCGGTGTAATTCAACGCGTCTCTACCCTCTTCAATGGCCACCCGGCTCTCATTCAGGGCTTCAACACCTTCCTCCCACCCGGCTACCGAATCGAGTGCGGAACTGAGGATAACCCAGATGCCATTCGAGTTACCACACCCTCTGGCACAAATACACTGAGTATGCCGCGTGCAGGACGTCCATTCGAGACTACGACAATAACCGAGTCCGGCCCCTCCAGTGGTGGCCCTGGACGCCCTGATTACTACGAGCAATCTCGTCCGGGATGGCAACAAGCTCAGCAACCACAGAGTCAACAAGGCCACCCAGGCTCATATTCTCCTGGCTCGCGTATGATGGGCCCAAGCCTATACCAGCAGGAGCAAGGACCTGGCCAAGACCCCCACTATGGCTATCAGACTCAAGAGCAACAGGGTGCCGCGGCACTGTCCCACCAGCAGGACCACCGTGGTGTTGCTCAGCTGCAAGGCGCTGCCTCTGCCGCTTCTGCCTGGGGAGACCCGGCATGATGCCCACATCTGGCGCTGGTCCCAATGCCAGTCTGACACAACCGATGAACAGCCTGGCTGGCGTTGGTGGCATGCTTCAGGGTGGCGTTGCGGATCTAAATAAGCGTGGACCCGTGGAGTTCAACCATGCCATCAGCTACGTGAACAAGATAAAGGTATGCCTTCTTTGTCCTGGGAGCAAACTAATGAACACAACTAAACATCAATCTAGAACCGTTTCTCCAGCGCGCCAGAGATCTACAAGCAGTTCCTTGAGATTCTGCAGACCTACCAACGGGAGTCCAAGCCCATCCAGGATGTGTACGCGCAGGTTACTCAACTGTTCAACACTGCTCCAGACCTCCTGGAAGACTTTAAACAGTTCCTTCCCGAGTCCGCTGCACATGCAAAGCAACAGGCGGCGGCACGTCTTGCCGAGGAGAACGCTCCTATCAGTAATTTGCGGGGTGATCCTATGGCCATGTCCCAGGCTGCGAACCGAGATGCAAAGAACTTGCCTCCCATGGGCCACTTCAAACCGCAGGATTCCGCCAAAGATAACAAGAAGCGCAGAGGAGGACCTGGCATGGGCGGTGGCTCTGTATCTGGTCCTGCTGGCGCAGAAGCTCGGATTCCAGAGTCTCAGATGCGTGGCCAACCTGCTCAGTTCGCCAATGGCAGCAAGAGGCCCAAGTTCCACCATGGCAAGTCATCTGGCGCGGATATCCCGAACGTTTCTCCTACCTTGATCCCCGCGCTCCCGGAGCCAGTTCCGCCTAGTTCGTTGGCTACTCCAAGTCAAGAGGAAATCGCTTTCTTCGACCGTGTCAAGAAGTTCATTGCGAACAAGCAGACTTTCAGTGACTTCCTGAAACTGTGCAATCTCTATACCAATGACCTCATCGACCGTTTTATTCTGGTAAAGCGGGCCGAAGGCTTCATTGGTTCCAATGCGGAGCTCATGAGCTGGTTCAAGCGTTTTATGAACGTTGAGGAGCCTGAAGACAAGACCATTGACCCCAAGCCTAAGACTGAAGCCGGTGTTGTCAACCTTGCCCACTGCCGATCTTTGGGACCCAGTTATCGTCTGCTACCCAAGCGCGAGAGACAAAAGGCCTGCAGCGGTCGCGACCAGCTATGCTTTGAAGTGTTGAACGACGACTGGGCTTCGCATCCTACCTGGGCATCCGAGGATTCTGGCTTCGTTGCTCACCGGAAGAACCAATATGAAGACGCTTTGCACCGTATCGAAGAGGACCGTCACGATTATGATCATCACATCGAAGCTTGCACGCGGACGATTCAGCTCATTGAGCCAATTTGCCAGCAATTTTTGCACATGTCCGATGCTGAACGTACCAACTTCAAGCTGCCACCTGGTCTTGGTGGACAAAGTGAGGCTATTTATCAGCGCGTGATTAAGAAGGTCTACGACCGCCAACGTGGCGAGAAGATTATCCGCGATATGTTCGAGCGTCCTTGCCAGGTTCTGCCGATTGTACTATTTCGCCTGAAGCAGAAGCTGGAAGAGTGGAAAGCCTGCCAACGCGAATGGGATAAGGTCTGGCGCGAGCAGATGCAGAGAGCGTACTGGCGTAGTTTGGATCACCAGGCGATTGCCACCCGACAGACAGACAAGAAGCTCTTCATTGCCAAGAACATCCAGCAGGACTTGCAAGGCAAATTTGAAGAAACGCAAAGTCGCGCAAAGAGTGGTCTTCCCACGAAGAAATTCCAGGCTGAGCTGAAATTCGAAGATATCGATGTTCTCCTCGATACCACCCACCTTCTTTGCATGTTCATTGACCGCAGCACTTCCGGCTTTGGCGCCGAGCCGTCGAGGTTGATTAACTTTGTCAAGGACTTCGTTCCTATCTTCTTTGGCCTTGATCGCGAGACTTTCCACGACTACATGGATGAGCTTTCCATCGCTGCTACGCCTGTCGAGGAGCTGGAGGAGAACTTCGGCGCAGATGATACCTCCAACGCCAGTCGCAGGGTTGTCAACACGCAGAAGCTGGATCTCCTGCGTGAGGCTCTCAAGCAAAAGGGCGAGAAGGGCGGCAACCAAAACAAGGAGGATGGAGCTGCCGCTTCAGCTCCAGCAACAGTGCCGGCGTCAGTACCACCACCTACGCAGCTTGCCACCCCTGATGTCCGCGCCGCATCCGCGCCCGCATCCGAACCCGAGGAGGCATTCGACGTGGCAGAACTGAAATGGATGGAGCACCCGGGCCAGGGTAACTTCAACCTGGAGCGCGAGTACACTCTGAACGAGAAGTACAAGAAGACCGTGCACCACATGTACTGCAACCTCAACATCCTCTGCTTCCTGCGTACATTCGAGATTCTTTACTCGCGCCTGCAGCGAATCAAAGAACAAGAAGGCGAAGCCCGCGAACAAGTCCGCCGCGGCCTCCTGCCCAAACCAGCCAATGATCTCTGCCTGATCGATCGATTCCCGGGAGATTTCTTCTACGATGTCGAGCCGAAGGCCAACCTCTACAAGCAGATTGTCCGCATGTGCGAGGAGGTTATTCGCGGGGATATCGACCAGGTTCACCTGGAAGAGACCCTGCGCCGCTTCTACATGCAGAGTGGGTTCTTGATGTACAACCTGGAACGTATCTTCTCGTCGATCACCAAGTTCGTGGCGTCGATCTTCACGGGCGATTCGCGGGACCGCAGTTCCGATATTGCGAACTTGTTCTTCAAGGAGCGCGAGAAGAACGAGACCACCCATCACCAGGAGATCCAGTATCGCAAGCAAGTCGAGCGATTAATCAAGGAGGGCGATATCTACCGCGTGACCTTTGTAAGTCTGCCTCCAACCCCTTCTCCAAATGGCCGACGAAAACAATTATCTAACATCCAACCCCCCACAGTTCCCCTCCGACCGCCACCTCACAATCCAAGTAATGACAACGGAAGAATCCACCCTCAACCGCGAAGACCTCAGCCCCGAAGCCCGCTGGTCCTACTACGTCACAGCCTACTCAATGCGTGACCCAACCGAGGGAATCAAATTCTCCGAAATGCGCATCCCCTTCCTAAAACGCAACCTACCCGGCAAACTCGACGAAGACGAAGAATACGACCGCTTCTACCGCCGTCTCCAGCACTACGACGGCCTCGTCATCCGCATCTGCGCCAACAATTACACCATCCTCTACCAACCCCCGACACACGACTGGTTCTGGCGCTCGAATGCGCCGGTCCCGGACAGGGAGACGCTTGCGCTCGCGGACGCGGACGCCGCAAAGGCACAGGTTAAGGCCAAGAGAGGAGGATATGGTCAAGGATGCTGCCGCGCTCAAGGAGAAGAGACATGATCGCTTTGTGGAGAAATTCGTCAATAATCCTAATTGGGCCAAGGGCTTGAGTAAGGATAAGGTTGATGAGTCGAATTTGCGGTTCCGCGATTGGTTGAATGGGTGTCTTGTTAAGGCTGGGAGTGTGAGTCCTGCGCCTGCGGCGACGGCAACGGCGACGGCGACTGCCACCGCGAACGAGAATAAGGATGCGGAGACTGCGCCTGGTGCTGATGCTGAAGCTAATGCTGATGTTTCCGCCGACGCCACGATGGAAGATGATGCCGGTCCCGAGACTGCGTCTATCCCTGTTCCCGAGAAGAAGGACGAAGGTGAAGGCCAAGGCGAAGGCAAAACAGACGAGAAGGTCGAGGAACCAAAGGCCGAACCGACAGATACCGAGATGGCGGACGCCGAACCAGCCGCCGATGCTGATGCCGACGCTGACGCTGCGACCAGCGCCCCCGCTGAGACCGCAGAGCCCTCGACTGAGTCTTGATTTTGATTCTGATGAGCCTGGCCGAGAGTGTAAGCTTGATGGAAGCGATGCGATGTATTTCGAAATGTATGTGGATTGATTGATTGCTTGATTGAATTGGGCTGGGCTGGGCTGGGCTGGGTCGGATTGGGACGGAAAGTTGTTTTGCATGTATTTTTTTTTTCTTCTTCTTTTCTTCTCTTTTTCTTCTCTCTTCAAGGGTTTTAAGCCTTTTTTTTTGTTTGTCTTTTTTTCATTTGCGGTGGGCGTGGCGTCTTACATTATCTTATACCTGAAATATGGTTTTTATTAAACATCAATATTCACATGAGGACATTGCGCGATGAGTTATTGGTTCAAGGTCGAGGTTCTTTCTTTTCTTACTAGGTCCTTTTAGTTTTCTTGGGATTTGGGTTGGATGTTTTGGATAGTGTGTTGGCTGGTGGTTGTGGTGGGATTCTTGTTACTTCTTTTATTAGTATTTGACGTACAGCCAATAATCTATCGAGATGGTCGAAATTAATTGAAGCTCCGGGAGCTCAGTAAAATACTCTTCGTACACTGTATCTTCCTATGTAAAATCACTACTTTGGTGGAGGATGGAAACCATGGCCGGAATGGTGCTTGTATGCGGATATCTACTAGTAGGGGAGAAGATAATCCAGTGTGAACAAATGTGGACCGGTCTATATCTCATACAGATAATTTTAACCTTTGATTACTATATTCATTGGATACTACATTCTGTTCAATCGAACTTCTCGCAGACTGGATGCGTTTGGTGCCATGGTGGCACGGTTAAACTTTGAAGAGGGTAGATACGCATCGTGAGAAATAATGTCATAAATCACTCTGTTTCTTCGCTCAGGAAACAAGCTAAAAGTCTTCCCAGGGGCCACTAATAGTACTAGTATTACTATGGTCTGAAATATCATCCGCCTGCGGACTTGTAGATCCGACCCCGTCATCTAGTATCTGATGATTTTGATATAGCATCCACGGATGACTGATACACTGCTTGACGGTATGCCGCCGCTCCACATCAACCACCAGCATGCTATCAATGAGATCCAGGGCTAGATCCGTCACCGAGTCCCAGTATGGGGAAGGATAATCAAATCGGCCTTCCAGCGTTCTGGCGACGCCACGAAAGGGTTCAAACCCACACAAGCAAACGTACATAACGACGCCGCTTGACCAGACGTCTACTGGAAATCCGTATCCGGCAAGGCGATCCTCTTGAAAGACCTCTGGGGCCATATCTAGATTGATGTTAGCGACTACGGGTGCTTCTGGAAAGGAAGGGACGGGAAATGTACAGCCAAGTGTTCCGACCATGGTGGTGGCCAACTCTCCTCTCCCTTGATTGGAACCGATTTTCTTTGCGATTCCAAAGTCTGCCAATTTCAAGGTCAAATTTTCGGTGTCTGTGAGTAATAAGTTCTGTGGCTTGACGTCTCGGTGCACCCATCCCCCGTCGTGCTGTGTCCTTAGCCACGAAGTTCTGCGGGTGGATATGACGGACTTACCAGATAGTCGAGTGCAGAAAAACTGCGAGAACAGTTTTCTCGTCTCCCTTTCGCTGAGTTTCTTCTTTGCACTAATGTAGTCGAACAGCTCGCCTTCGATGGCAAGTTCTAGCACTAAGCTCACAGTCCGTTCTGAGTACTCGGCAAAGACATCAACCAGGTACAGGATGTTGGGATGCTGATGTTCTCGCATGCTGGTGATCTCATTCAACAACATGTCATAATTCATCCCTCTGCGAGCATCGCAGATCTTGACCGCGTAACTGACACCAGTCACCTTATTGACACAAAGCTGCACTGTACCGAAGCTGCCACGGCCCAAATACTTGACAGTCCGGTATCGCTTGGAAAATCCCACGTTGTATTTTAGATTCTCCATCATGTCTGAAAATTGATCATCCTGGAGCTCATTCTGTCTATCAGAAGTTTCTCGAATCCCCGACAATCCTCGCATTATCTGCGAACTCTGCCGTTCCAGTGGTTTGTTGGCAATTTTGTCGTAATCTATAGTAAGACGCCGGACCAGCCGTTGCAAGCCCCGACGGGATGCCGCGATTGACGCACGGCGGCCTGCCGGCCCGTGAGGAAGGATTGCACCACTATCCGCGAGAAAGGTTGCAATGGATTCCATGCTACTGCGTGCGGCAATGCTGAGCGCCGAGTCCCCCCAAGCCGTTTCCGCGTTCAAGTTCGCGCCGGCTTCTACGAGCATCCGGACAACCTCGAGGCTTCCGCTGGAAACGCTGGACATGAGCGCGGTCCAATCGCTCGATGTTTTGGTATTCACGTCTGCTCCGGCGGCCAGGAGAACGCGGACAACGGCGTCTTTTCCATTTCGCGCGGCGCGTTGCAACGCGGTTTCGTCCATGTAGTCTCGCGCCTCCACCACAGCCCCTAGTTCGAGGAGGACGCGGACATTTACCGCGTGTCCAAAGGCTGCTGCACGGATGAGCGCGGTCTCTCCATCTCGTCCTTTACCCTCGATATCGTGGCCGTCCTGGACCATCTGGCGCAGGACGTCGGGTAGACTGAACGCAGCGGTTAGAACGAGGATCGGCACGAGTCGTGGGAATTCCTGGCTCCAGTTGCTGTAACGAGCACTACCAAGACTCCATACTTGGCTTGTTATTTCGACTGCGGTTGGATTTGAGACCAGTCGATGGAATTCTTTCGAGGGAAAGTTAGCGGCAAGGTGCTCGCCTTCCGAGCCCCAGTGCTTTGCAGCGTAGTCAAGAAACGGGTACTTCTCGAGACGCTCAGCCATCGCCGTGTCGTCGGGGCAGATGCCATCGGAGAAATTGGAGAGAGTCAGGTATGCTAAACTGACGAGAGTGAGATTCCGTCGCGCGTCTGTGAGTTTATGGCCATGAATTCGCTCAAAATATTGCAGCACAGTGTAGTGTATGGGCCGGATAGTCCGCGATTCTGCATCGATGAGAATTAGGCCGCTACACACGCTGGTGAGGATTTCGATATCTGGCAGATCGTCGTCTTCCAGGGCCATTAATTGGGGTAGCTGGTGCGTGGCGTACATGTGTTGCATCTCCACGACGGTCAGGGCTCGTCGTGCACACACGATCCAGAATAAGATAGTTTCTGCCAGATCAACGGCGTCCGGGTCTTGACTGTAGATTCTTTGGAGAGCTTCTGAGTATGTGTCGTCTAATGTGCTAGGAAGGCTCTTCAGAGACGATCGCACTCCTTTGCGGTTGATCTTGGTCGACAGGGACTCGATATGTAGCTTTGCAAGGAGAAACCTGTACTCTGGTTAATATGACTTTCAAGTTTGTTCGACCTTTGAATGCGAAGGTTGGACTCTCACATTCCCTGCGATTCTTCAATGATGGCGTTGATGATCTCATCTTGCAGGCTTGGATCCGCACGAACATGCCGGGATAGTCTATACCCTTTCTCTATCTGCGATTCTAAGAATATTCTAATGTCTTGGCTCTGAGCAGAAAGTTCAAGCGTCTCAGAAGTAGCGAAGTAGCCTTCGAATATAGTTGAGAATCGTGAGGTACACAGAACTTTAATCTGAGGACCTATAGAGCTCAGAGCCTTGACAAACTGAAGAGCATCTTCCTCCGACTCTGCGCATTCATCCAGCGCATCGACAACGACATGGAAGGTCCTGAAAGTCAAAGCCAGATTACGAAGGATATCGGCCACTTGGGTCAATGTGGGACGTGTACCGTACTTCTTGTGTAGGTTGTAAAGTGAGAGCACATCCGGCGGCAACGTTTCCTTGGTAGATCGCTGGAGGACCTGTTGAAGTAGGCTAGATAAAAGAGCAGCGGCTGTCTGTTCTTTGCGCTGGCTATAGTCGCAGTAGATGTACGTATAGATACTATCTGGGGAGCTTCCCTGTTGCTCAAGATGGTCTATAATAAGAGATCTAGAAGAGTAAGTAGTGATAAAAAGCCAATTCTATCCAGTAAGAAATGCTCACACGAGTCTTGTCTTTCCCGCTCCGGCTGCAAAGAAAAAAATTAGTGGATACAAAGCATCCTGGCTGTATTGAGAAGAACCCACGTATCCCTGGACACCAAAGCATCTCTATATCTCCCTTCACCCAGCTACGAAAGGTCGCATGTTCGAGAAGCCAAGTACCCGTCCCTGGTTGGACACTCTCCAGCACATCTATATGCTTCGCAGAGAATGACAAGGACCCGACCCAGAGAAGAATTCTCTGCATTTCCTCCTCGCGCGATCCTGGGTGTCAGATGGGGTTGTTAGTCACTTGAACCCATTCTCAGGTCGCTTGTAAATTTACCCGCAAGGATATGAAACTCCGCAGTGATCGGGGCATTGTTAGTCCCCACCTGGAGGCCGGAATTTGCGCCACCAAATACTATTGATTCCATACAGCAATGCCCAATATTTGGATTTCAAGAGGGTGAAGTCTGCGAGACAGCTAAATGAGGGGCATCTGTTCAGCCTCATCATCAGGTGACCAATGGGGCTAGCTGGCGTCTCCTACTCTCCGCTTTGAGTCAGTCAAATTTTGTTTTTCTACGCCGATTCAATCACTCCGAACGGAAATAGCTGATAAATTCATTGTCTTGTGATCTGTTTTAGTTCTACTTCCGTCCTCCGTGGCTGGTTAGTCTGAAGATCCGATCAAACCACCCGGAAGCCGAGCAGCCATATAGTCTATAACCGAACAGGCGAAATCTCCCCGCGGCTAGAGACAGGAACGGCGAACCGGTGGGTTCGATTTGATCAGATCTGAGATGATCTGCTGTACCGGCGTAAGTACGGCCACTGCGGGTGGTTATTTTAGTGCTCTCGCTCTACTCCGTCTGATGGCAACATGGGTCAGTCCCCATTCGAGGCGAATGCCTGCAAAGGGAAGGGAATATTTCCCCTGAATTAGACCAATTGGGCTTAGTTCACCATACTAGTACCATCGGACTAACTCAGGCGTAGTCTCGGCCCTTGCTCGGCTATATGTTAAGTACGAACTTCCAAGACTCCGTGTGCCCGAGTGGTAATAGCCGATACACTCCGAGACGTAGACTGAGGGGGGGACCCGTCGGGCCGGCGGAGACGAGACGGATGCGGTGGGTATGATCTGGTTTGGGGCTTCTGCATGATTGACAGGTCTAGATTGAGAGATCTGGGGTTGATGGGCCATACATGTAGCCTACTGGTGACACTGGCGATTGAGATACAGATTCTGGGGTAATTGAGGCGCATCTCGGAGATATTTGGCGAATTGAGGGTGATTTAGGGAGGGCTTGTGTAATAATTTGACAGAATGGGAGTGTTGCGAGAAAATGCCGAGGGTGTCCGAGGGATTGCCGAGATGATGTCAGGATTAGTCGCCGGATGAGGATGTGAGATCATGACACTGAGTCAGGGAATAGGGGTAGGGTATTATGGACGAGAGTACAGGGGCAGAATTGATCATAATTTAATAAAATGCAGGGCATAGATGTTAGCATGTTCATAGAACTAGATTGATTTATAGATCTGTCGTACACTAATTAGTATACGAAGTAGGGCTAGCCGTAGATCATACAGCTTCCTTTCTCCCGGAACCGACTAGCCGTTACTCTTCCATTTCCAGTCATACTTTCCATACTTTCAATTGTATTTCATTTTGTGGGGTTCATGTTGCCCCCAAGACTATTTTAATCCCAGTCTCCCCAACCTTTACTTCTCTTTTTCTCCTCCCCCATATTGTTCTAGACACTCTCCCCTCTTCCACTTTCACAATGGCTGCTTCGGCCCTTCTGAAGAGCCGTGTTCGACGGCCCTCTTATCTCAACAAGCTCGCCAAAGCTGAGGATCTGATTCATCTGTTCCCCCATGGCTCGTATATCGGCTGGTCCGGCTTCACTGGTGTGGGATACCCCAAGTACGTTCGTCCCAATATCGTCCCTAATCTTAGGTGACACAGCGTGGCAATTGGCACAGTAATCGCTAACCAATGAATTCGAAATATTCAGAATGGTCCCAACAGCTCTGGCTGACCACGTTGAGAAGAACAATTTACAAGGTCAACTAAAATATAACCTTTTTGTGGGCGCCTCCTCAGGCGCAGAGACGGAGAACCGCTGGGCTCGCCTCAACATGATCGAGCGGCGAAGCCCGCACCAAGTCGGAAAGGAAATCGCGAAGGGCATCAACAATGGCCAGATTAAGTTCTTCGACAAGCATCTGAGCATGTTTCCCTCGGATTTGGTCTATGTAAGTACCGTCCTGAGCGCGGCTCGGAATTTCCCGCCGCGGAGAGCGATCGTCCAAGATCGACGCTAATCATTTCCACTCCACCCTTCAGGGCTACTATACCCTCGACAAGCCAAAGAATAAAATCGACGTTGCTGTCATCGAGGCCTCTGCCATCACAGAGGGTGGCGGGATCATCCCCGGTGCCTCGGTGGGCGCATCGCCGGAATTGGTGCAGATGGCCGACAAGGTCATCATCGAAGTGAACACGTCCAGCCCTTCCTTCGAGGGCCTGCACGATATCGTTGGCTCGGATCTACCCCCCGGACGCAAGCCGTACCTCATTATGGCCCCCGAAGACCGTATCGGCACGTCATATATCCCCGTCGACCCGGAGAAGGTCGTCGCGATCGTCGAATCCAACTACCCGGACCAGACCCAGCCAAACGCACCAGAAGACGAAGGCTCGCAAGCCATCGCAGCCAATCTAATCGAATTCCTCAAACACGAAGTCCACCACGGCCGCCTCCCACCCAACCTCCTCCCCATCCAATCCGGCATCGGCAACATCGCCAACGCCGTCGTCGGCGGCCTCAGCAAAGGCGGCGCAAACTTCAGCAACTTGAAAGTCTGGACCGAAGTCCTACAGGACTCCTTCCTCGACCTCTTCGACAGCGGCAACCTGGACTTCGCAACCGCAACCTCAATCCGCTTCTCACCAGAGGGTTTCAAGCGCTTCTACGACAACTGGGAAAAATACGCCGGCAAGCTTCTCCTCCGCTCGCAACAGGTCTCCAACTCCCCCGAAATCATCCGCCGCCTGGGCGTCATCGGCATGAACACCCCCGTCGAAGTCGATATCTACGCCCACGCAAACAGCACCTGCGTCATGGGTTCACGAATGCTGAACGGCCTCGGCGGGTCAGCGGATTTCCTGCGCAACTCGAAGTATAGTATCATGCACACGCCTTCTACGCGACCCAGCAAGACTGATCCGACCGGTGTGAGCTGTATCGTGCCGTTCGCTACGCACGTTGATCAGACGGAGCATGATCTTGATGTCATTGTTACGGAGCAGGGTCTTGCAGATGTTCGGGGTCTCTCGCCGCGGGAGCGTGCGCGGGTTATCATTAAGAAGTGCTCGCATCCTGATTACTATCCTATTCTTACGGATTATCTTGATCGGGCTGAGTTTGAGTGCTTGCGGAAGGGCATGGGCCATGAGCCGCATTTGCTCTTCGAGGCGTTTAAGATGCATAAGAATTTGCAGGAGAAGGGCACTATGAAGATTGATTCTTGGGAGTAAATTGGTGCTACTAGTACTGGTTGAGATTATTGCCAGTGGGTATTGGGTTGGGAGGACTGTATATAATCATAGCGGCAAGTTTTATTTAAAAATATCTTCAAATTGACATATTTATCTTACTTATTTTGCTCAAGCTCTCTTGTCGTGATTGGTCTCGCTTGAGTACAGTCGAATATGTGCTAAGTGGAAGTCGAAATTAAGTAATTGACTAATAATTCAAGATTTAGCGTGGTCAAGTGAGAGGCTATATAGTAATGCCTTACCAGGTGCTCATGATTGGCGCATGAAGATCGAAAAGTGTCAACTAAAAGATGTGGGTCTATCTGAGCTACAGAGCAGGAGCTGCAAAGACACGAAAAAGGGGGCATTTTTACTTGTTTTTTTTCTTTTTCCTAATCAAGATAGTGTTTCATTTATAACATTTCATGTATGTATATTCGATTTGAATGTCAAATAAGAAAATAAATTCCAATCCCAAACTCCCAAGCTGATATCGACAGAATCAAGAAAACAAAAACATCGAAAATAAAGCCATATCTTTGACAATAGCCACCACATAACACCAAGTGCCCAGGTGGCTCATTCAGAACAGTATATTACTCCCAAACAAAACAGTCATAATCGTCCCAATATTCAGCGTCGAAGAAAGGTATTTGTGTTTTATTCCGAGGGCGGATGGTATGTTCCTCCAGTGAATCTGCTGAAAAAGGAAGCAAGAAGACCGGGAGAATCTTCAGACTTGCGTCGGGCCCAGCCGGAGTCAACATTGTAGTGCTTGGTATCTTGAAGTCCGGCGAAGAGGCCGCGACCGGCAGTGGATCGCTGTTATGTTTTGTTAGTAAATTCTTTTCTTAGAACTTCACTGTTCTTTAGTTGTTGAAGGGCAATCAAATACGTACGCGACGTTCTTTGTCCGGATTGCGAACCCAGTAGTCTGCGCCAAAGTCATTTTGTAGACGGGCTGCTTCGGTGGTTTTTGGGGAAGGCATTGTTGCTCTTGTTGTGGTTTGATAGATTGAGGAATCAATGGTTTATTGAATGCCGTGGTGGTGAGTGTATTAGTTTCAGTAGGATCTGATTTGATTTGAATGTCTTGGGGATGAATGATGTATAGAATATCTCGAAGACAAGTCTCTTTTATATTCTTCAATCTATAGATGAAAAACACAGCCACTCTTTGGCCGATGGCACGATGCCGGCGGCCGACCCCGAACCATATTCAAGTTCATGGTACCAGTTCATCGGTCCCGACTCGGGCCTCAGCCTCAGCTCTACCTATCGTACGGTAGGTTGTTTGGTACCCTGCAAGGGAGAAATCGGTTGGATGAACCAGTCATGCTCCTTACTATTTTCACCGGTTTCACGATCTACGACCCGCGCGATTGGGCCTCGTCTGACTCTGGGGCCGAAATTCACCGGTTTGTTCAATTCTGGTTGGTCATTGGGTGCGAGTCGTGACGTCGATCACCGAAGTGTGGTACGGCCGACACCATGCGGATGGAAAATTTCCGGGGTTGGATTTCGGAATTACCGAGTGGCTGAGCTGTCACTTCTGTGAAATGCATTGGGTACTTTTTCGTGGCATCTAGGGGCTTCTGGGGTGTTGTTTGAGGGTCAGGCGGTGGAGGATTCGGGTGGCATGATGGTGGCGTTGGCGATGGTACGGTGTGTGGTGTGGTGTGGTATAGTTTGATTCAGATAATGGAAGGCTTCGGAATTCAATTTATTACCGATAATTTATTAGATTCTAGCGAAAATTAATTGGCTGAAAGTTTTTTGAGGTTCTTTGCAAATTAAAACTTCTCATGTTACACAGGTGTTGGACCTGTAGAACGGCGATGTAGGAACAGCGATAATGTCTCTCATTGGCTCCGAAAGAAAGGAAACAAGTCATGAAGGCAGCATGTGATTTTGTACCATCTAAGTAGGGATAACCTCAAAATTGTGACATAGATATAACAGGCAAAGAATGTCCTATTAAAAATAGTCACCGGAGGATGCGCTCCATACATTCAAGTGCCTTAACCGAGAGCAATGGAATCATATCACTATCTTAAATCTAGGAATGCATATTAAACAAAAGGCAATACAACATGTGAAGGATAATCCCCTCCGAAATGAACAATATGTTTCCCATGCGATGCAGTGTCCGAAAATTCATTGTCATCCTTGAACTCTCCACGAAGCAATGGACTGTTGCCATGGATCTCGACCTGGATACTCTCGCCAGCCTCGTACTCTACCCCCATCGCCCATATCCCGATATCCAATCGAACAATCTCCCCTGGGACAATATACTCGTCGCGGTCGTGGGGATGGAAGGGATAATTTTCGTGAATTGACTTCGCCTCATCGATTGCCCGACGCGACGCTCGCAAGATTCCCAGCGATCCAACATGGAACATGAGATTATTCATGTTACGCCGAGGTACCTTGTCGAGTGTATCTGGGGTGACCCCATGCTGGGCAATACTTGACCAGGGGATGTTGAGGTTTAGCAGGGCCTTCCCTTGCGCGTCTAGCTTGCGGAGCAACACGTAGACATCCATATCGTGGAAGTCCGGGCAAGACATGAACAGGACAGCCTTTGGAATACCTGCCAGTCGTGTCTTTGTGGAGAACTTGTAGGTGAATGCGGCACAGTCTTGGTATTTTTCTGCTTGGTAGGAAATCGATGTGGTGGACGAGGGACTTTCGAAGCCCAGACGACCGTCGTCGAGGAAGTACATTTTCTTGTAATCAGTGCGCGGAATCGGGTAGTCGGCCTCGGCGATATTGTACAAGGGATCCTGATTGAACCGAAGGATCGTGGTGCGAACTTTGGGTGTGGCCTCCCATCCATTTTGCTTGCTGTTTAAGTAGCGATCAAAAAATCTTGCAAGTTCATCGGCTGAGTCTTTGCAGTTCCAGATATCATACCATTCCTGCCACGGGCACAGACGAAGCCATTTCTCAGAGGTTGCAACCTGGCGCCATCCCCGTATAGATCCCATAGTGTGCACAAAGCTGGTATATGATGCTGTGATGTATGCTGGAATTTGAATTTTTGAGATGTCTGCGCGCTTATCCTTCCAATAGAGCGAATCGGCTCGAGGAAATCTGCGATACATCTCGTGAAAGTCCTCCACGCCCCCGTGACCCTGAATATTGTGGTCGATGATGAAGTCAAATAAGCCGGCGTCGAATATGCCGCCTCGGACGAATTGCTCTCTGTAAAGGTCGCCACAGGCCTCCCATGGAGCAATAGCTTTAAGGGATGGTGGTTGCAATGCAGCAATGAACCACTGGACGATAGCCAAGTGCGAGTTACCAGCTAAGCCAACATTCCCATTACACCAGGGCATCTTGGCAATTTCCTCGATCACATCGTATCCATCCTCAGCCTCCTGTGTCCCCATGATTCCAACATTTCCTTCCGAATCTCCGGCACCCCGAGCGTCGACATTCACTATAGCGAATCCACGAGGAACAAATTCGGCAGGATCCGGCCCTTCAAACTTCTCTAGGCCGCTCAAAACTCCATCCGGGATTCCAAGATTCCATGGAAGATTCTTCAGCATGGTAATACCATTGTACTTCTTTCCGAATGGACTCCAGGCTAGGATTGCAGCCACGGGCTCTGTTGAATTGGCCGGTCGGTAGACATCACAGTATAATTTGGAACCATCACGGACTTTGATTTCGACGTCGTGCGAGGCATGAATATCACAAGGTAGTGGACGCGATCCGTTTTGGCTCCATCCTTTGGGCAAGACTTCTTCTCGAAACCCAAATGGTTGATAGTTGTTTCTGCCGACCGATGGCAGATCAATAGAACGCGTTGCGACGGGCACAGACAAGGGCATCGTGGGTATGGAGGGGTCTTGCGAAAGGGCGAACGGGAATGAGAAGAGTGATACTTCCAGAACGCTCGGCCATTTGGTATTCTTTTTGAATTCATATTGCTTTTGACATTCCGTCGGAAAGTGGAGGTAGACTAGAAGCATTTCTTGAAAATGTGGGGAAGCCTACTAAATTCGCGCGGCCGAGCTCGGGCGAGTACGGGCGGGTTCGGGTGAGCCCCAACTTTGTATAGTGGATTGAGGATCCTCGTCCTTTCTACATCTCGGAATATGGAGGGGGGGGGCTAGGACTAGAGACCTCGGATGCCCCTGATCCGACTGAAAGAGCACTCTCCATGATATGATTTAAAACCTCCCTCCAGGCCTGCTTTTATCAAGAAATTTATTTTGCTCAATCGCTGAGACATACCTAGTTTGGTCAGCAATATTACTTAAAAGAGATCAAAATGGCCCCTTCACTCATTGAAACTGCTGCTACCGTTACACCTGTTCCATCAAAGTTACAAGAGCGGTCTCTGACTGGTGACTGGCGTGATGACTTCTTTCGAGATGGCTACACTGTCATCAAAAATGCCCTATCCAAAGAGCGTGCACAGCAATACCAAAGTGACGCCTTGACTTGGCTAGAATCATTTGGGCTGGGCTTCGACCGTAACGACAAAAGCACCTGGAAGAAGGAAAATCTTCCTCAAAATTGGAAGGGAGGGATGTATCTTCATTTCTCTGCAGCTCATGAGAAATACATGTGGGACATCAGATGGCAAGTTCAGAATTCATAATCCCTTACAATAACTTAAGACAAGAGTACTAATAATTTCTTTTATAAATTTTAGTGAGCCCGGTGTGATCGAACCGTTTACTCAACTCTGGGAAACCGACGAACTGGTGGTCTCATTCGATACTGTGAACATCACCCTACCCCAGTCCATTGTCGGTGAATATGACTCGGCCCCATGGCCACACGTTGATCAAGCCCCTGAGCGCAGAGGCCTCCGCTGTGTTCAAGGAATCGTCAACCTCTCTGAAGCAGGTCCCAAAGACGGTGGCCTAGTGGTGATGAAGAAATCATCTTCTCTCTTCAATCAATTTTTCGACGAAAATCCAGTTCAAGGCCCTACTCCCTGGCGAACGGCCAAGCATGAGGACTTCCATCCCTTTCAAGATAAAGATCTTGACTGGTACCGCTCCCACGGATGTGAGCTGATCAAAGTCTGTGCCGAGCCGGGAGACTTGATCCTCTGGGATTCGAGGCAGATGCACTGGGCTCAATTCGGCGAGTCGGATCTTATTCGCACAATTGCATATGTGACCTACACGCCGGCCAAGTGGATGTCGGAGGAGGATCGCGTGGTGAAGAAGGATCTGTTCGAACATTACGAGACTACTACGCACTGGCCGCATACGAATCTTTTTTCCCATGGGAAGGCTACGGTCAAGGTTGCTGGAGAGGAAATTGTCGATCCTTTAGAGAGGGATGAGCCGATCACTAAGCCTATCAAGACTGAGAAACTGCTCAAGTTGGCTGGGGCATTGCCTTACTAGTCTGGGAATGATTAATAAAGAGCTACCTGGTTGTTAGATGGAACACTCATTTTCGGGTATTCAAGTTATACCATACCCTATAACGGCAACCCGCTCAACATTAATTATCGATCCGAGCATATATTCAAGTTTTGGGAGCTCTTATGTACATGTCCTAGTTTTAAATATCCACTCGCTTTTTCAAATCTTAAGTTCCCTGGTACCTACCTAGCCGTGAAACTGAAACTAAAATATAGCTAATTAATTCAATCAGCCTTGAAAGTGACGGTTCCAGCCATCAGAATATGTGCGGCAATTTACAAGGCCAACTGTCCCGGCAGCCGCCTGTACCTGTGATCTCCTTACAATCGACACTGATATTCACTATTAGTATACTAAGCAGCCTTCAACGGTCCTCTTTGATAACTTAAAGATAGAGGCTAATAGTACTTCTCATCGCACTATAAAGTAACTTAACTGACATTGGGGACTGTAGAAGCTACTAGTTCTTTTTTTTAGAAGTTAAAAATCACATCATTTTAGATGCGGTGTCTCAGTGCCTCGGGCATCCAGGATTGCCCCCACTTGAATTTCTCTAGTCATTCTCATCCATCTACCACCTTCAAGTTTCAGAGCTTCTGCCAACCTTGACAGATAATTTTATCAAACGAGCTTCAAGTGACCCGGGTCATTCTCCACTTGTCTTGCCGGGTGGACTGGAGATACGCTACGCGACGCCACCGCAAAGCTTGCTCGGCCCAGCTCGGGCGAGATGGACCGTGGCTGCCACCAATCGACCCGACACGGGGAAGCGAGATTTGACGACTAGAATGGCTCTCTTTCATCGGTTCGGAAACACCACTCTATTCAATGTATTAACAATCGGCTCCACCTCAGGTTGCGGGGCCCCACGATCAGACCGGATCGCCATGATTGCTGTATAAAGCAGGGCTCGCCTGAGCGGGAAAGAAGAGAGTGTGTCACAAACTATCAGAAAATCAGTCATGGATGCTAAAGTCGGGAGCACTGAGGTAGCTCACCTTGAGTCTGCACTATCCAAGCCAGTGCATCACAACCCCACAGGAACAGTCACCTTGCTTGAGGGGGACGAAGTAATCCTGATCCCCACCCCTTCTCCTGATCCATGTGGTAAGCGAAGTTTCACTTGATCTTGGCTGTTATGTTTTCATGTGCTGACCTTTTAGATCCATTGAACCTCCCCAATGCTCAGAAATGGGCCATTGATATTATTCTGGGGATGTGTGAGTTTCTTCTCGCCCGGGCCCGCGAAAGGATGTCGTCTAACCGAGGATAAATTTACAGTTGCTGTCTTCAGCGTCCTCGTCACCTCCGGCATGGGTCCAATTCTCACCACTGTCATGGCATACTACGACTATGACCCTCGAGTGTCAGACCTGATGACTTATCCGACTTTGTTCATGGGGATTGGGAACCTCATCGCGATGCCACTTGCGATGGCCGTGGGTCGTCGTCCTGTCTTCTTGGCTTCTGCTCTGATCCTCACCCTGGGGTCAATTTGGTGCGCTGCGAGTCAGAGTTTGGGGTCCCATATTGCCGGTCGGAATATTCTTTCTCTGGCGGCCGGGCAGTCCGAGGCTTTATGTCCATTGATTATTCAGGTAAGATGGTGGTCGCTCCAAATTACTAATTAGAGAGGCTAATGACGAAACTTCTAAAGGAAGTTCATTTTGTTCACGAACGTAGCAGCAAGTTAGCCTGGTTTAGCGCTACGCAATCCATTGGCACTGCCGCCTTGACCATCGCCACAGCTTACATCGTCAACGCCCTCGGTTGGCGATGGTGGTACGGAGTCATCGCAATCGCAAGCGGCACCGTCTTCGTCCTATCCTTCTGTGCGGTCCCCGAGTCAGCCTACCCCCGACCCAGCGATTCGTACGATGGCCTTGTCCACATATACCACGAAGGTGAACCCATCTCTGTTGTCCGCGCCACCGAAAAAACAAGAGTTCCAATCGACTACACACGATACAAAGCTCGCACGCTATCTCATAGCCTCAAAATATTCCACGGACCCGCGGACTGGTCAAAAGCCATCACCTGCGGGAAGCAAATGGCGCAGTGTGTCCTCTTTCCTAATATACTCTGGGTGATTCTTTTGAATAGCGTTGCCCTTGGTATCTATGTGATCGGCGTCACCGAATTTGGCACCATCCTCTCCAGTCCGCCATACAATTACCCATCTTCGGCTCTGGGCCTCGTCCAAGGTGGCCAAATCGTCGTCTCTTTCTTATTGGTTCCAGTTCTTGGATACGGCGGCGACATGCTCACGAAATGGATCGCAAAACACCGCAATGGTGTAGCCGAAGCTGAAATTCGTCTCATTCCAATCGTTCTCCCCGTTGCAGCTCTCATCATCTCATCCGTGATCTTCGGCCATGCGGGTTCGAACCCATACGAGTGGTCTCCTTGGGCGATCAATATAACCTTCAGCGGGATCTATTTTGCGTTTATTGGTATTGTGTTAGTCGGGTATACATACTCGCTTGATAGCTACCCGGAGCGAGCAGCACCAATTCTGGTCCTTATTTGCGCCATCAGAGGCCTCATTTCATTTGGAATTTCGTTCGGGATTACAAAGTTTGTGACAGAGCAAGGGTACCAGGGGGCGCTCAATATTTGCGCAATCATTACTGGAGCCGTTGCAGTTTTGGGCGTGCCGGTCTTTTTGTGGGGGCCCAGAATGAGGGCAATCACCATGAAATATGCAGTTGATCATAAAACTGCCGAGGGATGAGATGGTTTGAATCATCACTATCATACCGTGAAGTGCCCAGGTAATTACTCATTATGGCAAGAAATAGCAGATATACCTAGTACTAGTAGTACTTCGAAGATAAATTATTCATGGATCTACATACTACTAGTAGTAGTTAGTAGCATGCTATCCTCATGTTATTTCCAGAGATCACCCATCAAGGCCATATTTATTAGCTCCGCTGAGGGAAAAACCTGCCCGAAATAAGGTACCGTCTCTTCCTGTCCCATCGTCTCAGACAGTCCCCAAGCATCGAACTCCCCACCCTGCATCTGTGGCATACTATCCAAGCCTAACCCTGACTGGGTTGCATGCAGCCCCGATGCCGGAGATGACGAAGAGGACTCGGAAGAGCCAAAACTGCACGTCGGAGCATCTTGAAATATAAACCGCATGATTGCATCCGTATTTGTGAGAGAGTTCCACAACCGGGGGAACGCAACGAGTTTGACGATTCTCGCTAGCACGCTGCGGTCAACTTTGCTCATGTACGCCGGGCGCACAGTCTCGTATAGATGTGTAAGACGTCTGAGAACAAGTATCGCGTCGTGTCGTGTTTCTGCGATGGAGTGCTCTATCAATTGTAGGCTCAATGCGACCATATCCTTCTGCTCAGATAATTCAACTGGCGATCGCTGTCGTTGGAAGCAAATGAGATCGAGAGCTAGGAATATGCCCGCCGAGACAACTGCGGAATTGACGGACCAGAATTTGTGGAAGACTGGGTTTGAATTGGTGTATGTACGTTGAAGGATTTCTTTCGCAGTTGCGATGCCCGGGTCGAGGTCTGTGTGAGACGTTGGTGAGGAGTCGTCAAGAACTTTAGGAAGCATGGCGACATAAAGGGCTAGTCGCCAGGATTCGACGCAGTTGAGAGCTAGATTATTTTGGATGGTATTCCAAGGCGGTTCGTCATAGTTGGAGTTGTTTGCAGGCGATGGAAAACAGGCACAGACTTTGTCTAGCTCCTCGAAGCACGATTGCAGTGCTTCTGGACTCAATTCTTTGATCGGGGTGACGTTATTACGGAACATGGTGGCGACACGGGCCATGAATTTGTGGTATTCAATATTTGGAGAGGGGGTAGTTCCCATGACGGTGGTGAATGAATCGGGGTGGATGGAGGCTGGACGTGACCCGATTGTCATCCTATCGACAAATTAGATACATCTTCAAGACCGCAAGTGCACTCTTGACACAAACCAATCGCAAATGACAAGGGTCCACCATAATCTTTGATGGACGATTCGTTGAACCCTGTTGTAATCTCCCTGTTCCGTCTTTGATGTATCGTCACCAGCATGGTCCAGACCGATAATCCGAGCAACATTAACTGCCATACCATGAAGGATGTATTCTCGATTTGACTCTCCCATGTTCTTATGGATTAAATTCAGGATTGCCACTGTCTGCACTGTCGATAGTGTAGGGTTTCGAGTGTAATCAGCCAAATCCAGTTCCCTCAATGCAGCTTCGTACCAGGTGCGAGCCAATCCGCAAGAATTTTTGCCCAGCGATGATAAAGTAGAAGGCGGCTCATTGAAGAAGCTTTCGTACAGTAACTGGATCCCATGCAAGTCTTCTTCACTCATGAAATATACCCCAACCTATGGCCTATCAGTTTGTAAATCTTGATCCAGTGATATGGGGAAAACTTACAGCCAGTAAGCTCAGATACACTGAAATCCATCCATGATTCGTTAAACATTCCTTCTCATTTTCGATCAAACTATCCCAGAAAATATCATGCTCTTCTCTCAATGTAGTATCATCCACGGCATGATGCACCCAGCCCAGCTGCACTAAGGAAAAATCAATAATCATTTCACTCCATCGCCGAGTGGGTAGAATTAGTTTCACACTATTCTCCCAGGAGCGAGTGTTATTGGCAAATTTGGGGGCAGGCTCCGCGGAAAGACCAAACGCCTGGGTGAGAAAGTCACCCATGATTCTATCCGACGATTGCGGATCCGGAGGAGGCACAGGAGAAGACGCTGTCTCGACCTTAGCCAATTCTGGACGGGAGAGTGCCAGTTCGAGTTGTCTGATGCGGAGTTTTAAACTCTGATTCTCTCGTACGACATTTGAGGTCTCTGGGCTGCTTGCAATTGCATCCTGCCCTTCTGGACCTGCATCAAGGGCACTGGCCATGTTCAGCATTCGTTCGGACCATGAACGGAGCTTGAAGAGTATTGTGATAGGTACCCACATTGTGATTTTCCCTCCGACTTTTACAACTTCTCGCATACAAACAGCTGTATCTCCTCGTTGGATGCATTGTCCGCAGGGGATTGTCTTGGAACACTTCACCTTCCTGCGCGAGCACGGAATGCAGGATTTAGGGATGCGTTGGGTCTCTCGGACCTGCTGCGGCATGCTGTCTCGATAATTACTTCCAGCAACGGCAATAGAAGTATCACTGTGCTGGAATTTTTGATAAAGTGTGAGTTTCCCCAGACTGGAATCTCGGGCGGGCTCGGGCGAGTTGTTAGCCAGCTGACATTGTATGGAGAAGAGTAAATAGCGGGGTGGCTAACCCCGCGGCAGTAGGAAATGGTTTTACTGCCGAGTGGAGCACCACCACCTACTCTAAGAGGCATTGAGCAATGTGAAACCGAATTTCTACTGGCACGAGTTGTGAAAAAAAATGTTAGCCATTATTTGAAAGTTGACTTTGACCTGCCGGCCACCAAAAAACTGCTTGGAATGAACATTGAGTAGTATGATGTCATGGTCGCACTAATCATTATTAATATTGGTACTGTAGTTATCATATGATCTCGGCCTATTTAAACTGTATATCGCATCGCTGGTTTTTGCTTACGCATGAGGTATCCTCCACCAGACGGAAAATGGTCGAACGACACGATGCCAGGATCATCAGATCATCATGGGGAATCCGCGCCGTCGAAGACCCGAGATCGGACCAGAATAAAGGAAGTTTTCACCCCAAGTTTGATCTGTCTCTAATGATTAGCAGTCACTGGTGTGATATTTGGACAAGCTTTCCTGTCCTTTCGGTATGACAAGCTTGAATATACCCTATCGCCCTAAATTACGAAGTTGCTGATGAATACAAAGGGTGCTTTCTGCTCTATGGCTATTATGTTCAACATCTGCGCTCTAGTAAATGGATGGCATCAGAGCGTTTCAGTGGACGGGTCAATATTAGATTTACGCACACCTAGCTGGCAAGGGCATTTCCCTCCTAGCCCCAATCCTATATCGAGATTAACACATTTTCAGGGCCACTGGGCTCAAAGCAACTTCATTGGCTATATCAACAGCGGCCTATATCGCATACCTACTCACAATGGCTCTCCACATTGATTCAATAATAGGATTCTTGGTGACAGTAATAGGATGGCTAGCTTCCGCAATTATTTTGTTCACCCTCATCGGCATTGAGGTCGGACGGCATCGGCAAGCCCAAGGCCACCAAGTCTTCGCATATACACAGAACTTTTTCGCCAGCATAATATCGGCCGGTCTCTATTTTCTGATAGCAATCCTACTCTCCATATACGTGGTCTGCGTGAAAGTGGCCCCTCTCGGTCAAGCGGACAGACGAAAGATCGAATGTACAACAATCGTGCTCCGGGCTAGTGTTTTGGCCATTCTGCTTCTCGGCGGAGCCGCCATATACAGCGCTATTGAAGGCTGGTCGTTGATGGACGCTCTCTACTTTACTGATTACACCCTCCTAACCATCGGTATTGGGAACATAACCCCAAAGACTCATCTTGGGCGCAGTCTGCTATTTCCCTACGCCACTTTAGGGATTATTAGCTTAGCCCTTTTTATTACCGCTGTGTCATCTTTTACCGATCAGATGAGAGAGTTAAAGCTCAAGTGGAGGTTGGAGAAAAGTCGAAATCGAATCTATACCGCACATTCATTGAACAACATTGTTGACGGTCCCCCAACAACTGAAAGAGACCAATCACAAATTGCTTCAGTCAGGCTCGTCAAGGGCGAAGAAATTCTCAAAACACGCAACGTCAAATCTGCATTCTATCGAAAAAGGAGATGGGCCGAGTTAGGACTTTTCTTAGCTGCATGGTTCCTCCTGTGGCTCGTCAGTGCGGCTATTTTTTGCCAATCCGAGAAAGAAGATAAGTGGACCTACTTCGTGGCTCTTTATTTCACCTACACATCTCTCACAACAATCGGATATGGTGACTATTTCCCCACGAGCAATTTCGGCAAGGTTTTCTTCATTTTATGGTCATTACTGGCCATCCCAATTCTAACAAATCTGGTCGAGGCCATAGGGAGTGTGTTTCACATATGGCTGGTTTTCTGCTCTGGCTGGATTTGGCGACATGTGCTTCGTCGAGGACTCGGGCACACAAGAGAGCATCATAACCATGAGCATATCTATCGTTCCTTAGATATATCGAGCTTCATAGGGACGAACGGATCCCCGAAGCCGGGGTCACGAGATTCTAACCTTAATATTGAGAGCCAGGCCCAGGGTTGTTCGGACACCAGGCATGACTCGCTATCTGCGCTGAAATATTATAAGCGAGGAGATCTAGGTGGGGACGAGCAACGCCGGATCATATCTCGGAGAGTTTCGACACAGTATCACCTGTTGCTCTCAGAAGAGATAGGGAACCTTATCGCTATGACAGGGGATGGTTGTCTTGAACACGAGGAACAGCTCTGTTGTACGTGGTCTAGAGTCATCCATCTGCTTCAGGCTAAGGGAGATGATGCTACACTGTCTGAGCTTACGCCTCTGTTCGCATCTGTGAAGTCCGAGCATATGACGATGGGGAACCTGGGGGACCCTAAGAATGAATTATCAAAGAAAAGCGCTGAGATCTCATTGATGCTGAACCTGTTAGTGGGGAAGCTTTCTTCTGAATTGCGGAAGGAGCTTTCTAAGACGATTGAATAAACATACCTTTGTGGCTCAAACTTGAATTGAATGTTCATAACCACCTGGGCAGCCCTGGAGGCTGACTAGGAGGATATGTGGATAGACAATTGAATCCATTGGTCGGGTCTGCGCGTCGCATAGCGAGCTACCTAGGCACGTTAGATTGATCAAATGTCTTGGGCAAAACTACAGGTGATTCCGAGACGGTCACATAACTCTATCTTGCACTCCAAAATCTCTCCCTTGTTGTGTCAAATGCCAAATGTTCAATAATTCAAGGTTTCGAACTATATAAAGCTTTTTTCTGCAGTGTCTAGTACATACGACCATAGGGTGTGGAGAACAGGGCTTCCCGTCCGCTCAGCCGTACTTAAGCCACACGCCGGCAGGTTAGTAGTATGGTGGGTGACCACATGCGAATCCCTGCTGTTGTATGTTTTGCTTTTTTTTACTTTTTGTTTATTGTCTGATTACAATGCAAAATGGGATCTTTCTGACTGCAAACAGGACGCACTATCATACGAAAGGAGGTCTCCATACCTTTTCGGCAGAACAGCCTAGGGATTTTAAGGTTTGTTTGTGCATGCGAGCCCCACTCTAGCAGCCCATGGCCGGGGAGAAGGACATCTCACCTTTTCGCACTCGATCCCGCCAAAACCTTGGAAACTAGTAAAATACACGGCTCTTCACTTTGATCATCCGTTCATCATAGATCAAGTTACTTGACTCGAGCTCTTAACACTGAAGAAATTCTTCCTTCATACGTTATTCAGTGCCTTTCAGGTGAATCTCACTGCTATGAAAATAATCATTGTCGGAGCCGGGATAGCGGGCCTATCCCTGGCCATTTCTCTCTCACAGGATAAGCACAGTGTTCTTATCGTGGAATCAGCGGCTCGACTAGCAGAATTAGGCGCCGGAATCCAGATGACTCCCCAGGCAGTCAAGCACTTTTACCAGTGGGGACTCAAAGAGGATATTCTCACACAATGCGTCAAAGTGGAGAAAACATTCATCCGTGATTACAAAAGTGGTTCAACGATTGGCGTTTTGAATGTTGCAGATCTGGAGAAGCAATATGGGGCTCCCTATATTGTCCTTCACCGCGCAACTCTACATGATATCTTGCACAAACACGCCATTCGCTCTGGAGCAGAAATCATGTTAGACAGCAAGGTCACCGAGTATGACTTCGAGAACGGGGCGATAGTGCTAAAGAATGGAAAAATTATGGAGGCAGATCTTGTCATTGCTGCGGATGGTGAATATTTTCCACATATGCCAATTCTATCAAATACTGATCAAGGCAGGTATCAATTCCTTTGCACGCTCCCAGCTTCTTCGGGAAGCTGACCCCGGATCCCAACCAACAGGCTGGGCCGCTTTCAGAATGATGGCCGAAGTCTCCAAAATAAAAGATGATCCCCAACTGACCGAACTTAGTATTGGTGTCCCATACAATTCTAACTTCTGGATCGCCCCGGACAGGTCTTGCATGACGTATCAGATTAAGGATGCCACGATGCTAAATATCGTTCTATCCCACCGCGATATCGTTGATACTTCAGCTCTCAGCTACGAAGAGCATAAGACCATGATCAAGAATCTTTTTGAAGATTTCAATCCAATGTAAGTTTCTCGCGAATATCGCATGGTAATTGTGTTAATCAAAGATCCCAGCGTCCAAAAACTTCTTGACATTTCGCTTCCCAGGATAGTGAACTACCCCGTTCATGCCGTTCCTCCGCTCTCAAGTTGGACTCATTCATCTGGTCGATTCACTCTTGTCGGTGACGCTGCACATGCTATGGCATTTTATTTGTCCATGGGAGTAAGTCTTGCAGTCGAAGATGCAGTCTCGCTCGCCAAAGTCCTGGATCTCGCATTCCCAACCTCCTGTGCTGCACCCAAGGCAAATCAATTGAAAGCTGCACTGTCCGTATTTGAAGAAGTGCGGAAGCGAAGAGCCACTGCTGTTCAGAAAGCAAGTCTTCGCGGAGGAAACTCTTATCACGTCCCCGCGGGAAAAGAACGAGACATATTGCATAAAGTTATGAGCAATCCCAATGAGATTGTCGAAGTATGTGCAGCAGGTCTAGGGGATGGCGCGGAAATCCATGATGAAATTTCCTGTGCCGTTGGTGGCATGATGAATCGGAGGACTAGAGATTGGTGCTACGGATACGATGCCGTTGGTGAAATAATCGCGGTTTGGAATTCTAAAGCCCGATGAATGTAGATAATGAACTTGAACTTGAATTGTGGGACTACTACCTAAATCAAACACAATCGATCACAAAATTCAAGAATACCTAGTATTCCAACTGAATATCGGGCGCATTTCGTAAATCCTCCCGCTTTGGATACACAGGGGCAGAATGTCCAGAGCACTGGCATGTCCCATTCAAGACATGGTAATGATGGCCACGGCATACGCGGGGAGCTGGATACTGCCGCTGACATCTTCAGTGCGCCAAAAATTACCTCCGGTGCTTACATCAACGATATTTGCCGCCGCTTGTTGAAAATCAGCAACTTGAATAGAGAGTTCTTGATCCAGCTTGTTCACTAATAGCAGCTTTTTAGTACCATCTGCCGCCTCCAATGCTTGAGCATGGAGTTGGGTCTCGTCGCTCGTAGTATGAACCAGTTTGTCACCAATCACGATACTGTTCTGAATCAATTGAAGTACGCGCAAACGAGCAGTAGGAAGGCCAGTCTGGTAATAAATCATAGATACTGAGGGGTATTGACCGGGATAACCGCTTAATTGGCTCTCTCCGACAGCATCGATACCAGCCACGGCGAGCTTGGAGAAGAGGTAAGCGTAGATACCTCCACTCCAGACCCAGTACTCATCCGGAATGGTATAGTTATCATAGATGACGGTAGAGCCCAAGGGGTCCATAGTGCCCAACTCATTGATGGTGGTGCGAGTAGACGGCGAGATAGCCTTCCGAGCAACCTCAATCTCGGCCACTTCCTCAAGGAACGTGTCTGCCATCTCGAAACTTTGTGCGGCTTCGTTTTGGGTACTGGAGTTGTCTGGAGTTGCATAGAAGTGGTAGCTGATCCAGTCCAAAGGCGTGTCAGGCTTGTGATTGGCAGGGTCGAGGAAGTCCTTGATGCGAGTCACATTGCGTGTAGCCAAAGCAAGACCAACGAATTCCGTCTTTGGTGAGACTTTATGGATTGCAGCGGTAACGGCGTCGTAGATCTGATTATAGAATTCCGGACTGATCGTATGCTCAGAGTCTGACTCGTTCAAAATCTCCCAGTACTCAATGTCAAGATGATGGCCGGATTTGTGATAGACGCCACACTCATCCGTGAAACCACCCTGGACATACCATGCCAAAAGTCGCGCATAATAATCGGATATCTCTTTAAGAGATGGGTCGCGCAGTCGAGTTCCGTTATTGTAATTCCAGTCGATTGTATTGACATCCTCCGGATATTCATATGGAGTGTCGGTCACCCACATCCAGTCAGGTGTAGTGCTGAAATTTATAATGTGCGAAACATTCGGAGTGTTGGCCAAGAAGTCCAGTAGAAGTTGGTCAGCATAAGTAAAATCCCAGTTGGTAGAGCAATGGGTCTCGTTCTGAACGGGCGGGTCGATCTCTGGCACTGAAAGGCGAGGATAGGGGAACCAGGGAACATAGCGAATATAGTCAGCCGCAACAGACTTGAGCGAGCTCAGGGCATTTTCCCGCGTGCTACTGTTAGACAGCAATGGTGGATTGGCCACCGACTGCAAAGTGGCTGTTGTTTTGGACTCGATCAACACATTGTTCCAATCGATATCCACTTTCAGTTCGGGCGCATCGCTGGCAGGGAGAGAAACACAAGCCGCCGCAAAAGCTGTGGCTCGTAGAATGCGTGAAACCATTATACCGTGAGTCGAAAAGGTTTACAGGAGCTCCAGGGCTTGCCAGAATGAAGAATCGAATACTCTTTCGTGCTCGATTTCATGGCGTGTATTTATAGTCATGAACTCTTGTGCATTCAGTGCATTCTTACAATTTCTTCGATCTGGTAAATATTAGAAAAAAAGGATTAATTATGCGAATGTAACTCAACTTTTCGTGGTCTCAGAAAAATAGCTCGAGCACTGGCGATCTTTTGTGCTCGAGCTTATAACTTACTTGTATTATCCAACAGTCGTCAAGTCACCGACGACTACACCGGACCCTGAATTTGGTGGCGTCCACCTTTGCAACGATCTTCACGTGGATTTCTTCAAGTAATCTGGTGGCGCTTTGCTTGTTCGATGATGGCGCTGGTCAACCCCGGCCGTGCCCAACCTGTTGCAGGCCTTCGTTTTGTCCGAGTGCGGGGCAACCCCACAAATCCCCGGGTCAGGCGTGCACTAAACCTCCGCTAAACCGCATTCGACAATGCAACTCTACCATAACTGGTGCGTCGGGTTGCTTTCCCCCGAGAAACCACTGCTCTCTCGGGGGAGGTGGGAGCGAGACGCAGTTGTGTTGTGCTTCCCTTGAAATATCGAGAGAAGATTCGCGGGGCCCCGGACGCCTCTTCAACGTTTGTTATACTTGCCTAACCGACTTGCTGTCCCCAAAAAAGACATCAAGATGGGCGTCATCCGTGGAAAATATCTGCATTGGGCTGTCACAGGTACTCTACTATCCAACTCTCCCTACCGACAGCAAGACCGAAACTAACTAAGATTGATACAGCCGCCAGCTGCCAGGCTTTCCTTCTCCTGGGATATGACCAGGGTGTGATGAGTGGACTCGTCGGAGCGGATAATGAGTTTGGAAAGCAATTCGGCCATCCGGATGCGACAATGCAGGGTATCCGTAAGTGAAAGCTCTCTCCAGATACGCAGATTAAAACGACTAAATGCGTGTCTTAAAGTGACCTCGATTTACGACATTGGCTGCGCTGTCGGGTGTCTGATTGCCTTTGTTTTTGGTCATCGTCTCGGGCGCAAAAACATGATCATTGCTGGTGGCTCCATTATGGTAATCGGAACGGTAATTCTCGGTTCATCGTATTCTACTGCTCAGTTCCTCGTTGGTAGAGTCGTCACTGGGCTCGGGAATGGTATCAATAGCAGCACGGTGCCAACATACCAGAGTGGTAAGTAGATTCCTTGGGCTAAAACACGGAACCCGGGTGAATCTGCAGAGGACTGAATGCTGACGCTATCTCAGAAATGGCACGTCCAGAGTTGCGTGGTAGGCTTCTATCTGCGCAAGGAACAGTCACCATTGTCGGACTTTGTATCGCCTATTGGCTGGATTACGGCCTCAGCTTTGTCGAGTCTCCTGTTCAGTGGCGATTCCCAATCAGCTTTCAGGCATTCTTCGCAGTTTGCCTAGTTCTGCAAATGATTCCTCTCCCCGATACCCCTCGCTGGCTATGCGAACAAGATCGCAGTGAAGAGGCGGCGTCTGTTCTGGCTCGTCTTCAGATGGAGCAACCTGCGAACGAATCCACTCCGGAGGTTATTCTCCTCCGGCGCCAGATTGAAACATCTCTTGAGATCGAATCCGCCGGTGGTCCCTTCAAATATAGAGAGCTTCTATCCGGAGGCAAGATGCAAAATCTTCGTCGCATGATTCTTGCTGCCTTGGTTAACGTGCAGCAACAGTTCACTGGTAAGTGATTCCTATAATTTTGAGAAATGCGTTAAGCAAACTGACAAGCAAAGGCTCCAACATGATCAATTACTACGCACCTATCGTCTATCAAAATGCAATGCACCTCTCTCGCAACTTATCGTTGATCCTTGGAGGATGTACCTCCCTTGCCTACTTGGCTGGCTCGTTTATTCCCCTGTGGAGTATGGATCGCTTCGGTCGCAGAACATCACTCATGGTTTCCGCTGCTGGACTCTGCACTTGCTTTGTCCTCACGGCCATCCTATTATCGATCGGAACGACATCATGCGCATATGCTGCGACTGTTTTTGTTTTTATTTTTCAATTATTCCTTGGCATCGGCTACTTGCCCGTACCCTGGTAAGCGTTGGTCTTGACTCATTGAAAGAATGATACTCACAATTTGATTAGGTTCTATCCTAGCGAGATCACAACCACTCGTATTCGTGCGCGAGGTCAGGCATTCGCAGGGTTCGTTAATTGGATGTGTGTCTGTGAGTATAAGACAATTCAAGGACGCCTTGAGCGGTGTACTAACAGCTTCAGTCATTGTGGTTCAAGTCACGCCTACGGCAATCGAAAATATCTCGTGGCGGACATTCATTATTTTTGCTTGCTTCTGTGCTGCATGGGTAAGTTTGCAAAGCCCATATATCTTCGCTCAGTGAGCAATGCTGATATTTATAAGATCCCAATGGTATACTTTTTCTTCCCTGAAACAAAAGGACTGGCACTCGAAGATGTCGACCACCTCTTCGAAAAGGGTGGAATCACCGGAGGCGTTTTCGAATCTCGTGGCTACCCCGTTCTGCCTGGTCATCACCGCACAGTTAATACCGAGAGTTTGGAGAAGCCCATCCAGCATGGGGAAGTTGGAATGCACGTTGAAACAGTTTAAAGACGGCTGTTACGCCTTGCACGTAGCTTCAAGGATGGCTGCTTGGCATCTGTGCCTTGATGGGGAATATAGACAAATAGAGGGATCAATTATGGGGAAAGAATGCATATACTAGAAGCAATATCTGGATTATTTCCAACAAGGTTGTTAGAAGTTTTACTGTTTATATCGGAATACTGAGACCAATGTAGTGCTTTCGCCGCCTTGGTCACAGTATTAATACTAGTAGACACTTCCACTTTGGCAGCTATAGAGATGTTGGCATGTTCCTTGCATTCTAATTTCGCACTTTGAGCCAATTGACAGCGCTCTTTGCATTGAAAATTCAAGTTAGCAAATAGTACCTCCAGAAGTTCTACCAGGGCACAAAACAGTGCAAAGGGTCATATGACTATCTACTAGCCCGGCAAGATGAGACGCACTAGCACCTACTAGGTATAACTACTAGTCAAAAATCGGAGTAGTATAAATAATTAGAACTACTAGTAATAGAAAATTCAGGACAAAAGACATACCCATGTAGAAACCTGAACTGCCCAGGGGCCAAATTCAAGTTAGACCCTAATCAATCGTTCTAGTTTATTTATGCCCACTGGCAGATGGACAGTCTTCACAAGAAGTTTTCAAAGTTTTATTCTACTAGTAGTACTAGTACTAGTCCGAGTCGTTCTAGGTCGCGGTATTTTTACCATCCATCCTTCTACCAAATTTCTATCCTTTTCGTCGTGACCAAAAATAGTAACGGGTCGATTTAAAAACCGATCACGGAAGTGGCAATGTAGCAGCAGTCGAAGTCAAAATTTGATTTTCATTCTGGACCTTCAACAGCGCTTTACCGCTAGTTCCTATGACCTGATGATCTTCAATTTATCTTCTCCCAGATTGCCACGTCACCAGTTCCATATGTCCCACGGTATCAGCCTGAGTCAAGTCCTTCGTTGATAAGGCAACGATTATCTGGTGGCTGAAGAGGTTGGGTTCTCGTGACTCGGCCAGCTCAAATCCTTCCGTGACCGACCCGTGCTAGTTTAATTGGCGCGATAGACATACCCATAATGCATAAAGTTTGCTAGTGTAGGATTCGTAGCTATCCATTATCAAATGACTTCTCTGACAAACTCGACACCCTAATTCAAATTCTAATTAAGTTTCCTCTGTCCATGATATACAATCTTGAAAGAACAGCCAGCATTTGGAAATTTTTGCAGTACAAAGGATTGGAGAATGGACATTATAGAAACAAATAAATTCGTGATGCAACTAATTAGCGACCCACTCATCTTCAGAAATGACATCTGTATGACGGTTAGCATCCGTCCTAGTTATTTTGCAGCTCATTGCGGGTCATTCCCCAGACATTCGGCTGTGGGCCGCGACACAAAGCTTTGCAAAAATGATAAAGATTACCATTTAAGGTATCTGTAAACAGCCGGAGTGGAACGGATTTAGACCGACCCGGGGGGCGGCTCTATCTCGGTGTTCTAGATCAAGCTGGCGCTCCCCACAGCCAATGGTGCGGGGAGCTCGGGATGATATCAGCTGCTATCCCTGTTGTTTCCTGAGCGGGGCTAAACCTTTTAAGGCATGCAGCGCCCGATAACCTTCAAGCCATTCGGTGTTGATAGTGATCTACCGATCACCTGACCGGTTCTTAGGTATATCTCCCGTTGGAACCCCTGGGGAACGGCTGGGAAATTGGCCACCTGATTGCTGTTCGCATTGTGGTATGCCACCGATTTCGGATGCGAAAGGTCAAGTACCGTCCAAGACATCGGACGGGGCGTCATGAAAGCCGTGTCGAGCTGGTTGAGATAGCTATATAGAAACCCAGATTCTTCTGGTTGAATTTAGTTATCAGCAACAACAAAGCAAAGATCAATCAAAGCATCAAGCTTTTCTACACTTTAATTCTAAAGATCCGTCTTTAATTAATTAATCACATTCACGATGTCATTCTTGAGGAATTTCTTCGGCACCTCCACCACACCAGTTGTTGATGAGGCAAAGGACAAGAAGACTCCCATTCGCGCTCTTCCCGCGCCCTGGTACAGCTCCCAGGCCATGTATGAGCTTGAACGCAGAGCTATATTCTCTCGCAAGTGGCTCCTCACTACACACAAGGCCCGCGTCCCCAACTCCGGCGACTGGGTCCGCTATGATGCTGCTGGCTACGAGTTCGTCGTTGCCAAGGATCACGAAGGCGAGATCAAGGCTTTCCTCAGCGAGGATCTCTCACCAGCCCATGTGCATCTAGACAAGAATGGATTTGTCTGGGTGAACCTGGACTCAGCTGAAACCCCGGAGGTTGCCTGGAAGGATGACTTCGAGGGCGCCGATGAGCAGCCTCGCTTCCAATACTACAACTTTGACGAGTATAACTTTGACCACACCTGGGATATGGAGGGCGCCTTTAACTGGAAGATTCTCGCGGATAACTACAACGAATGCTACCACTGCCAAGTCGCTCATCCCGACATTCCCACAATTGCCGACCTTAACTCCTATTACGTCAAGCCCAAGGACGGTCACATTCAGCACTACGGTGCCCCGAGAGAGGATCAGATCGCCAAAGGATTCCGCATCGCAACCACTTACTTCTGGCCGAATGCCTCCTTCAATATCTCGTGAGCATATCATCGTCACTACCGTTCCAGAGCAGTTCTAACTTCTATAGTCCCAATTTCTTCTTCATGCAGCGATTCACCCCCGTGAGCCCATCCCAGTGTGTGATGCGCTATGAGGTCTACCGCCACAAGGATGCCACCGATGAGGCTTTCAGCCTTATCAGCGACATGTACAAGCGAATCATGTCGGAGGACAAGTACCTCTGCATCGGTACCCAGAAGAACATCAACGCCGGCGTCTTCGTCAACGGTCTGCTCCACCCCGAGATGGAGCTGGGTCCTCTCCACTTCCAGAAGACAGTGCGCGAGGTCGTCATGGAACACCGCAAGAAGGAAGAGGAGGTTGGCCACGAGATCTGGCCTGCAGCAGAGCGCACTCCTCAAGAAACAAGCGTCAGCGAAGAGCCTGTGGCATTCGAAGCCGACGCTCCGAGTTACCTGAGCGAGAAGAATGACTTCAATGTCACCGTGACTCCGCTGGTCAGCGTCTAGATGTTTAATGATAAGACCTTGGAAAGATGGAACTTTGCAAGCGATAAGGATTAATGCCAACTGTGTTATTATATAGTATTGCTTTTCTTTTTAGAATTGCTTTTTATGATTTACTAGATTTTAGTGTTTTTAAGCGAATATTGGTCATGACAGAATGGATTTACAAACTCTCTTTTCATTTTCTTCACTAGAATTCAGACAGCTCTTTATTCTGTCGAGAGATTAAGATACATTTGCACCAGAGAGCTTAGCCCTTTGCGAATTATTGCAAATATGGAACGTATATTAACTACTAGTACAGATCCTGCGTTCGCAAACTTTCTAGTTGACTTGTGAAATGAAAATTTTGCTTGGAATAATTATCATTTACAAGTTTATTGAACACCATTTTATACCAGGTAAGTGATAAAACAGCAATACTATACTAGTATAAGTCCGAGGAACCGTAAGCCTTATTCTTGGTTGGTGTGAATAATCAATTAACTAGCTATGGCTACTGGTAAAATCCTAATCATACATTCGTAACTCGTGAGTCGGGCCTTATTCACTCCTTTTTTCGAGCCTCTCGCTTCTGGAGCAATACGCTGTTTTCAATATCAAGCTTATCGTGGATGCTTTCCTCGCTTGACTCTCTGTGCTCAGTGGCCGCGATGAAATTCGCTTCGGGTGATTGCTTTTGTTTTTCGTCTTGTTCATGCTGGTGTGCTGAGAACACGACATCAAAAAGCTCTCGTACATTCATGAAACCAGGCGTTCGTGCTTCCACGCGCGATTCTCGTATAGCGTCTTCGGGCGGTACGTTTGAGTTGGCGGTGGTTTTCGTGTCCTCATTACTATCGTGGGTGTTTGTAGATGTACCACTGGACTCCTTGGATTCGTCCATCTTGCCAGGCTGAGTAATCCAGGGATGGGCAAGGAATTCTTCAATATTCAATCTCTCATTCGTGTTCACGGTCAAAAGTCTTGAAACGATGTCTTTGGCGTCATTGGATATGTCATTCCACCAAGGCGAATCAAAGGTGTACTGCCCCTTTGCAACCTTCTTCATCAAGATCTTTGTATCGGGGTCGTAGAAAGGCGGGTAACCGGCTAAAAGTGTGTATAATACACATCCAATTGCCCACATATCCACTTCGGTCGTATACTTTTCATCGCGCACTATTTCAGGTGCTGCATATGACATCGTGCCGCATGGTGTTGCAGTTGGAACGCCGGCAATTATTTTAGACAAGCCGAAGTCTCCCAGTTTGACAACCCCGATTCCTCCTCCACCCACACCGGGCACGAAATCTCCTTCGTCAAGTTTGTCTTCCTCTCCGGCAAGTGTGGGCCTCGGAGTTTTGCTAGGCTTCATCGGTATGGACTCGAACAAGATATTTTCTGGTTTGATGTCTCTGCAATGACGGTTAGCTTTGGCTCATATTCACTGATAGTTATAGTGAAATTGTATTCAAACGAACCGGTGGACAACTCCAAGCGTTTGGTGAAGGTACAGAACCGCCTCTGCAACTTGTTGAATGACGTGTCTGGCCAAATCCTCACTCAAGTAGGTAAGTTTGACCAACTGATTGAACAATTCCCCACCGGAACTAAGTTTCATTATGATGTGGCAGTACTGATTCGTTTCGATGCAGTCGATAAGTTCGGATACATTGGGATGGTTCAATTGTCGCATAATTTCGATCTCCTTTTTGACATTTCCTTTCTATTTGATTATTAGCTCTCATTTTCAGGGCATTGCTCAAAAAATCATGATATCCTTACCTGTTGCTCATTCATTTCAAACTTCCTCAGGACCTTGACTGCGACTTTGTTCTCCTTGTTCTCGCGGTCGGAGGCTCGATAGACGTTGCTAAATGCTCCCGTACCCAATAAATCCAAAAGTTCCCAACGGTCAAGACCGGGGTATGATGGCAATTTTTTCTGTGATATTGCGCCAGGTCCTTGCACAGCTTTCCTTCCATCGTTATAATTGGCGAGTGGGTCTGTGCCTCCGTTGGCAGGCTTGCCGATATGATCGAGTGGCATGTCAAGATGGCGCGCCCCTATGGCTACTGGCGAGGAGGGCCCAAGTCTCATAATCCAAAATTTGATATTCAATATGTCGAATTGGGTGATGATAGTGTGAGTTTGTAGGTAATTATTTGGGAAGCAAGCAAGATATGAGGAGTGTCCAAGAGATAAGTAGGCAGGTCCATTGAGCGACAAAGCACCAAGTTAAAGCAGAAAGAAAGAACGCTCGCTGGTTTAATAAAAGTACGCACATCATTGTGACATTTTAGTTTGCTTGATACGTCAGTTGAGTTATCAGGTTCTAAGATAACTTTCTCCTACAAAAGCCCTTGCCCCAGAGTATAAGCTGGGACCTGAACGTAGCGTATGACATCATAGGGGATATAAACAGAAACAAGGCCGATGATCATCGGTGGCGAGTCCACGAATCAGCCTCCTATATCTTCGAGCTGGCATGAACCAAAACCCCGCTGTATTGAAAATGGCCCTTACAAATAAACGAGCCTGTTCATCATCGGTGACCCATCCGCGAATCAAACCGACCTTTGCTTACGCCATCTTGAGCCTCACACATGTATATGTCCACCTGCAGTAGGCCAGAAGATCCCCAAATCCCGTGACAACCTTAATGAGTACCATTAGTCGACTCATAATTATTTGCTTTTGTGAGAATTCGCGACACAATATTGCGAACGCCCCGAGGCGCTTCCTTCATGGTTTGTGGAAGTGTCACCGTGCACAGCCGTCTAAAGCCAAGCGGGCGGCACGTAATCGGTTTTGCCACTTCCAGAAACGTCTGATTTCGCTTACCCCACAAGCTGTTATCGACATGGATCGCCCTACAGGAGACGGCTAGGCTTTGTTTGATTGGTGGGAGACAAGGCGAGTGACCCCTTGCCCAGGGATGCAGCAAACTGGCATGACGCCGGCTGCCTTCCGGTTTGCTGGATATAGGAAGCTCAAAGCGATCGTACATCGATTTTGATTTGCTAGCTTCAATACCCATGTGCCCGAAATCCTTTGCTATGTAGTGAATGCTAAGTTCAACATCCCTGCGGGTGAAAGAATGTGGTTGGCTGGAACTTCCCCATCCCTCCAATGTTTCGATACTGCTTTCGCCCATCGTGGGCGGAGATACGTGTAGCTTGTGTCTTTCATCATTGATTTGAGTCTGATCCGATCAAGGCCAACGAAGATTGATTATCCTCATTTCACAAATACGCTACATATGACGTTTTCCACAACGTGTACATGGATGGCGATAGAAAGTGTGAACTTACTGCTTGATGGATTGGTGGGCTCTAGCCAAGAATGAGCCTTACAGCATTGAGGGGGTCATTCGCCAGCTCGCATTGAATTAATCTATTTCTAGGTATTCACTATCCCACGATCCCGCCATACTAATAATCGATATCCTTATTCTTCAAGTTGCCAGGTAGGAATAAACCAGAAGAGTATCTGAATTGATGGATGAATAGCCGGATCATACCCACTGACACCTTCAAACCTTCAGGTTTAATTCGGGATATTCAGGAATGCATCCATCGTGAGTGCCATCCTTTTGGGATTGGGGGAAAAGACCGTTGACTTTCGAAACAGCCCACAAGAGCTTTCCCAGGGACCAAACACCAATTCTCGAAGATGGAAAGAACAGCCCAAGACTACCAGTCGAGAAACGCTGACACTCATCTATGAAAGGCCGCATTGCGTCTTCGTAGGATTTCAAAGCTCGCTTAACATCGCCCCCCTGTCGAGCCAATTCACCTGCAAGGATGTAGGCTCCCATCAGGCAAAGGTTGGTCCCGAGTCCAGTAAAAGGACTCGGACAGTATCCTGCATCTCCAAGGAGCACAACGCGACCGGTTGAAAGTTGACTCATTTTGATTTGGCCAAGCTCATGAGCATAAAAGTCTTCAGAGCTTCTCAACCCTTCAATCAGCCTATCGGTTTGCCATTCGACATCCTTGAACGTCTCTAAAAAGGCTTTCTTTTGAGCCTCTTGGGATCCTTTGTAAGACGCCCTCAATCGGCCAGACTGTTCCATGGCAAACAGAAGAACTCCAGTGACCGGTCGGTCGCTGGTTCTGGTCATGATCATTCGTCTTCCCGGGGCTAGATGGCCTCGCGCGAGACTTCCTTCGCCTTCAGCTCGAGGAATGGAAAAGTAAGCACCATGGATACCGAGGGATTTGAAAGCGGCGTCGCTAATATCCTCGCCAAATGCGAGTCTTCTGGTTCGTGACCCTTGTCCATCTGCGGCAACAACGAGATCAAAGCCTTGTCTCTCTCCGTTAGAGAAGGTTACATCCACACCATCCAAATTTTGATCAAGAGCCGTGATTGTCTGACCAAATTTGTACAATATCCCCCCCATGGCTTCCTAGCTGGGGTTTCAAGAATGCATTCTGCTCGACGCTGGCATCATATAGGACTTGCACCATGTCGCCGCGCATGATTTCATGCTCACTCGTCAGTCCGGGGCGACGTTCCCCAGCAGCAGCGGCAGGGAAATAAGAGACCTGTTTACCCATGGAGTCTACCATTTCAAGTCCTGTCTCATTCACACAATGGGCCTTTATTCTTTCCATAAGGCCCATTTTTCCTAGAATGTGAGGTGCTTGGGTCTTCAAGTCAACCTGTTGTCCAGATATGCGCAGGGACTCAAAGCGCTCCAGGATCGTGATTCTGTGCTTGGGGTTGGATCTTTGGAGAAGAGTTGCAAAAGCCGGGCCACAAATCCCGGCTCCCACGACGAGAATATTGAGGGACATGTTCGAATAGGAAAGAGTGACGCTATGACTAGGATAGAATATTGTTAGCTTGCGGAATCTTGGTTTGATTTTATCATGATTCTACAAACCAATTATTTAAAAGCGGCGTAAGCGTAATGGTTGGAGGGCGAATCTCTAGATTTGCGAGCGATGAAAAAGTAAAAAAGTCGACAAGAAAGGAATCTTTTATAATATTTTCATGATCTAGATCTTTCTTGGGTCAAACTGTCAAGGCTTCCACAAAATATAGAAAGACTCAATTCCATTGGATGTTGGTCGCACTCGTAGTCGGCCACATCGGCCTTATCGGGTATATCGGAAATTCATTCGGAGCCCCGATTGCGGCTGGGCGATGCCGCATGAATCGAGCTTACTCCAATAGTAACTTGGATCTGTCTTTCTTTTAGCCTAAAAAATCACCACGCATGTTTAATATCAGAAACATTTCGTTGGGCGAGCTCTTCTTTTGGGTTTCTCTTGTCGGGTGCGACCAAATCACTCCTTTGACTCATTTCCACAAAGCGGACATCTATCAAAGGGTGTAAAATATGTTCTAGTCTGGCTCCAGGGCTTTTTCTACGCTTCTTTTTGTCTCTCAGCTGATTTAATTTGCTTTAAGCTAGTCCTGCGCAAGTTGTTCATTATATCGGTTTCAAATTGCATATTGTATTTACTAGTTTAGTAGGTAGTAAGCCTTCCAAATAAACTGAAAAATGTAAAGATACCAGGTACCAAGCTAGGTAGTACTAGTACTATTTATTCCAGATATCATCAATTAGTACCTAGACACTAACCACCTAGTATTTACTAGTTCACACTGCCCCCTGGCAGGTGATCCCGCCAACTTCCAAGGCTCAAGTTCAAAATAATGTTCAACAAACCTGCCTGTCGGACCAAGTTTAAAAGATACAGTACCACTACTGACATATAGCCATAGTGTCACTGACTATCTCAAGGATTAGATATAAGTACCTAGTACTCGTACTAGACAGAGGAATTCGAGGAACTTGGATAAAAATAGGTAAGAATCAGCTCATCCCGAGGCTATGGATACTTTAGGCGACATCTACAAATTAGGAAGGTTTTGTGCCGATCGCCAGGCTCACAGCGTAGACCTTGACCCGACAGGCTGGTAACATCGATGTGTACTACAACTCTGTTCATATACTTGAGTCGGAATAATAATTCATAATTTCGCACTGAAGTGGAGGCCGGGGATAAGTGGTTTGCTCGAGATCGTTCCTAATGAAACATTCAAAAGATTTTGAATTTGGGACATTTTGACAGTGCGGTCACGTAAACATTCTCCTTCACATTCTACTCCCAGATGTGAGACTCGCGACGGATTCCTGACCTGCTAGATATTCCCTAATGGAGATGATTCTAGATATGGAAGAGCCTTCGCTACCGTACCGCCAAGGACCTATTTGAATATTCCCGACTGATGTAGTGTAGCTCCTGCAGCTCAAGTGTGGGGAATGCTTTTTCGGGTTAGGATCCATTCACCGCATGGATATCTTTTGCGGATCGCGATTCAATAATGAGAAGGCCCCTCACTGGTGCTGATCCGATCGATGGTATAACCGTGGCCCCGCACAGGCCTGGACCTTGCCAGCCATAGGCACCATCCTCGCCACCTCCCACATTCTGCCCCTCGCAAATCCTCTTGGTCAATTCAGTCTCCTTTGCACAAACCACCCACCGTCCAACCCGTGAGAGTCAAGATGAGTTCGCCTAAGCTCCCGAGTACCTACGACAGTCCTCCAAGCGGACTGAGGCCTTCTGGGCGCCTCACAAGAGACACAGACGCGCCCGACAACACGTTCACCAGCGCTCCGATTGTTGCGGATACTTTTACCGTGATATCATTTGACCCTCATTGGCCGGAAACCTGCTAACTTTTGACAGGACGAAGAAAGTGAATTTTCCAGCGAAGGGACCGACCTCACTTCTTTATCATCAAGCATCTTGGAATACGAATATGAAAATGGGAGGCGCTATCACAGTAACAGAATTGTATGTCGAATTCCATCCCGTCCCGTTTCGCGCCATTTATCTAACTAAATGTTTCTACAGAGTAACTATGTGTAATTAAAGTACCTTCCGTGCTTATCGCGCAACATAGCTTTACTAATTGGTGAAATACAGGATGCCAAACGACGAAGAAGAGCAAGATAGAATGGACTTGGTAAACTTTCATCTTCCTTTCATCCGTGAGAAATGCTAATCAACCCTTTTAGACACATCATATGTCAGTTTAATCAGCCTTTCCCTGGAAATGTGCATCACTGATGGAAAAAAAAAGATGGCTCCTTCTAATGAGGGGTGAACTTCATAAAGCCCCAATAAAAAACCCGCAGAAAGTGTTGGATCTTGGGACTGGCACTGGAATCTGGGCTCTGGACTTTGCAGAGTAAGATACGACTTTATGGGAAATTAAAAGCTGGCCTGCTAATTCAGAAATCAGAAAATATCCAATGGCCAATATTATCGGAAATGATATTAGTGCCATTCAACCGAATTGGGTGTGTCCGAATGTGGAATTCGTTGTTGAAGACTTCGAAACGGAATGGATATATGAGCCTGCAAGTTTTGACTTCATTCATGCACGGTTACTCGCAGGGTCCGTCACTCAATAACAACTGATTGGAAGAACTTTTTTAACAATCGTGCAGTGGCGTGTCCGATTGGCCTCGGTTATTCAAACGTTGCTATGATCATTTAAAGCCAGGCGCTTATTTTGAAATCCAAGAAAGCGCAGTATGGGCATGGAGTGATGATGGCACCTGTCTACCCGACTCTCCGATTTTTGAATTGCTGCGAGCCATGGATATGGCTTCGAATGCAATTGGAAAGCCATACAATGTCTATCCATATCTACGACAGTGGCTTATCGAGGCCGGTTTTGAGGATGTCAACCAATTCGTCTATTTCCTTCCTTACTCGCCGTGGCCGAAAGATCCATATCTCAAGGAGTTGGGAAAATTCCAAGCCGCAATGGTGCAGCATGCTGTTGAGGCCTATTCTCTCAGACTTTTTACTCAAGTATTAGGATGGGGTGAAGATGTGTCTAAAATATTCCAGGCTTCAGTCAAAAAGCAGCTTCGGGATAAACACATGCATGCCTATGTCAAGGAGTGAGTCTCTTTATTTGAAGCGGCTTCGAACTATGTGCTAATATTATTTGTCTTCTAGATACGTCATATATGGAAGAAAACCATTGAGATGAATGTGTATATTATGATAATGAATATTAATAAATTTTACGCTCTGAGAATATACTCTCTGCTTGTTAAAATCTGTCGCTTGGATCCCATGCTCTACAGAGTTGGTAGCTTCACGCATCCTGGACGTCCCGCGCTGCGGCCTTCTTTCTCCATCCAGCCGCAAACTTCCACTGTATCAGCGGACCAATCAATGCGACGACCTGGACAATGGCACAAATGGTAAAAGTCAAGCCAACGCCAACGGCATTGATCAGTGGCTTGACTATACTTGTGCCTCCAGCGGCAAACAAGCATCGCGCTAAATTAAGGCTCGCACTAGCCCCGGCGCTTTTGTCATGATAAACATCAACGAGGTAGGTCATGATAACAGATTGCATCGAGACGGCGGTCCAGCCAGTAATGAAAGTGGACACAATTGGAACTGCGATATGAACCCGGTGAGGAAACTGAATTGTCCACCCGAACAGAAGGAGTGACAGGCATTGAAGCACCGAGAAAACCGGTACAAGTCGGAGGCGAGCCTTTTCAAGGGGAAAATCTTCCTGGTTGCTCTTTGAGCGGGATAGCGCGCTTTCTTCTTCAACATCGGCAGAGACTCTTGTCTCGAAACTTGCTTTGACACGACCGTAGTCGATATTGAGTATTTTTCCAGTTATTAGTGTTCCAATGATAGACCCAACGCCATTTGCAATGAACGTGAGACCGATCTGGATCTCGGTGAGGCCGTAGCGATCCTTGAATAGCGATGACATGGCCGTGATACTCATCTGCCATACGGCATAGTAAATAGCGAGGAAAAGAATGATCGGAGCAGCTTGCTTGCTGATAAGGATACGAAAAGGGCCGAATATATCAACGTGCTTTTTAGCAGCAAGCTGAGGGGGCGGAGTATCCGGGTCGGTTTCCACCTTTGAAAGCTTTTGATATGTCTGCAACGGAAAGCGTGTCATTGGGTTAGATGACAAAACGCTACCATTGGCGACTATGGATCGGAGTGTTTCAGGCAGTAAAAAGATGAGAATGAGCAGGAACACAGCAGCATAGATCATCAGAAACCAGAATACGGATCGCCAACCCAGTGAGCCAGCCAAAGCGCCACCTATGACCGGCCCGATGGCAACAGGCGCCAAGAGTCCGGCCTGGAAAATTCCCATGAAGCCTCCGCGCTCTGCACGGGTGGTAATGTCACCAATAACACCGGAGCCAATGGCTATGGTACTGGCACTTCCAGTGCTCTGAAGACATCGGAGCACGATCAAGGTGGCATAATTCTTCGTTTCTGCCAGCCCGATGCACGCGCCGATAAAAACGATAAAGGTACCGACGTAAGCAACTCGTCGGCCCCTGACATCCGATACAGGGCCCCAAAGACTAGGCGCAATTCCTTGAAAGATGAGATAGGATGTGACCGTAAGATTGACGAGCTCCAGCGATACGTTCAAGTCATCCGCGATTGTCGGTAGAGCTGGGAAGTAGATATTTGACGCAAATCCCGAGACTGCGAAAATAATTAGTTAATGATATTTTTGCATGTGAGGTTTGGTCGAAGCTCACAGGTCGCTGCTGTAGAAACTAAGGCCACGATTAACCACTTTTGCCTTTTGTCGAAGATGCTATATGGCGGCTCTGGAGCGATTTGATCCTGCGATGCTGAATCTGGTGCATTGCTCAAGGACGGAGCCCCACTCAAAGGCGGGTCCTTTCTTGTCTCCGTGGACATTGTAACTTCAAAAATTGCTTTTAATGAATGGCTGGTTTGATGGATATAAAGACTGGGTCGAGTTGGCTTATGAGTAATTGTTGGAATGTAAGTAAATCAGTCGAGGCAACCCCGGAAGCGGAGATCTTTAAATAACATTACGAAGCGGCGGGAGAGGTGTGGGGTTGACGGAGTTCAGCGGAGTTGAGTGATATCAACTCCGTCAGGTCCGCCACTAAGAATGTTTGACATCGAAATACAACTTTCTCCCCGCTGCCTTTTAATTTTCTGTTTTATTACTCCTCCTTTTTTCATTCTTTTCAAATCGATCAAAATGGTCTCTGAAGCTCAAGGAACCCCAAACTTTGGGCGGCGATATGCCATTCTAAACTTGGACTGGATGGCTCTCCTTCTGAGTGCTATTGAAGGTACGCCTGAAGGTCAATCATTGATCGAAAACTACAAAAAATGGAATGAAGCCGTCCACAAAAAGTCCTCTCAGCCTTTGACTATTTTCACGACTCTCGCTTTTGCCCACGGCCAACCGGAGGTAAAACGTGGAAAGCCTTTTTCAAAGCTCATTGCTCCTTTTGGAGATTTCAAGGCGGGTACTCCTGAAACCGAAATCGACACTCGCTTCACCGTGAATGAGCAGGATATTGTACTTGCAAAGACACGATGCTCTGCGACCTCAGGTAGTGCCCTGGAACAAATCTTGAAAGCGCAGAATATTGACACAGTCGTAATTGTGAGTAGAAGCCTGTCTTCCCCCGCACCATGATCCTCTTTACTAATAACTTTTAGTCGGGTCTGTCGCTTTCTGGTGTGATCATGAGTACAGTCTACCATCTCTTTGACCTTGACTACAATATTTACGTGATCGAAGACAATGTGCTGGAACTTCCTCCAAGCGATACAGCCGAATTCAAAGCACTCTTTGTTCAAAAGATTCTTCCCAGAATGAATCTGCAAGTGATATCGCTTGAGACTGCATTGCGGGCCCTTGAGCAAAGTTCTTAGTGCAAATTCCATCTTAATCATTGACATATTTATTAGAGTATTTAGGTCAAGCTTGCTAGTCTTCTTCCTACTAGTAGTACTAGTATACGCCTTGTGAATATCCGGACAGAAGCACCTCAGCCACCATGAGTACAACTAGCTACAGCGTAAAGCATAGTTCCGAAACCATCAATATCTTCTAACCAATGATCCACTCTACTCCGTCTTTTCGAGATCTCAGCCTCGTTCAATTCCGGCGGAATCGGCCAAAGTTCATCAATCGCCAGGCCAGGTTCCATCCATTCCGCCAAGAAGAGATTATACGCCTGCTCCCAATCATATCGAGAGCCTGCCTCCCATATCGCCCTAGCTGCAGGAGCAGGAAGACCCTGTAGCTCAGTACCGAGATAAGTGGGCATATTCTCCTGTGTGGAAATGACACTGTCGAACAGGTACATCATGTACAAAGTTCGCCGTTTTGCTTCTGTGACGATCCATTCCTCCCAGTGAGGCCTGGTTCTAGCCTGGTCGCTCGCGCAGACAAGACCCTCTTTGCTTGAAGCATGAGCTAGCTCTTGTAAGGTAATCATTGTCTGTCGAATAGAATGATCGCGAGTCACATCAAGTCGAAAATAAAGAACCATTGAGTAGATAAGGTATGCCTGGAATGCAGAGAGCAGAGACATATTATCGTAAATCTCGCGGGACGCTGTTATATTCTCCATTTCACGCTGCAATATCATGATAGAGGCATTTTCGCTTCCTGGTAAAGGATTTTGACACATTCGGACCAAGCTTAGGCACGTTGTTAGCGGTGAATTCGGTACCTGACGCTGCATTTGAGTGGGATGGATGAACGGTAAGATTCCACGACCACGGACAGCTGATCCAGCATAAGATTTTAATATTCGAGCGATGAAGGCGATTATGCTGGGGGGGGGTATTGTTTAATCTTTTGCCCTGAGTCAGGAATGAAAGGATTCATCCAACGGGATGTGATCCCGTCCACATCAATTGGACATATGAGGTCCAATCCTGAGAAGTTCAGAATATCTACTCCATCTCGAGCATTTCTCGGTAGATTTGTGCTGGTGAAGGTAACGGGAGCAATGGCAGTTCGCCCCGAAGACAGGAAAAGTGTCCCTGGTGAGTCAGGAACGCTTGCGGGCATCATGGCATTGCCTGTTGGGCCTGCCGGTGTGAAACCAGAGAGGCGTGTACTTTCAATCAGGGACGGTATCTCATCTCCAAAGCCTGTACCCATAGAGTCCGTCAAGGATGCGGGACTGCAGGGTCCGCCATGGATATTGAGAGAAGTTGTATGTTCTGTTGAGCCCTCCACGGTGTGCGATCGAGGGTATGTGCAGTTCAGACCGCGTCTCGTACATCGATTGCACCGTCCCGCCACCCGATCGCATTTGGCTTTCGAGGCGGAGCAATTTTGGCAAGCTTTTTGTCGGGAGGAAGCATATCGTGAATTTTTCATGGCTAGGTCTGAGTCTCCTTGCAGCTGCAAGGCTCACTTCAAAGTTAGAGTGGACGAGTGGAAGCCGGTGGGAGTTGTCGGAGCTGAGCGGAGTTCAGACGAGGGTGCCGGAGTAGAAGAACTTTGCGCCTAATTTCTCAGGCGCTAACATATCTCATACTTAGATATCAGCCAATCAGAGCCCACTTCAATAAAGGGTTTACATTCTTTACAACTCGAAGTTATCTATCTTCGATTGTAGTTTTAAAAGGTGCAACTATCTACATCATCTCACATTTCATAATATGCTCACACTTCCGGCGCCACGGTAAACCACAACAGTAGAGCGCCGACACACGCCAATCCTCCTCCCGTTTCGATTCCAAGCTTGCTCACAACACTGAGTGGCACAAGGTCAGTGCGAGGTAATTGCGCCAAGCGCTCTGTGTACGGCGTCGAAAAAAAAACCAAGCCAAGCAAACACCCAAACCATACCAACAACTTTCTTCCACAGAGGAGTGACAACCTCCCCGTCTTTAGATATCTGCGGGGGTGAAACTCGTTTCCACAAGGCTTGCACGCCATCCTCGATCATTATTCCCAAAACAAATGATAAGAAGAAGTGCATTGCGCCCGAAAGTTCCCACGGGATATCGGCCACGATATCGAGGATGAAATGCATCACGCCAGATAAGAAGAAGACGATGAATGTATTCGTATACCGCTCGAGAATGGATGGCCTTGGGAGATGCAAGACATCGCGCGCGAGAAAATTACTCATGGTGGTGAAAGGCTGGCGCAACATCTGGTGCCAGAATTTACTAAACAAACATGTCAGCAGAAGATTTCCTTTTTTTCTCGCCCTCTCAAGAGGGAAAGGAAGCTCAAACTCACCCCCAAAAGTTGCGCAGAGAATACGCGTCTTTCATACGGCCAAATACGGGTAGCCAGTTCGACGGCTCATCAAGACCCAGACTCACAAATACGATTGAAGAGAGTCTGAAGGAGCAATCGATAATAAGTCGGCCAACGAGGAACCAGGTGATATTGTGCGCAATAGCACGCTCAATCCATTTTTCCATTGGGACATTGTACTCAATCTCCTGTAATCCAGCCTCTGAAGCCATCTGGCCGCTCAAAGTTTGGAAAATATCAATGACCATAAACTGCCAGGCCATGATAGCCAACTGTCTCAGCAGATAGCGACCGACCGGGATCTTCCCGCCATAGCGATCATAGAACGCAGGCTGGGCAGGCAAATTCTTCACTTGACGTGGGGTCTTGATGCCACGAGTGAATGAGAGGATCTCAAAGACGTAATAAAAATGGCCCGACCTGAAAAACGTGGTGGGCATTTCGCGTGCAAGGTCGCGCTCATCGAGCGGGTTGATGAGCAAGACATTGATGGCCGTGATCACGGCGACCACAAGACAACTCACTGCATTTGTCCGAATGTACACGGAGAAGTCCAGCGGACGTGCAAATCGGCTAGCGTTCCATATCAGAATGGGGATGGCAAGGAAGCGATACGGTGAGCGCTTTGGCGTCGCAATCAGCAAGGTCCCAATGATAATATTCTGGACAATGACGCTGCATATCAGATCGATCAATTCCCAGTTGAGCTCCATCTTGATTAACGGCCTTTGTAGGGACCTTTGGGTGAGTTGAAGATGCGCAGTCTGGGGAGAAGACAATAAATAATTTTCTATCATACGAGTCGGATCGCTGACTGAGCGGGTCAGGGGGGCTTACCCTTGGGAATGCTTAGCGCCCGATAGAACCACTTTTGGATACGCCACATCCTGAATTTATCCATCCTTTCTTGAACACGTGGATGCGGGGAAATTTTGAGGTTTAGATTTTATGGGTATGAGAGTGGTGGCTATTCTTAGCTTGGGTCTTTCTACTGAACCAGGGAGCTGTCAACCTGGGGCTATCCATAGGTAGGGATGGGGGCCCAAGCTAGTGTCCTAGCGCGTTTTTCGCGTCTTCCAGGCCACGTCGTGATCGTAAATTTAGGCCTTTTCGGAAGTATGAGAGATGCTAAGATAATGTGCCGCGAGGAAGAACTTGAAGATGTCAACTTGAAGAAAATCATAAGTATTCTCAGTGTGGAACTTTAACTTCTCAGACTCACTACTAGTACTAGTAATGAGTCTGAGAAGTTATGGGCACTACTAAGTGGACACCTCCTTTGGCTATCTGAACACCCTATTCTGTCTATTTAGAGAAGGTACTGTATGTGTATTACCATGAACTACAGTAGGAGGCCATAATTCTGCTTTCTCGTCTTTGAGTAGGTAACTGAGTAGGTAGGTACCTAGGTATCTAGCAGTGCTAAATATCTCAGTAACTAATAATATACCTAAATATCTGATCGGGTAGATTCTACTACTTAGTCCTTATCGAGTTTACAGAGAAGTCTTATTCTGATTAGGGTTATTAGGACGAGCTAAATATATATCTTCTTCATTCGCGGTGACTATCTTAAATATAGAATAATGATTGCAAGACCACGAAATATATTAATCAATTATATTATTAATAGTGTAGGTGTGTGGTTTTTTCTAAGAGCTAAAATATCTATACTAGAAAAGTAAGTAATACCCTGAAAAGAAAGCAGGTATTAGGGTACACCCTCTAGATAACTAAGAGTTAGGAATAGAATATAGTACCTATAGGGATATAAGTACAACTGAGATAGATTATACGGAGATTACGTAGATTCTGATTGAGTAATCAGCTTTAAAGGATTTTGCAGTATTCTCTTTGATAGTTTGTATTTGTAATTAAAGTTAGTTTGGACACACGCTATATTTGATTTCTCTCACTATTTCTTCGACCCGGGCAGACAGTCGACTCTCTTCCGAGTCGTCTTTGAAAGCTCTTCTGCTCGTAGATTCTAAGCCAGCACCAATTCGAAGACCCTGGAAGAACCGTCGGGAGAAATCCTGAAATAGGCCTAGCAGGTGAAATTTATCCATGGATGTTGCTGCTCAGCTCGATACTCGACGAGCTGTGCTTACAAGACGAGGGCATGTACTATTTTCCTCTTTCATTCGAATCGGGATCTCAGACTCCTTAAAGAGCATAGCGTGAATAGACAAGGATGAAAATCCAAATTGATGATCGAGTCTATTCTATAGTATCATAATGTGAAGATGCAGAAAACTGATTTTTGATAAGTACATATGTGCAGGCGAAAAAAAACCACCCGTTCCCATCCTGAAAGAAAATGCAATACGTGAATGTGAATGCTGCCCGCAAGCGGGTTAATCAAGTCAAGTCAAGTCAAGCTATGAAGCATCAGGACATCATCGGAGGCTGTAATCATAATTACAATGGTATGGTATGTGAAGAACGATGTATGACGGATGGCACGTGCACGTGCAAACGTCTGTCATACAGTTGGGGAAAAGTGAAGGTGGACACAATTAGCACCTTTTCCATAGGAGAATGAGAATCACATTTCTCCGTGAAGTTAGAGTTTAGAAGAGAAATTTAGTGGCTCTTGAACCCATCATCCTCGTCCTCGATCTGAATGCTGTCACGACCAGCGTTCAGAGGGAGACCGGACTCGCCGAATTCGCGGTAGGCACGGTCGCGCTCGGCGCCACGGTCCTTGCGGATGGTGAGACAGTTGATGCCCAGGAAGGTGGTGATGCGGTTGATGACCAGGACAGCCCAGTAGCTGTACAGGACGAGAGAGAACAGGAAGAAGAGGCGCAGGTACCACAGCTCAAGCCACATGGGGAAAGGAATACCAATGCGGGGCAAGTTGACCAGGAAGGCACCAAGGACCAGGGGAGCCTGCAGAACAGTCCAGTAGGGGAAGTCCTGCTTCAGGAGATGGGCCAGAATGATCATGGTGGTCATGCGGCCGAAGACGAAAGAGATAGTCACGCAGAACAGAACCAGGTGGTTCTCGGCGAGGATACCAGAGTAGGGGGAGAACATCCAAAGCATGCAGCAGAGGGTAAAGCCGATCATGGGAATCCACTCCTTCAACAGAGGGGTGAAAGGCAGGCCTTGCTTACGGCGGGCCACATAGACGTTGTAGACACATCCGGGAAGGTGGGCGAAGAAGAAGCCGCCAAGTAGAATGGGGATCCACAGGTCCTTGACGGAGTTATCGCCGAAGATAGCGGGGATGTTGATAAGATCGGTGATGGGTTGGCTCCAAATACCGGGGCCCCAGATACCGGAGGCGAGCATGATCGAGATGCAAATGAGAAGACCCTCAGTCGGGCCATTGAAGTAGCCCAAGTACAGGGTGTGAGTGTGGAAGGTCTCCCAGGTCGAGAAGTACATGGCGAGACAAGGCACCAGGGCGGTCCAGGCACCCAGGTGGGAAGCACCCAAACCCATAGCCGCAGTCTCCAGGAGACTGGCAAGAGCGCAGTTCAGCGAGTCGATTCCGTGACTGTGGTGCGATTAGCATTGGATTCCCATGGCTTGTCTGGAGGCGGTACGAACTCAAACAATTCTCCCAGCCCGCTGGAAGTTCCGGTACGGCGTGCTTGCTTGCCATCCACATTGTCCAGAGTCGAGTACCTGTTTATTTTCTATCAGTTCCTGTCGGGTGTGGCGCATAATGGAAAGGGAGACACTGACATCCAGACACCAATCGCAAAGCTGATGTATAACCACCACGGGCCCTAAATGTCCAAAGTTTAGCACATGTCCATCCCTATCGGGCAGTGGGGACTCTCTTACCGGTCCAACCATATCGGGCATAATGAGGCAGATCAAGAAGACGTTGCCGATGATGAAGAAAAAGCCGAGAAGAGTGACCATGTTCGGTGCAAGCCACATGGGCAAGAGCTCAACGAAGGCATTCCACTATAATCCCGTCGCGAAACAAGTCAGTGACAGCCCCGCTAATTATATACCATCCAAATCGAAAGAATCTCGGGAAATCGTACGTAGTGTCGCAGAATGTAGTTGGAAATGAATGACTTGTCCACGCTGGAATACTTGTAAGACTTCAGGGGCATGAGAGCCTCGTCGGAAAGTCCTTCTTGGGTCTCTGCAGGCGGGGGGTGAAAACCACACAAATCAGTTCACAATCCATTGAAGATGAGATCCCAGGGCATTCTTCAGTCACTAACCTCGGACCATTCTGATAATCGCGTCCATGGTGAAAGTTGAGCCGCGTGTCGCGTGAGTACTCTTGTCAGGTACAGAATGGAGTAGGAGGGTATATGTCGGCACCGGAGCAAGAAAAGGACGGCGAAAATCAGGCAGCAGTAAATAGGGGCACAATTCCAGACCAAAGCGCACCCAAATCGAAAAGCAGACCCAAAAATAGCGAAGAAAAGGACGAGGAGATTGGAATGTCTCAGGGATTTTCCGCCCGCAAGTCACGTGGAACCGCAACGCGCGACTCCACTTGCCAAAAGGTTGCGGGTTGAGCTTGCCTTTCTCCACGTTGAACTGACGAGTCTTGGACTGGACTTGGACCCTTGATTCTGTTGTTCTCTGTCTCTTCCTCTTCATATTACCAGTCTTCGATCCTCAGAACGATTCCTCTCCTCCTCCCCCACCCGCTGCCCTTCGCAAACCAGCTCGTCGCGCGCATCTTTAACACTCACTGCGCCTCCAACCCACCTTGAACTCGCCCCCATCTCTATTTCTGTCGCACCGGATATGCTCATCTACTCAACCTGAATGGACATGACGCCCCACTGCGCCCTTCGCGCTTCTCCATACTGAGGACTTCCCCATGCCGGGCGTGGTTGAAACGCCCACCGCGACGGTGGCAGTCCCGGTGGATCGAGATTTCAGCGTTGCCAACCAGAAGGTTGAGTTAGAGATTGACTTCCTTTCGAAGAGTATCAAGGGAAAGACAGAGATCACGATTTTACCTCACAAAAAAGAGCTGACGGCATTCCGATTGAATTTCCGACAAGGCGAGATCAAACGATCGACCGTGAACAATGTTATCGCTACGACCAAATATGCCGACCCTTACGAGAATCTCAACCTTTACGGACCGCAATATCATCAAAAACTCTTACCTAATATCGACGCGCTTTTGAAGACCCCCACATACCCAGAGCTAGAAGTCACCATTCCCAAAGGCGTCCGGATAAGGGAGCTCAGCAAAGCTGAAGCTCAGGAACAAATCACACTGCAGGGCATAGGGAGCGAAGTAGATGGACCATCAGGAGGCAGACCACTCGAAGTGAACCGCACGCAGTTCAAGGAGTTGACCGTGACTATCGAGTTCATCATTGAGAAAATTCGGGATGGTCTCCAATTTGTTGGTATTGATAGCGGGGACCGTCGGTATCCGCACGCATACACGACGAACTCGCTAGAAACAGGAGTCGGTTGCCCTTTATTCCCATGTGTGGATGACCCTCTGTCCCGATGTACTTGGGACGTCTCCATTTCATGCCCCGCCTCACTTGGCGATGTGTTCAACCGCAAAACAGGTTCAAATTCAACCACGCCTTCTCGATCACGTAATCCAAACCGACCTCTTTCCGCCGACGATGAAGGACTGGACATGTCGGTTGTTTGCTCGGGGGAATTGACTGATGATATCGTGGACCCGAAGGACCCTACCAGAAAGACAGTTTCATTCTCCTGCTTCTGGCCTCTGTCGGCACAGCAGATTGGCTTCGCGGTTGGCCCCTTTGAATATGTGAATCTGGCAGACTTCCGTGAAAGTGATCAAGATGAGCAACTCGGTACAAACGCCATTCCTGTGCACGCTTTCTGCTTGCCAGGAAGGGGCTCCGAAGTCGAAAACACCAGCTTCCCCATGGCCCAAGCTATTGATTTCTTCTCGTTGTCTTATGGATCGTATCCATTTTCGAGCTACAAGCTATGTTTTGTGGATGATGTCCCCACGGAAACGCTTCCCGTGGCGTGCATGGCGATCTGCAGCAGTCACCTATTATTCCCGGAGACGATCATTGACCCAATGTACGATTGCACCCGAGCTTTGGTGCATACATTGGCTTGCCAGTGGACCGGCATCAACATCGTTCCCAATGAGCCGGCTGATACCTGGGTCACTGTTGGTATAGCGTGGTATATCACAGACACATTCATGAAAAAGCTGTGCGGCACCAACGAATACCGATTCCGACTGAAACAGATGTCTGATAAGACGTGCGAATTAGACTATGAGCGTCCGTCTATATACGATATGGGAACCTTCCTCAAGATCGACGCCTCCGAGTATCGTTTCATCGCTTTAAAGGCGCCGTTGGTCCTGTTCATCCTTGATCGCCGTCTCACCAAGGCAAGTGGTAAGGCCACTATGTCTCGGATTATCTCTCGTCTTTTTCTCAACTCGCGCATGGGTGACATCCCCAATGGTGCGGTGACTTCTTCTCTATTCCAAAAGCTTTGTGAGCGACTCGGCCACTCCAAGTTGGACGTCTTTTTCCAGCAGTGGATTTATGGTGCCGGATGCCCACGCTTCCAAGCCACACAGCGATTCAACAAGAAAAAGCTTGTTGTTGAAATGATGATCAGACAAGTTCAAGTTCAACCAGATCAAACGGTCGCGCGGGATCTGGACGAAAATGCTTTCCTCCGGGATTTGAAGGAGGAAGTCCGGCATGTCTATGCCGGTCACCCCCAGCCGGTCTTCACTGGTTCCATGACTCTGCGTATCCACGAGGCTGATGGTACACCATACGAGCATATTGTTGAGATCAAAGAGGGTGTAACAAAGTTCGACATCCCCTACAACACAAAATATAAGCGTCTCAAGCGAAACAAGAAACAAAGAGAACGCGCTGTGGCATCAGGTGAAGCGGAGGCCCAAGAAGAAGTGCTCCTCTATTGTCTGGGCGATGTCTTACAAACCGAAGAGGAGATAGAGGCCTGGCGCCTCACCGATTGGACAAAAGAGGACGAAGAGAGAATGGGTCAAGAGTCCTACGAGTGGATTCGCATGGATGCTGATTTCGAATGGATTTGCAAGTTGTCCCTGGGCATGCCTGGTTACATGTATCTGTCGCAACTGCAACAAGATAGGGATGTTGTCGCGCAGTTGGAGGTAAGCTTCTCTGCCCCCAAGGTAGTTATTTGGCCACTACTAACTCGAAACAGTCTCTACAGTACATGGCAGCCCAACGCGAGCACAAGTTGATATCGTCGATTTTTGCTCGCACACTCATGGATAGTCGTTACTTCCATGGGATCCGAGTGACAGCCGCGAGGTCGTTAATAAGGCACGCCAAGGATGACGTGGATTGGATTGGTCTCTATCATCTTGAAACTGCATTCCAAGAGCTTTTCTGTCTGCCGGGGTCCCCGATGACTCGTTCTAACAATTTTGAGGATCGGGCTGCATACATTCTGCAACAAGAAATTCCCGAGGCCATCTCCAAGGTACGCGATAACAGCGGGAAGACTCCTCTAAGAGTGAAGCGCTTTTTGTTCGACAAGCTTAAATTCAACGATAACTCGAACAATGCCGTAAGTACCCTCAGTACCTGTGCTCGTATCATCAAGGTCCATCATGCTAATTTTGTGAAAGTTTTCGGATAACTTCTACGTTGCTTCCCTAATGCGCTCACTGTGCCACGCCATGCTGGGACGAAACGAAGCGCGTTCGGACGAGGAGCTAGCCCATTTCGATATGGAGCGTGTCTTGGAAAACCAAGCCGAAGAGCAGTTAGAAAAAGACACGATAGCAGAGTTCGACCGCTACAGACGCATGGATGAGTGGTCTAGCTCATTCCAAAATATATACTCTCGTGCTGCCCTGCAGTGCCAGATGCAGCTCATGAAAGCCAAAATCCAGGAGGTGGACATTATGCGCTTCATTCCCTATACACGAGCCGGCACATATGACCTTCTTCGGTTACAAGCATTCGAATGTCTAGTCGATTTGGACATCTCCCAAAAGCAAGAGCTCCTTCGCTGGCTTATCTATACAATGACAAGTGACTCCTCAGCTTACGTCCGCCATCACAGCCAGAGGATATTTGGCCGTGCCTTGGCTCAAATCGCCTTCGGTCGGCCCCAAGAGCCAGAGAATACTCAGACAGGCGGCGGTCTGATCATCGAACAAGAATCATCGACCGAGATCCGCCAAGCCGATCTTGCCCGCCGACAAACCGTCTCCGGTGCCCTCGAAGCCCTAAAAAAGGAAATCGGCCAAGACCCATCCATGAAAGAATACATGTGGGCAGCATGCAATTCCCCGGTCCTCGGCATCCTGGAAATCGCAGAGCTAGTTGACATCTGCCGCGTCCTTTTCGACCCGGTCAAAACCAAGATGGCTCAAATCCCACTTCCGCGCTACTGGAAGGTCGAGAATCTAGGCAACGGAAAGCTGAAGTTCAGTCGATCCAGCCGTGTCCGCACAAGTCTCGTACCCCCCAAGGACTCCAAGCGCAAGCGCGAAGAGAACGGCATGCCCCCTCCCGCCCCGCGCATTACCTTCAAGCAAGTCAAAAAGGAAAACGGTCCCGGGCCCAGCCCCAGCACGCCCTCCTCTATGGGCCTTGCGAAGCTCCACATTCCCAAGCCCGTGCCCAGTACACCCAGCGCGGGCGCCGGGGCGGGCACAGGCACAGGCACGCCGAAAATCAGTACACCCGTCGCGACAACGCCCTCGACACCGGCGAGTGGAGGCGGACTAAAGCTGAAGCTGAAATTCGGGCCAAAGCCCAAATAAATCAATGCCTACCTACACGCACTTCGTCCGCTCCTATGTATTCTACCTCTACTTTTCCTTTGCTCTTCTTTTACAGTTATTTTGTTCGGCGGGGGAAGGAACACACAAGCATGGCTTTAGGCGTGAATTTGAAGGACGGCGATGCACTTAGAGAGATTAATACCACATCCAATGCTTTCCATTTTTTCCCTCTATTAACATTCAACAAGTTAGGCGTAAGACCTGCGTGAAATTCCCAGTGCGGTGCAATAGCATGACGATAATGAGCCTCCAGATGACCTCGGCCCAAGTGTAAATAATCTCGTCCTCTTTTCAGAACAGCGAGTCCCCAATTTCGTAAAGGTGAATATCGGATAATTGAGGCAATGGGAGTGGAAATTGACAGCAAGTATTATTTTATACGGAATAGTAAATAAACAAACTTTCACAAAATGCGCAGGACTACAAGACCCTTTGTGAATGAGAAGTGTGCCCAAGGCTACAGTTAAATTTGCGACAAAGGTACCTTCCGATTTCGTGAAAGTGGTACTCACACTCGCATCAAAGGAAATTCAAGCTCTGGCAGATCTCATAGTGGTCGAATAATAAGATGCCTACGGCTAAGGTGGACAAGCAGACAGGCGAAAAGAAGAAGAGTAATAACAGAAAAAGGTTTATTGTCCCCATGCAGCAACAGATCCAGAAACTCCCAGTATCATTATGGTTTTCCCCGGCCAGCCGCTGGCAAGGCAGAGGTTTCGAAGTTCAAGCCCAACTTTTGTTGCCTCGCGAGTCCTCGAAAATCAATGTCATATCATAGATCACATATCCGATATGTTTATTTGTCGCTTATCCGCTCGAGCGCCTCGATCATGACGACAGAATTTCCGCGAATGACCTGTGGGCATGAACAGCTGATCAGCAAATGGGGTCTCGTGTTCACGCGACGACGTTCGTGGGAGCTATCGAATACATACCACCATTCCGATGGAGACCTTCTCACCACCAGCCTTCTCCTCGAAAGCCTCGTCCAGAACAATGTTCATGAAAACCTATAAGTCACCAAATCAGTCCTGTTCGTCTGTTGCGTAGGCCCGCCCCAGATGTCATGCTGTGCAGTGCTTTGCTGTGTCATGTGCTGCGCTGCTGTCGTCACCGTATCGGGCAGCGGTGGTGCAGCAATAGCTTCGCGATTCGCACGGCACGTATTCAATTGGGACCGGGAGGGCGCTAGATAGGGGCGACACGTACATCGTAACCACGGAGGAGACCAATAACTTTGCGGTTTCCGTTGAGTTGGCAGAAGACCCGCTTCTCCATGTACTAGAACAAAAAGGAGAAGGTCAGTGGGGGACAAGCTCATAGTATGCATATAGGCGCAGCAGAGAGATCACTCACCTTCTTCAATTCAGGCTGAGCTTGAGGCATCTTGGGCGAATGGGGATGTGGTTTGGCTTTCGGAGGTTGCTCTATCGAAAAGGTTCGCGCTGGTTGGAGGTGGCCGCCCGGAGAAATGATGTTCCCGATATGCGATAAGAGCTCTCCGCGCAGCTTCAAGACATTCTCGCCTCAACTGCAGAGTCTCTTTTTCTTTTTCTCTACTTGTTGCATGTCGCAATCTCTTCACCGAAAGTATGAGCTCTAAGTTCGCCAACCGCAGAAAGCCCCGCAAAATCGGTGGCGATGAGGAGGACGAGGGAGAGGGGAATGGAGTGGGCGCGGCGCCGGGTTTGTTTCTATATTCTTCCTCTACAGGCGTGAAGTCCTTTGATGCAGCTTCTAACTATGCTTTCAATGCAGAGCCCGTTGTCAAGCGACCTATACGCCCGAAAGCGAAGCAAAAATCCAAATTGAACCTGTCCTTTGGCGAGACCTCAATGGCGGACGATGACGACCAAGACAGCGGGGTAGTCATTCCAAAGCGACATGGCCTTGGCCGCAAAGCGATGGAAAGAAGCGCTGTGCAACGAACATTAGATTCATCAGCTGCTCCACGAGTCTCGCAGGATTCAGATCGACCGAGTTATAGCCACGACTACCTGAAAGAACTCCGCGACTCAACCCCCTCCACGCCCAAGGTCAGCACGGACGACGAAAAAGACCGGACCGTCGATGTTGCTGCGAAGTTTGGCGAGGTCATGAAGGTATCAGGACAATCTGCAATTCCATCCGAGGCCGAGATCCGGGAAAAGAAGGCCCGCCGGCAACGTCTCGCATTAGAGCATGGGGCCAATGTGAACGAGGAGGATTATATTGCGTTGGACGACAATGCCGCCCGAGACGACGATGACTGGGATGCGGTTGCTCGCGGCGACAAGGAGGAGCATACTGACACGCGCTTGGTACGGGACGACGAGGATTTCGCGGAAGGATTTGACGAATATGTGGAGGATGGGAAAATCTCGCTGGGCAAGAAGGCGGAGCGCGAGCAGAAACGAAAAGATCGTGATACGATGCGCGAGCTTATTAATGATGCCGAAGGAATTTCCGATTCTGACGACTCTGATATAGAGGAGAAGGCCGCCTATGAAGCTACCCAAACCAAAGCTGCTATCGGTAGTAGGTCAGATGGAATCGACCGTCCTCGGACGCCTCCCAAGATGACTTCCTTGCCCAAGTTATCACACAGCCTCGAGCGACTTCGCTTGTCTCTGGCGACAATGGAAACGGCCAAGACGCAGATGATCAGCCGCATGGAAGACCTGAGGAAAGAGAAGGCGGACATCGCTGTTCGTGAGGTTGAAATCCAGAAAATGATCAAGGAAGCGGGCGAAAACTATGAGCGATTGAAGAAGGAGGCTGGTGTTGAGGGAGATGCGGACGGTGCAGCAACTGGTGCTCTGGAACAATCGCGAGGGTTAGAAAGCATCGGCGCACCCATAACGGCATCAGCCAGTGGAGAGTCAAATGATGAAGATGTACCTATGGTATAATCATTGTTCCTGCCGCATGTATTATATTCATCCCAAATTATTGGGCTATGGCCGATGCTTGGCTGCTGTCTGCGCCTTCCATTCCTACGCATCTCTGGCGTCAAGATTCTCCACTTTTGATACCCCACGGAGAATCTCATTTTGTTTTCTTTACTTCCCTTGCAATATACAACATGCCTACTTCATGGCATCCTCCTTCATGGAATCTTTCTATATTTCGACAATCTCTGCGTAAAAATGCGAATCTGGACAACGATATCCCGGATTCGGAAGCGTAAGTTCAGATATACGCTCTTCTCATTCCATTCCCTGATGTGAGCTACACAGTGTACACGACACCCGTCTATCATGGATTGCCAGTCCTATCAAGAAGACCGGAATCACTTCCCGCCTCTACCGTCACTCAGACGCGACACCTATCGAGCTATTCTTCGACTTGTTCTTTGTCGCCAATCTCTCCACGTTTACTGCTACCCACGAGATCAACAATGTGAATGGTGTGAATTCGTCGAATTTCTGGCGCAATAAACATTCTGTTCTAATGGTTATCTTCTTAGCTCTGGGTGCGTATATTGGGTTTCTCGGGGTGATTTGGTTTACCTGGTTGCAAGTCACATTGTTCGACATTCGCTTTGCACGAGACTCCGTCTTTGAAAGAATATGCAAAGCCTTTCAGCTGGGTGTAATGGTTGGGTTTGCCTCGGCCGGGTCTCGCTTCACAACTCGTGTCCGCGATGAAAATGTTTGGGCTTTCCAGTCTCTGAGCTTGATTCTCGCCGGAAGTCGCTCGCTGTTGGCCATTCAGTACACGATCAACACCTTTTTCGTCTACAAACATATGAAGCGTTCTGCAAGAGGGCTACTGTATACAGCTGCTGTGCTTTGGATGACAACGATGTTTTACATTGGGGTGCGTGAGCATCTATTCGGGTCGTTGAAGGTATACTCGGGATGAAGCGGAGTTTCTAACACTTTTTCAGATGTACTTCACTTTCCGATGGGCCTATAATATCCGCGCTAGAATATGGACCGTTTGGTTCGTTCTGTTTGGAGTTGAAATGTGGACTGTGATGGGGGTTTCTTGTCTATTCCCCGGAATTGGATTCCAGGAAACCCACTTGAACGTACGAATGGGTCTTCTCACACTCATAATTATTGGAGAAGGGGTTATTTCGATCACTCGAATTGTCAACAAGACGGTTCGGCCCGGGGGGTGGACCAAGTGGTCGTTTGTACACATACTGGGTGTCACTGCCAACGTGGTGGGTTCCCCTGATCCCCCTACCTGAGAGGCCGCGCTGACCAAACGCAGTATTTGTTGTGGCAAGTCTACTTTGACATATCCCCACGGCGAAATCTCAGCAAACTGTCCCAACAGCTTTGGGCACAGCTTCATTTCCCGTTCCATGTAGCTCTCATTCTACTTCTTGAAGGCTCACAGATTCTAGCCTTGACACTTGATGTGACCTTGAAGTTGAGATATCTGGCAGAGACCTTCTCTTTTGTATGCGAAGAGCCGCGTCCCAGTACAGAACGAGCAGTCGAGCTCATACGGAGCACGATCACAGACATGGAGATTCCATTTAGCCGAGGTGCCACTCAAGAATGGACCGCCATTTCAAGTCTACTTGAGAGTCTTGCTGAGCAGGTGCTTTGTCCGACGTCTAGCCCGAAAGTTGGGCCTATCAGTTTGCATTATACTGAAGATCTACTCAATGATCTAATGGGCAACGTGACGGCTGCCCTGTTCTCCAGCATGGATATAATACCATCAAAAAAGGTGGACATCAGCCTCCTCGACAACCAACAGCTGCTCCAAATGTACATGAAAGTTCTCGCCTTCGTCTACATATACTTTTTCGTTGTCGCGAGCTTGTTGATGGGACTTTTTACTGCGTTTCTGCTTCTCTCTCGACGCCATGGACGCTGGCTATATCAGATTTTATCAGTGACTACACGGGTTGCTCTCGGCATCTTCCTAGCCAGCCTAGTCTCGTTCGCAAGCCATTTTCCACTCGCACATGCATTTATGACTTCGCCAATCATATTATATGCCTTCAGCTTGACTCTTCTCATCGGTTTGTCTTCTCAGTTTCTCCCTCTGGTGTCTAATCTTACATTCTGATTGGCTCTAGTGCTCTTCGTTGACCGACTTTTGGATTGTCTAGCATCCCGGAGAGCCGCAGCTGGCCGACAGAAGCGGAAGGTAAACATCCAGCTCAAAAATATTGCTACTAGGCCGGGGATGATCGTCCTGGATCCGAACCCCTCTTTGGAGAGCAATTTCGATCGACGCGTCTCATCATCTTGCGCCGAGGAAAGAGATACCCATATACCTGTTCAAGGAAGCTCGCCATCGCCGATGGAGTCTGGTTTCCGAATATCATCTAGTTGGGAGATTTTACACACGCCCCCTTCATTCCCACATGAAAATGCGAATCGGCATTCTGTATGAGTGCCAGGCGTTGTTGCCTGACCTCCAATATCATGTTGCTCGACGGCGAGTTGTACTTTTCACTTCGGTAACACGTGGTAATTATTGCGAGATCTCAATGGTGCTTTTTCTCAAAAGAATTCGACTCTTCTCATTAGACTCCTCCATCTCGATACCCGAGACCTCCAGTATCCCTTGAAATTCTCAGAGACTGCGGGGTTCGGGTTGAGTTGTCTCTCTTTCCCACCACCCATTGGGCCCATATCCGCGACACCGCATACCTACATGTATGGATGTACGCAGAAATGTTTCTCATCTAGAACAGTTTCGTCTAGGAATTTGCGGGGCAGGGAACTGAATTCTAGTCTCGAGGTCTCTCTCGCCGTTTTCCTCCTGTTTTCGACTGTCGTGAAGATCGGCTTATGTAGTTGAAATACTAAGCCCCTACCGCCAATACCTACTAGTTAGTAGCTCCTACATTCATCGCCAAGCTACATATTTGAATTTAAACATCGTATCATCACCCCTTTCAACCTTCTCATTGGTCGAAGGAAGCGGCTCCTAAATGTTATACCAAATTCATTCAAACCATATCTCCAGCTTCCCCGGATTTGTTTCGGTTTTAACCCAAGTCAAGTTAAATGTCATATTTACCTAATGAAAGCAACACGAATAACAGCAGCCGGGAATTATCTGCACATGCAAGCGATCTCCTCGTCCCAACGAGCGAGATCTCCCCGTCGGTTTATAATACCAACCCTGAGGCAATGGTGCCTAAAAGCAACAAAGACATCTTAGTGGGTGGATCAACGGGTGATGAGTATCCATGCTAACCAAATTTCCGGACTATATCTGAATGGACGATCTCTCTATCCTGCCCTCCCTGGACTGGGATGCAGACAGCAGCCGTTGCGCGTTCGCATTACTGCAGGCTGGTTCCCCATCCTACTGATTTCGGCGCTATCCGTATATTCACCCATCCCAGGGAAAAGAAGTCCGGTAGGGTTTCGGGCGGCCGATGAATGGAGCGAAAAGTTGATGGCGTGTCGTGATGATCTCGCTACTCTCTTATGTTGTTGGTCTCCCAACCTCCTAACTTAGTATGCAAAGACAACCCATTCTTAGATCCTCTGGGTTTAGTTTGAAGTTTCCATTCTTCCCTCTTTCTTCCACCATTGATTAGAAAAGTAACCGTCGTCTCCGTTGTGTAGAACGCATCTACATAGAAATAGACAGGTCATCAAACCTCCAGATATCCTGGTAACTCATAGCCGCTGGTTGTGCATACCGCTCGCCCTATTATAATTTCTTTTTCAGTGCGGTTGGTTCGCGCCTCGTTCCCTTCCCATTGGAGCGGATAGCAAAGAGAGCCCCTCCAGCAAGCTCTATCTATGTAGTTATCCGTGGAGGATGGGCATTGTCAAACTGGCCGAGCCAAGCCCTGAACGGGGGGCTGAGCAATATTCTGAGCAATTGTATTCCGGGGCTTGCTAGCCTTCTCCACGGCCTGGGTCGATCTGGTTCGGGTGGGTTGTCAGTTGTCAGGGTGGGCTGGGGCTGCTACAGCCCGGCTTGAGATTAGAGTGTTCTCCATGAATCGAGGATGGACTAGGCATGCAGAAAATATCACTTTCCCCGGAGATCTCTATTCTTTTTCTGAGTCGAAATTTATCTAGGTGGGAGGCAAAAAGCCCTCGTTCAGGCGCCACCAAGAACTTTGACAAGGAACATCTCCTCTACCCGTCGATATGTCTTACAAACCCCTCAGATACACATAATTGGATCCCGAGGTCCAGGAACCAAAAAGCACTACTGCACGTCATAAAGATTATGATCTGAAACATGCGGAAAGTGGATCAAAACAGTGGATATCTCATCCACCCGGAGACTTTGGGTTCGGCTAGGGTTGGTGTCATTTCCGTAACGATCCATGTCTACTCTGGATGACTGATCTGTGCTACACTTTTTTTGGTCGATTCGGAATGAACCAACGGTCTAAACTCCGGGGAACTGTTATGAGTTCCTTGACGGGCCGGCCCGAGGCTGAAAATGACCAGGCTGCATATCAAGGGCTTGAAAAAGCTCGTTCTCATTTATAACATTGGAGATAGCCGTTTATTGACCCCCCTATGATTTCACCATCTTAAAGGCGCAATATTTTCCATAAGTTCTAGTACTATTTCTTTGCTAGATATCTTTGAATATTAATGGGAGAAAGACCTTCCGGCCCAACTTATCTTCTTGATCGGCTTTTTTCGCTTTTTACAGCACTCGGATTGTCTACAGATCTGAGACAGCATTGCATCAAACCGTCCAGCCGCGAGCCGAGATATCCTCCGTTGGATGAATCACAGTTCTCGAACTCAGACCAACTCCCTTCAGTCAATCAATTAGCACTCATTCTGTGCTCTATTGTGTATCAATTTGTCAACAAATTTTCTTTGAATACTCAGTGAAAAGTATGCCGCCTGAGCGTGAACCCGTGATGCTATACGGGGAGGCAAAACCCTCACACACATGAGACATAGGCTGATATCATGATCTTCCCTGCAGGCATCCTGAACAGCCAACGGTATAGCCGTTGTGCACTGACACCGGGGTCTAGGGCGCAAGAAAGAGCCCATATCTTAACGGTCATCCACACCCAGCGATATCCCGTGTACGACCAAATCTATCAATCAACAAGTAGTTGCGGTGAGCCAGTGTGAGAGAGAGGACTGGCAAATTTCACACCAACCTTTCCCCACATTTTCTATCCTACCATTACTATCATGGTGGACGTGCTGGATAATTCTGGGGGAAGAGGGACCTGGTTTCCGCTCCAGAAAGACCTACCTTCCAATCGTGGTCATCTCTCAGACCAGTTCTCTTCCCTCAATTCGTCCCAGCTTGCACTCCGTGAACCTTTCGCACAATACCCTTCAGTTCCTGTTGCCAGTTCTTTTCCTGTTTTTGGCCCTCGATCAAAATACGATACTTTGCAAGCACACACCTCTGACTCCTATAGTGTGAGAAAATTACCATCACTACAACGCAAGAACGAAAAGCCTCAAAAGCTCTCCCCAATGGCATACACCCCTCTTTCCAATGGCTTCCATTCCTTCCCTGAGGCTTTGAGCTTCACGTCAGAGAAGGCCAACCTCTCAAAAAGCACGGCTTCTTCACGATATTCCATCCTACCGGGCCCAGCTGAACAGTCGACTATCTTTGACAATGGAGGTTCTAACGCTGAAGTTGATTTCAAAGACATCGACAGCATCAAAGGTCTCAGTGCATCAGAGACTAATGTAGGCTTTGCACACACTCTCCCAGCACCAGACATGGGATGGATCAGTCCGGGCCAATCCCTCGTCGCAAAAAGTGCCGATACCCCATTATCGATGGCTTCGTTTGGAATGGGCACACCAAACGACGATTTGCCCATGAATCACACTTTCCCATACCACTCTGTAAATGTGCCAGGGCATGCAATTGGAGGAATGATATCTCAGCAGCCCCAGACAATGCCGCTTCGCAACGATGAGCCATGGGCGCCCATTCAAAACGACGTCGATCTATGGCGCCCGTGGAGCTCTGAAGATCCGGCATGGGGCAGCAGCATGTTGGAGGGTTGTTACAACAACTGGTCGGGCTATGAAGGTCTCATCAATCCAGTAATGGGCGCAGGGTCTGCGCAGCCCTACACTCATTTCCCCACAATTCCAGCCCTGTCGACCTCCAAAGGCACGCAAGCCTCATCCACCTGCAGCACCGATGTGCCTGATCAAAAGATCCCAATCTCACCACCCGCCGATCTTGATGCAGCTATTTCCCCAAGAGGTGATGAATACCAAGGGTCTAAATACCCAGTTTACTCAGCACAATATTCAGAATCAGCAAAATCAGCACCAACGTCGTTGTCATTCATAGGCAACACGTCTTTCCATGATGAGGTCCAGCAACAAGGTTGGACAGTCGACCACAACACTCCAAACTCAAGCTTCACAAGCCACATCTCCAGTCCAGATTCCTTGGTCAAGTCGACCAGTCGCCATATCGGCGACGCCCGCAATACTTTCCTGGTCGATTGCAAGCGGCGTGGCTTATCTTACAAGGAAATAAAACGTATCGGCGGCTTCACAGAAGCGGAGTCAACCCTCCGCGGCCGATATAGGACTTTAACCAAGTCCAAGGACCAACGAGTGAGAAAGCCAAAGTGGTCAGACAAAGACGTAAGTACAGTACTTAGTACTGACTATCCTCTCCTTCCCGCGGACACACCCCTACCCACAAGCACAAAAAGTAGATCTTATATTCCCCTAAAAGAACAAGCATGTCCAAATACTAATACCGCATATCCTAGATCCAACTTCTCTGCGAAGGCGTCGAGCTATATACAGAAAAGCCTGCGAGCCCCCATCTCGCCGCCATATCAACAATGGGCACCAGCCCATCCACGAGAACAACCCCGGCCTCTGTATCGCCACTAGTGACCTCGGCGCGAATTCAGCAGATGCAATCTCATGCATACCAAGCCCCAAAAATACCATGGAAACAAGTATCGGAGCATATATGGGTGAATGGGGGTTCCTACCAGTTCGGAAATGCAACTTGCAAGAAGAAGTGGTGTGAGATTCATGGGATTCAATAGGCTTGATTGTGTTGGTGGGCGGAGTGTTGTGCGATGGTCTCAAGTTTGATTTCCCTCTAGATTTCTTTCTTTTTCCTTTCCCTCTTACTCCCTTTCCTCCCCCCTCCTCTCTCTCTGTGTGTGTGTATGTGTTTGAGTGTGTCTTTCCGTTTCAGTGTCGGAGTGTTTTCGGTGTGGGTGTCATATTGTGCACGTGTTGTGAACGTAAATTTCCATTTTGGATATCTGGTGGCAGATAGTAAATAGTCTAATATGGAACTTCTAATCTGAGCTGATAGCACTCTTCTATTACGGCTTTATATGCGGCAACTGAAACATTTAAGTTTCATGATAACATAGTACATATCTCAAGAAGCTTATAAGCCTTTCTTCTCCGCCTACCCGGATAATTTCAAGCCTGTTCCAAGGTTCTTTGGTTTTCTAGGGCCACTGCCAGTGGACAACCCGGATTTACATGGACAAGCTCTCATTGGGTAGCCTCAGGCTCTGAGCTCATTCCCGTGATATCCGATTTGATATACCTAGGTATACTATGACGTCCTCCCACTCTTCAGGGAGGAGCGAATGGGTATCCACAAGATTGGAAGTATCAACAAACAGAAAACAGCAATTCATCAATTTATCTTTTCTAATTGTACAGGATAGGGTGCTCAGATAGCCAAATGGGGTGTCCACTTAGTAGTGCCCAAAAAGATACCAGTACCCTAAATTTAGATAAAGTACCTTAGAATGAAATTGGCAGATCCTACCAATCATAACATAGCAAACTACAATCCAAGCACCAACTACCCGCTACACCCAACCTTCCTCGAACAAGCACAAATATCTTCATAATCGGTAGATCATTGTATTATCCACGTCCCCGGGGCAGGACGTAATGTAATCACTAAGTTACAAAGGACAGGTGTCACATGTATGAGGTATATCATATGCACAAGGAGGAAATTGTGAAATCTCGAAACCGTCAAGAGAAAAAATCCATCTCAAAGAAACAGACAGGGAAACCACCAGGTCCGAATCAGAGCCCAACCAGTCCAAAGAAGAGAGGTGGGAGAAACGGGCCGGCGCGAGAAATGTATCGCAGTGCGCGCTGGTTGACATCGACGGAAAACAGCAGTAAACAAACATTAAGGGGCGGGGTATAAGCAGCGGCGTTGCTTCCGAAGAAAAAAAAGAAGAAAACTGGAAAGTCTTGGGGGGGTTTCAAGACGGGCGTGTGTTTTGTGCAAGAGAGTGGGGAGGGAGATGCTTTCATTAGATTGTTGGCGCGGTGGGGTTCGTATGGCCGAGAGAATTGAATAGATACTCTGGTGGCAGACGGGTCATGTCTGAAGGTCGGTCTGTGCCGAAGGTCTGCGGGGCCGCGGCGTAACCTTGGCGGCGGCGCTGGATCTTGTTCAGGATGACGCCGGCGGCGACGATGAGGAATACGCAGCCCAGGGCGCAGCAGAAGGCGACGAGGACGACGATGCCGTTTGAGTGGTGGCTTTCGCTGCCACTCGAGTAGGGATTCTCGTTCTCGGAGAAGAGGTGGGACATGCTGCCAGGGGAACCGTCGGATTTGGAAGACAGGATGAAGGGTGTGACTGCGGTGCCGTTGTAGAGCGCTGCAGATGCGTTGCCGAAATCCGGGATGATCAGATCACCCATGATCAGGAGGATCTGGTCGTTGTTCAAGAGAGAAACAGATGAGTGGTCCTGGTTGACTGGGAGAACCTCCATGCCCCGGATGAGGGTGCCTTCGGAGAACAAGTTGCCGGGAGACTTGAAGTTGGAGCCATCGTAGTTCATCATGAAGGCTGAGCCGTTGGTCGATAAACCCGCGATCCAGAACTCGCTGATGTCTTCGCTGGCGGGAGAAAATGCAGTGATATTGCCCGGAATCTCGGACTTGGATGAACCTGGGAAGGAAGTCCAAGAGCTAGACGTGGTACTGAAGGTGGCAATAGCGCTCTTGTTTCCACTGATGTTAATTTCTCCTGCGGCATACAGCGTCTTCTTGTTCGCCCATTTGAGAGCAATCACAGATCCACTGATATCGGATGAAGGCCATAGCCAAGAGTTATCCGAGGCATCCAGCCTACAGACAGTGTTGCAAGGAAGGGTTCCAGCTGATACAAAGTCACCACCGACGTAGACTTCAGATGAGCCCGGTCGGTGAGCGATAGCGTTGACAGTGTTAGTCTGACCTCTCAGCGACCAAGGTTGGGACTCTGCGAACTTGTTGTTAACCAAATCGTATGTCACCAAGCCGCTCACATTTTCACCGCCAATGGTTCCTGTGATATTTCCACCGAGGTAGAGGGTATCATTGTGCACAAGCATGGAGATGATAGAAGAGTTACTTTGCAAGCCCATGGGGAGACCTGTGAGAGTCTCTGCGGTACCATTCAGGAAAGCGACATTGTTAACGGTGGAACCATTGGTGGCAGTCGTGGTGAATCGGCCACCAAGAATGGTAAGGTTGCGGTCGGAGGAGGTATCATAGACGCCGGTAATCACCCCCTGGCTGGCATCAGACCCAGATTTGGTGCTGGGGTGTTCCAACTTCATGGGCAAGGGAATCAGATCAAGATCATCATCGCTTTCTGACAAGGAGACTGCTCCACCTGCGTTGAATCCATTCGTGGCAAGGCTGCCAGCCAGAAGCGAAGTGTCGTTGTGGGTAGTCACAGCAGACAGGCGACCAGCAAACTCCATCTGGGTATCATTGAGAGACTGCAACCAGACCTCCTGAGAAGGAACCCAAATTGCGAAGCCGGAAACGAAGACCGCAGGACTATCACCATGGGCAAGGATTTTGTTGAAATCACCGCTCACGGCAATGGTAGTCTCGTTGACCGCTGATGACACATTCATTTCAAGGGGGGTAGATGTTATCAACACGTCCATTGACACCACTACCCAGGGAGACCCACTTCTTGGAAGAGAAGGAGTAAGATGCAACATAGCTGAGTCCATCAACACCGCCGTCAGAAGTGTCTGTGAACTGACCTCCAACATACAGAGTGCTGTCAAGAGTAGCTGTAGACAGCACCAGGGAGTTCAGACCACCGCCCGGCATCGCGGTAGCATTGCCATCGGTGATGGACATGATATTGTGGATGGTCTTGTAAGAGAAATTTCCTCCAACGTAGATAACATCGTCATTTTGAGCCAGGGTAATAACCGAGGCGTTGTGGTTGAGCGACGAGCCAGCCTTGTTGATATCTGATTTGTCAAGATCGGTGGTGTTGAGGTTCTTGGAAGAAGGATCAAAGTCGTAGAGTCCGTTTAAGTCATCGGAGGTGGCAGTGCCATTGACCAGTTGAAATTGAACACGCGATGCAACAACAGTGATATCTCCTTGCCCAACAATGGGCCGAAGGGTGACGGAAGGGCGGAAGGAGTCGCTGGCGGCGTCAACATATACAGAAGACTCGCTCAACGTATCGTACTTGTTGTAATTGTTGGTCTGGGAGATGATCTTGGGGGAAGGCTGAGATTTATCAGAGTCGGTCGAGAGAGTCGCCGTCACGTTAACCTGGGCACGAGAGGCGCAAGTATTGTCCTCAGTACACCCGGGGGTGAAGACCTTGACGGTGTAGTAGCCCGATTCCTTGATATCGGGTTTAAAAACGACAGAAGTGTCGTCGGCCGTGGAATCGGTGACCTGGGCAGACAAATACCCGCCATCCTTGATGGTCCAGGAACCAGTGTGTGCCGACTTTGCCGCGTATTCAATGCCAGCACAGGATGGCTCGTTGTACTTGTCGACAGCATAGGTGACGATCTGGTCCTGGAAAACCTCGATGCCATTCAATCCAGCGCCTTGGCCATACCATGAAAGAATTTCGATCTCAAATCCACGCATGCCGACGGGGTTGACAAGGGTGAAGTCGCGGTATTTCTCGGTGGTGCTGGATGAAAGCGGGCAGGAGGAATCGCATGACTGTTTATTTCCAGAATCGTCGGTATAGGTCAGGTTCATGATACCAGTGTCGGGAAGGGCGCGAAAGAGGAAATCTTTAGTGCCCCGACCATCCAGATGAGTGTTGTAGAGGCGAATCTTCGTCGGGAAGAAGTCGAAACCAAGGTCGGCGCGCCAAAATCCTGGGGCATTGTCGTGAAGCAGATATGTTTGACCAGCAGCGGCCTTGCCACTAGTCGAGCAGATGATGTTTCGGTTATCAGAGTAGCCGCTGAGGGATGAGTCGGTGTCGGATGTGATGGTCGCATTCTGCAGGTTGAGAACCTGCTTCGTGTTCTTCGACGAGTGAGTTGAGTTACCGATACCATCAAAAGATCCACCAAACACAATGTGGCCGTCGCTGGTCTTCAAGATCGACTCAACGGGACCATTGAGGCCATCAAAAGCGAGCTTGGTCCAGCCGTCGTCAGGAGACCAGGCAACAGCGTTCTTGGTCTTTCCGTAGGTGAATGATCCGCCGACATAGACGCGATTGGTATCCTGGTCGCAAAGCACAGTCGAGACGGAGCCCTTCAGACCGGGCAGGGCAGTAACCTTGCTGGAGTTGGGGTTAAAAAGGGCCGCGCCGGGCGAGTCGACTCCACCCAAGCTTGAGAAGTTTCCACCGACAAAAATCCCAGCGAAAGTTCCATCCTTTTGGGTGAAGGCACACATGTCACGGATCTGTGCGTCGGCGGAGGTGAGATTTGTCAGGATGCCATTGGGAAGCGGGGTGAGAATCGAATATCCAGGTCGCTGTGTAATTTCGGATTGGCCCTCATATTCGTACAGCGAGACACCCTCAAAGTCACCGGTGATGGTCACACGGCCCAGTGAGGAGAGGTCGAGGTCGGGAATCGAGACGGCATCGAACGACTGGGCGTGTGCGATGGGCGAAAACAAGGCGAGGAGCAGGGTGGGCAGACCGGCCGCCGCGGACCCTAACAATGAAGAAGCCCTCATTGTGTCGGGGGGAGGCGACGACAGGTAAGAAAGTGAAGTCGAGACCAGTCGAGTCTAGTGGTGGTAGTGATAATCTGTGGTGTGGTGATGGTGGTGGGAGAGGTGAGGCGACTGGGCGAGCCAAAAAGGGTTAAAAGTAAAGAATTCAGGAGGCGCCACAGCGCGTCAGAGAAAAGAAAATAAAGAATGTGGGTGTGGAACAATCTAAAGAAAGCAAAGGAATGTGGGATGCATGTCGAGGGCAAAGCCTCCTCTCACGCAGAACAGAAATCAACGAATGACTGGGTTGTTGGAAAGGAAGAGCCTGAGAAGGGGGTAACAGTGTGGTTGGTGGTATCTGGCAGTGTCGTGGTGTGTCTGGTAGTGTATTTTTGGTCCGTGTAATGTATGGTAACATCTCCTATAAATACGCCGAGCCACACCTTCCCAAGACTTTCCCTCCACTCTTCCCCCGTCATCACCCAATCAAACCTCCCAATTCCCACTCTTCCGTGCCTGGTGGATCCCAGGATGATGTCGACTGCCATTCTCCAGTCTCCCATCCATGCCAGTTCTTCCACTTCTACCAACCATGCTGGTGGTAAGTCTCGAGTGGTTGGAATCCCAGTCATCCGAAGCATCCTATCCACAGCTTTTCACGAGTATCCATATTTCACCATGTCCCGAGACTTCCGATTCCAGCCCGAATTACGTCGGATTACAGTCGATACCCGTTGAATGAGGATCTACATCCAGCCTGAACATCCCGGCTCCCAAAGTTGGGTGTTTATGCTTATGCCGGGTGCTTGGTCCCCAATGATGTCGACTCCTTACTCCGTACAGACAAAGAAGAGAACTACAACCGACACAGCTTGCACCATCAATTTTATCCACGCTCTGCTGCCTCTGCCTCCGTCTCTGCCGTGTCTTCACTTTTGCATCCATGCTAAACGTTAGCTCCGATACAAGTGGGCCGAAACAGCAGACCGAATCCAGCCCCGCGCCCAATGCCACTTAATTATAGAATTCAGGTCCACGCTTGACTTGTTTCGCACTGTACACGCAGTCTCTCAGTACTACTCCGTAAATGTCGACGTATACTGTCCACTCTTCACTATGAAGTACAGCATCCACTGCTGGATCCGATCGGAGAATTTGGGTGGGCGGTGATGGTGGTTGGAAGCCCAGCAAGGGATACAGCACAGTGCCGAGACTGCAACTGGGACTAAGACTGAGACAGTCTAGAACACTGTCACCAGCAATAATGTGAAAGTCGTTTCGGCAGATCCCATCAGTGCGCAGTGATTGTTTCATCAATAATTAAGCTTTGGGGAGAGAGAGGTACAGCATCGCAATATCCTGAGAACTACGGAGTTCTCTACGGAGTAACTGGGACCTTGGGAAGAACCTGTCCCGCTGCTATCCTAGAGGTCCACAGTTCTGTTTCACACCACGACGGAACCGTAGAATCTATGTACCTTTGTGTAGTTGCGTGATCTTTAATCACGTAGAGCCTGAAGATAGTCAAACTTGATTATGTAAATACACAATTGCACTCTATCTTTATAATTGGTTTTAATGCATTTGAAGCAGTGGCATTGGTTCTAAGGCTCATTATTAAGGTTGCAATGGCAAATTTCCAGAATTGTTGATTTTCAATGGAGTGTCTGGTGGCTGCCCAGGTGATATATAACCAGCATGTTGCCTAGTAGTTAGTAGTACCTTAACTTCGAGTTTGCATCATTAAATTACCTAGGTACAGTCTACTACCTATCTCGGTAGTAGGTACCTAGTAAGCAGCCAGAAAATAATAAGTGATAATTGAACTTGGAGTAGAAAACTTGAATAGAAGTATTTCATTGACAAGCCAGGAATATTCAAGTTCTTTCAACACAACTCTGATTGCACCGCCAACCTTGGAACCACACTAAACCCAAACGGGCGGAAGTGGCCTCCCTGCGGCGCGCAACGCGACCTCCGAGACTTCTTAGAGCTATCACGACCACAATCATCTCCCCACCCCATCCTTGTCCCACTTACGGCCAACTCTTTTTGAATCTTGAAATATCTCGATTCTAACTCTTTTTGCCGATTCGGACACATCGGCTCTAGGGCTCCTCCAAAATGTGCGCGCCCGAATGCCCCATCTTTCACTTTCACCTCAACCCCATGCATCAAAGCTAACAACGGCAAACAGGGAGAGCTTCGACAACATCTACCTGGATCTTTCCAAGCAACCCGGAAAATGCAAGCTTGCCGAGAGTGGTCTGGGATGGAAACCCTCCGGCGGCGGCGACACCTTCACGCTGGACAGCAGCAACGTCGGCGCCGCGCAGTGGAGTCGCGCAGCTAAAGGATTCGAGCTGAAGATTCTATCACGCTCATCGGGCGTGATCCAACTGGACGGATTTGACCAAGAGGTGCGAAAGAAAACGAACACGAACCAAGTGCCATATCACTTTCCAGGACTAACCCATCGCTCCAATTTTCTAGGACTTCGAACGACTGAGCAAAGCTTTCAAAATCTGGTACGGCATCAATGTTGAAAGTCGCGAACACGCCCTCCGAGGCTGGAACTGGGGTAAAGCCGATTTCAACAAAGCCGAACTCTCCTTCAACGTGCAGAACCGCCCCGCCTTCGAAATCCCCTACTCCGAGATCTCCAATACCAACCTAGCCGGCAAGAACGAGGTGGCCGTGGAATTCTCGCTCTCAGCCGCGGACGCGAACGGCGCGAATGGGAAACCCGCCGGCAGCACAGAGAACCGTGGCCGGAAGGCTGCTGCGTGCTCGGACGAGCTGGTCGAGATGCGCTTCTACATCCCCGGCACGGCTGTGAAGAAGGAGAAGGCCGAGGGCGCGGAGGGCGAGGAGAAGAACGAAGAGGAGAACGAGGAGGAGGTCGAGGAGCAGAATGCGGCCAATCTCTTCTACGAGACGCTGATGGACAAGGCGGAGATTGGCGACGTGGCTGGCGATACGTTTGCCACTTTCTTGGATGTCCTCCATCTTACGCCCAGAGGACGGTTCGACATCGACATGTACGAATCTTCCTTCCGTCTGCGCGGAAAGACGTACGATTATAAGATTCAATATTCCGCCATCAAGAAGTTCTTCTTGCTGCCCAAGAACGACGATACGCACACGCTGATCGTGCTGGGTCTGGACCCGCCCCTGCGCCAGGGTCAGACCCGGTACCCGTTCCTGGTGATGCAGTTGAAGCTGGATGAGGAGATCAGCCTGGAGCTGAACATGACGGAGGACTTGCTGCAAAAGAACTACAAGGATAAGCTCCAGTCGCACTACGAGGAACCGATTCACCAGGTTGTGACCAAGGTTTTCCGCGGACTGTCTGGTAAGAAGGTTATCATGCCGTCCAAGGACTTTACTAGTCACCACGGCCACCAGGGAGTTAAGTGCTCCATCAAGGCCAACGAGGGACTGCTTTACTTCCTCGACAAGAGTCTGCTCTTCGTCCCGAAGCCCGCCACCTACATTCAGATGGAGAATGTGGCCGTCGTGACAATGTCGCGTGTGGGCGGTGCCATTTCCGCCAGCCGAACCTTTGATATTACCGTGACCTTGAAGGCAGGTCTGGGCGAGCACCAATTCAGCAACATCAACCGGTATGTTGATTCTTTGAGTTGAACTATGCGCTGGCATAAAACAAACACTAACACATTTTTCCAGTGAGGAACAACAACCACTGGAGGACTTCTTTAAGGCCAAGGGCATTCGTATCAAGAACGAGATGACCGAAGACGCGTCTAGCCTGATTACGGCGACACTGGACGCGGATGAGTCCAGTGACGAGGAGGTTGTCCGAGCCGACCGCGGATCCGCGGATGAGGATTCGGACTCACCGGACGAGGACTTCAATGCATCGTCGGACTCGGATGTTGCAGAGGAGTACGATTCTGCGCACGAGAGTAGCGGAGACAGTGATGATGAGATGGGCGATGCTCCTGCGGCTGGTGGTGATGAAGATGAGGCGGCGCGACCCAAGAAGAAGAGCAAGGTTGGAAAATAGAGGCGGATGTACAGATAGTCCCGTAACCAATACCTATTTATGCTATTCACGGAGTATCTAGTGTATGAACCTAGTCTCGTCAGTAGCACCCTCATGGGAGTAGAAGTACTCTAAACAATTGGTTCTCCACACTTGGTGGAGTTCACGTGACCAGCCCCTGATCCAAGATTACCCCAGGAGCTTGCCAGGCACATCACCACCCAGCAGGAGAAGCAACAGCGGCAACAGCATACTCAATGGATCACAATATGGAAACCAAGGTTGTTTTGAATCTACTCGAGACTAAACCTGGTCTTGTACAGTATTTATTAGGTATATTTACTGTACTATGACTGTTCTACGAAATGCCGATTGCACACCTCACTCCGCAGTGAGAGAAACAATAAATAAAGCAATAGATAATAATAATAGAGAAAATGTGAATAATAAGAGAATTTGATCGATCATAACCTAGTATACATGAAGGGTACAATTGTCGACAGATCATTTGTACAAGTACCTGTACCTGTACCTGTGATTAAGGAACTAGTCAAGTAATCCACCTGGCCCGACGCCCCCCCTTTCTTTCCCAGACTGGAACCGTTCAACCTCTCCCTTCTCTCCCTCTCCTCCATCCCCTTTCTCTCGTTTTGTCTTTTTGGCTTCCTCTATTGAGGTGCTTTTGGTCGTTCGCTTCTCTTCTTCCGCAACGTCCATTTCCATATACCCCCCCTTTTCTCCGACGTCTTCAGGTACCACTCCCCTTTCTCCATCTTCATCCCCTCCCCTCGATTTTTTTTCTTTACTCGAGAATATACGACACAGAATCACTGCCCCCCCCACCTCGGATTTCAAGAAGAAACTGACATGATCATTGATTCGCAGGGGATCGTCTAGTCTCACTTCTTCTCCCTCCATTCCAACACGACTTTCGCCATGTGTAAGCTGTCCTTCCGGAGTCGCGATATCCCCAGGTTTCAGGGACACTCGACTACTTCCATCAGAACTCGCC